TGCACGGGGGCGGTGACGGGTCAAAGGAGCAAGTAGAAGGGGTGAGACCATCATCGTCCATTTCACGGTGAAATAGAGAGAGAGGAATCGGGAAGGAAGGGAAGTGGCCGGGCAGTACGGAAGGGCCCATGTGAAAATACCACCTGAAATTCCGTGAGACCACGGTTGTGTTGGCCACCAGCCACACTCACGTGTGGGACAGGTAAGGAGATGGGTTGCACTTTATGCCAGGTGGTCACAAAGGAACACAGGGGGGCAAAGGAGGTGTGGATATGGGTAAGAGTGTGACCCCATTTGACCCGGCACATCACTCGATAGATCCAAGTTACAGGTTTGTTTAAATATCTGTGCCTCGTTTAAGAATATGATTCATGCCATGTTTATTCACTCACTCATTCCCAACTAACACCATCCTTCCTGTAGTTACTCAGAACTGAGGACACCCAGTGCTGGGGCAGACGTGCCTACGAACAGACAGCTCTGCTCGCCTTATTGGCGAGATTGGGTTCTGGGGCCTGTGAGATGCGGGTTTTAACGTCATCCCCATGGCAAGCCCATTGGACGGCCTAGGACACGTTTCTCGAGCTCCAGGTCTCTCCATGCCTAAAATGGGGTGTGAATAGTTACCTCGCAAGGTCCACCGGGAAGCACAAACACTTTGGCGGGCCACAGGGGACTCACAAGCCACCGTCACATCTGACCTCCATGTTTTAACAACTTCTGTCGGGGTTCCAAACGTGGCTTTCAGCAGAAGACACGGGCAGAACGCGCGGGGACACATGATTCCTGCCTGTCTGGGTCCAATTTCAGGGCTAACTCAGTGCATGTGGCATGACCTTTCACCAGTGAATCATTTGTTCTGTGCTGGTCTGTCCAAGGAATCGCAAACAGTCCGTTTCTGCCCAGGGCTCCTCTGTCCGGGGCCTGGAGGAAGAGGGAAGGCATCCCAGTTCTCCACCCCAGGCCAGCCCGTGCAGCAGCCCGGCATGCAGGGCGACGTGGGAATCTGGCGACGTGGGAATCTCCAGTGTCCCCTGGGGCCACTGAGTGGCCCGAGTGGCCCAGTCACATCCTGCAGAAAGAGCTGGAGAGTGGGCTGGGTGTGGAGCACTGAGTGGGAAGGACACAAATCAGCCCAGCATTACACCAAAAAAAGTACACAAAGTCAGTGATTTCGACAAAACCATCCCAGCAATCTTCTTGCCAGAGGCTTAATGCTGGGGTCGTGCCTGGGCGGGCTTGGGGTGCTTCTGCCAGTCCCTGGGCTCCCCAGCTCACCCCCTTTCTCTCCTCCCTCAGGGAAGGGGTCCTCGCCAATGGCAGTCGGTGGGGGCGGGGCACGCGGGCCTCCCTCCTCTCTGCCCTGCGAACACTGCACTGCCCCGTGGCTGCTGGGAGCAGGGAGCCGAACTTGAAATGACCTCCATAAATCTGGGAGACGGGACAGAAGGGAGAGGAAGAAAACCCAGCAAGGCATGAGTGGAAGAGTCTCCAGGGATGTCCTATTTGGTTGTTGCTTTTTAAAATAGCGGATGTTTTCAAAATCATTCTAAAACACAGCTACTGAGCCAGCACTCGCGGCCCAGCTTCAGTGGACACCAAGGTCAGGGACGGGAAGCACGAAGCCCACCTCCCCCCAGGAGCTGGCGAGCGCCGGCAGGACCCGAGACGTGTAGGGCGACCCGAAACCACAAGGACAGCGAAGGAGCAACAGCACGTGGTGGGCTCCCCAGGGACGGCTTCCTGGGGGAACAGGACTGTTGTCCTCACCGAGTGGGAGCAAGCCCTAGTTTCAAGCTCTGCACGCATGCCTCCCGGGGCTGGTCAGCCCGTGCCTCTGCCATTTGCTTTTCTGGCAGGGTCCTGACACCACCTTTATGGGCAAAAACACCTGGGGTGACTGTATGGTTGACTTTGCAGCCGACTGTTTGGACATGGAGCAGGCATGACCTGCAGCCTCTCCGGGGGAGGGGAATTCATCCTCGGCCCATGCCTTTAACTCCGCAGTAAGAGAGAAATTCTGAAGCAGAATTAAAGGAGTTGCTCTCAGATCCTAGCCTGAGAAGAGGGTCCCCCTACCCTTTTGTGAGAGGGACCCACACCCTGGTCTCGGACCAGTCCTGGTCCTCGTGCTGTCCTCCAGCAAGGGGAAGGCAGGATCCAGGTACACACTCCCTTTCAGAGTCTCTGGTGCCTCTACGGGTTTGCCTTGGTCTCTTTGGATGGCCTTGTAAGGAAGGCCTCAGAGGGGAGTGAGCTCTGCATTTTGGCGCCACGTGCTTGGCTGCGGCTCTGGGCAGCCCAGTGGTTACCAACCCTGCCTGCTCACTATAATCACCTGGGAGCCACCGAAAGTCCTGATGCCTGCCTACGTCCGCCCCAGAGATGCCCATGAACTGGCCAGGAGGTGGCGTTCGGCATTTGGGTTTTTAAAAAACTCCCAGGTGGTTCTCCTGTGCCGTCATGGGTGAGACCCACTGGGCTAACCTGAGCGTGGCGGGACAGCTGAGGCAGCACCCTCTGCTGCTCAACCGTGGCTGCCGTTGGAAGCACCTAGGAAGCTTCTGACAATCTTCCCGGCCCAGTTGTCCTCTAGCTCGATCAAACCCAAGCATCTGGAGCTGGGACGCAGGCATCAGCGTGTTTTAAAGCCCCTCGGGCGTCCAAGGTGGGGTTGAGGAGGAGACGCCTCACTCTCCGGAATTCCACCTAAAACAACAGGTGGAGGCAATGAGTAAACAGAGGCGAAGCCCCCAAATCTCTGGCTCTGTGGGAAATGGGCACTCTTTCTGGCAAAGAGACCAATTCTCTTAAAATGCCAGGCCACAAAATGTCGCCCTGGAGGGGACTGGCTCCTTCCCCATGGTGGTCTGGGGAAGCAGAGGTCCCCCGCCTGGCAGGGCCTCCCCCGTGTGTGGATTTGGTGCTCCCAGCACCCCCCCTCCCCACCCCACGCAAGGCCTGGAAGCCTGCCAGGATCTGGTGGGGGGGCAGAAACCTAAGACCGTGTTTATGCTAACCGCAGAGGGACCTGTGGTACAGATAATAGACGAGCACAGAAAAGCAGTATTGCAGCAATGCCCCACCCAACCGGTTTTTTCCAGGAAGTGGGAGACTCCTACCACTGAGCTTTTCAGGAAATGTCTTTCTATCAAAGACGTGTGTCATTGTTATCACTGCCGCTGGATTTTTTTTTCCCAAAATGCTAATGCAGTTGCCTGCCTTCTAAACACAGCACACTGGACACCCAGGGGCCCTTTCTTGATGGCCCCGGGACCCCGTCATTAAGCCGCAGAGCTGTGGTGCCTGGTTACGCACATTGAGTTCTGCACAACTCCAGGGGGCGCTGTTCACCTCAAAGTCTCAGATTTTTTTTATAGTTCGTTGCCCAGTTTCCTGGGAAATCACAATGCAGTGTCTTGAAGAAACTGTACTTTTTTCTTTCCTTTTTTTAAAGATATGATTTCTTTTAAGTACTTCCAAGACGTAAATTCCTCAAATGGTAGAATGTGTCCATTCTGCTTCTGGGCCCAAGGTACCAGGCCATATAGAGAACCTTACTTCCTTATTTATGCATTTGAAAGCATCTCCTGTAACATGAGACTTCACCCCAATCACTCTGTACAATTCTTTATGTTTTGCTTTTAATTGCTGCGCTGGTGGTTCGAGCCCAGTCAGGACTTGAAGGGTTGTTTTGAAAGGCAGCATACTGCAGGAGAAAGAACGGTCATCTAAGATTAAGGGAATCTGACTTACGCTTTACTATTTGACAACTACCTTACCTGCAAGAAGCTGTTCCTTTTTCTACCAGCTGGCAGCACGCTTGCCGATCCTGTCTGCAGAGCACCCAGGTGCACAGAGGGGCACCGGGGGTGGGCGCAGCTCTTTGCTCGTAGCCTGATAGGACCCCGGGGGGAAGCTGCAATTTATAATGATAATTCCCGTACGTGGCAGCGTTCTGCATTCTCCCTCACTAGTCCACAGTAAGGTCCTAATTCTCGCTACCCTCTCTGCCGTAGCAGCCCATCCATCCTCCTTCAGCTACTGTTTCTAAATGCAACCACGAGAAACAGCATCTTAGCAAGTCCCTGACTGCCCCAAATGCATTTCTGAGTCCCCTGGCCCTTGCGGGAAACCCTGAGCCTGGCGCCACACACCTGAAGTCACATGTCAGAATCTTTCTTTTTTAATCTTCACCTGAGGATATGCTTGTTGATTTTAGAGAGAGACAGAGAGGAGAAAGAAACAAGGAAGGAAGAAGGGAGGGAGAGAGAGAGAGAGAGATCCATCAGTTTCCTCCCTTACTTGCCCCTGCAGAGGTTCAAACCCGCAGCCTTTTGGTGTTTGGACAGCGCTCCATGTGTCAGAGTCTGGGGCAGCTCCCTTCCTCTTCACCTGTGTTCCTATCCTTCTCAGCCAAATTTCAGAGGGCTGGGGAATAGCCAGAGGTCTCACCCTCTGATTAAATGGGCTGTCATTGCATATAAACCAGCACTTCATACGGATGAAGTGCTAACAGGTGCATTAGTGTTAGCGAACAGTATTGCTCGGGAACGCATTTGTTGAGTTTGGAGGGGTTTGTGGTCTGCTCATCTGTGTTTTACTTTAACGTAAGTGCCCTGGACATACAGGGGTGGGCACAAGCAGGCTGCCAGTTGTGAGCGCTTGAAACACAGAGTGCGCAGAGCTATTGTAATCATTGTAACCCGCATGTCTTCTTCCATGCGGACACTGTAAACCTGCCTCTGCCCACCCCTGCACACTGTACAGGTTTCAGAGCTCCCTGGGATGAGCCGGGTTTGAAGTCACTGCTCTGAAATGGTACCACCTGCCACGCCCAGGAGCTCCCTGGGACACCAGAGGTGTCTGTCATCTCCCCTGCTTTATGACCCCCACAGCTTCGAATCGTCACTTTCAAGACTGGCTGGCTGACCTCAAGGTTACGGGAGGGGAGGCCAAGTGCGTGCAGCCCCCCGAGCTCATTCTCTTGTTCCTTGCAGCTGTGCTCTTCCCTGCAGCCCACCGGCCGAAGAGGTCCTCCTCCATGGCCTTGAACCCTGTCCTGCAGAACTCCCTGGAGGAAGTAGAGCTGCTCTATGAGGTAGGCAGAGGTGCCAGGGGCCACACCACCCCAAAGGCATCGCAACTTTTCTGTTTTTTGGAGACATGATCAGAGCCCCTGAACGTGAGTGTCATCTGCTGCCGTAGGGACCCTCCCAGACTCCCCTGTGGAGGCCAACACATCCTGGCCATCCCAAAGTGAGGTGTCCCCATCTCTCCTGTCCTTCCCCACATGCCGTAACCAGGGATGATGGCTGTAAGAGGTGATGGAGGCCAAGTTAGATTTAGGTCTGGCCACTGCCAGCGCCCCAGCAGCAGAGTGGGCCGTAGTCTCAAGTGAAGGCTGCGAGGCCGGACCTGTCACAGGGTCCGGGCAATGCCACGCCCAATGTCTGAGTGGAGAGCCCTGTCTGCAGTAACCACCTACTGTGACAGCCCAGGTGCTGACCATCTGGGGCCACCCCAAGGGCTGTCCCCTCTGCCTCTCACACCTCCCCCACTCAGGCCCCGCTTCTCCACCCACAGGTCATTTCCCAGGGCCGCTTCATTCGGTTCGGTGGTAAAATTCCAGGTTCAAGATTGGAGTGTTAGTTCTGGTTCTGCTCCCCCATCAGCTCTGTGACCTTGCAGAAGCCCCGTGTCTCTCTGGGCCCGAATCTCCTCCTCTCTCCCCTCCTGCCTGGACGTCCCCCATGTGCCGGAGGTGCCTGGCTGAGGGACAGCCTGCCGCAGCCAAGCAGAGGAGCCTGGGGGAGATGGCAAGTCCTACCACAGGGAGCAAACGGGAAAATGCACAGCCTTCCCCAGGCCTTGAACACGGAGGTCATGTGGACAGATCTGCTTTGGAAAGATAACAGTAGGACAGAGACAGACAGGAGCCGGGGAAGGCTGGAAACGGAGACAAGAGTTAGAACCCCAAGACCAAGAGGATTTGCTAGGTCCCTGATGTGAGCCTGGCTGAGCAGGGGATGCACAGGGCAGACCCCACCCTGACTCTTCAAGAACAGGCGAGACGCGAGGATGAATCTCTGCACCCACTTAATTCCTGGCACAGTTCTCTGAGTCCTTTGATCCCCAGCTTCTGATTGAAAATCATCCCAAATAGTCAGTTCATGCTTTAGAACATCCTCGGTGGCTGGAAGGGGGAAACAGAAGAATGGGTTAATCTGGGACACTAGACATAATAAGTAGTCATTCAATAGTGGCTTTGTACCAGGGACAGTGTTAGATGGTGTCCGTATTGGCCTTATTTACATCTCGCAAGAGACCAGTAAAGTATTCTGTTACTAACCATTTCACAGAGGGGGGAATGAGGCTCGGAGAAGTCAGTAGCTCCTCCAAGGTCACACAGTTGGTGGGAATGGCGCACCTGGACCCCAGGTCCCTTGGGTTCTGAAGCTCTTTCCGCAGCTGCCTCCCCAAGCAAGTGCAGGTGATACCCAAAAACAGCGATGAACTCAACAATGCCCAAATGTTTCATGTGTTTCCGCCTCTTGTGTTTCTCACCAGTTCCTGCTAGCTGAACTTGAGATCGGCCCTGACCTGGAGATCTCCATCAAGGACGAGGAGCTTGCCTCCTTGCGGAAGGCCTCGGACTTCCGCACCGTCTGCAACGACGTGATCCCCAAGCGCATCCCCGACATCCGCCGGCTGAGCGCCCACCTCTCCAGCCACCCCGGCGTCCTCAAGAAAGAGGACTTTGAAAGGACAGCGCTCACCCTGGCCTACGCGGCCTACCGCACAGCCCTGTCCCAAGGGCATCAGAAGGACATCTGGGCCCAGGCCCTCCTCAGCCTTTTCCAGGCCCTGAGGCAAGACCTGGTGCGGTCCTCAGGCTCCAGACTGTCTCCCTGAGGGACCCGCCCGCAGCCGGACTGCCCAGCAGGGCCCAGCACGCGCTGCAATCCAGAAATTCCTCATTCTCCACTCCATTTACAGAGGCCGGCCTCAAAGCACCCGCCTCCGCCTCAGAGCGGCAGAGATAAAATAATGAAGCCCCGTGTTCTTTACCCACGTAGCGTCCTGACAAGCACACCCGACTCATGTCGTACTGGGGACCTGGGCCGGAAGAAAGGGCTGGAGTGAGTGGTCATTCTGGATGTCCCCAGAGGCCAAACGGTTTGCCTGGCGACATGCAGAGTCTCAGATACACACTTTGACACTGAGTGGCTGCCACAAACACGCAAGAGGGAGGACGGAGCTGGAGCAAATCACAGAGGTTCGAGCACAGTGGAGAGACGGGCGACAGATTTCTTTGGTCCTGAGAGGTCAGGGTGCTGGGTGGAATGAACATCTTTCCGGAGGTTCTATAGTAAGATACACAGGAGCTAGAGCTGCAACCAAGCAAATACATTGTTAGCCAGGGACCTACTCCTCAACTTTTCTAAAGGTCGCCAAGAAGAATCAGGTAGAACGTTGGTGATTGTATGATCCCCATGTCCTGTGTCTTCCTATGTGAAGGCCGGTCCACTACACAAAGGCCAGCCCAGTCTTTTGAATGGAGAAGCCGAGCTAATGCAGAGAGGGTCCTCCTCCCAAAGCAGGGCCTTGCCCTTCTGTCATAACGCCCAAATTGTTTAGTATCATCAGAGAATTACGCACTCCCAATAAAAATGATTTTCAGATGACAGATTTTTACCCTCTCAAATGCCAATTTTTCATCTTAGCGATAATGACTTGATATCTTTGAAAACTACGCGCAAGAAATGCCTTAAGCTTGTATTTGGTGTCTGTGAACCACTGAAATGAAGGAGCTGGATAAGATCATTTCTAAGACTCTTTGACTTCTGAGGTTTTCACCGTGATTGAACTACCTGGGAGGTGTTGCAGGGAGGATCCCCGGACCCGAGAGGTCTGCCAGACTATTTGTAGCAACCCTGGAAGCCCCCAGCCTTGGCTAATTCTGCCCTGGGGGTGAGTTCTTCTGCTGCCTTCCTCGCCATCCGGCTTACAAGAGTGCACTTTTCTTGCCCTTTGCTTTTTGCCTGTTGCCCTTTGCTTTTTATTCTATGCTGAATAAGAGTTACTAGATGAAGACCTCTGTTAGGAGTGAAGTGCCTGGGTTCTAATAAAGATCCCTCACTGCTCTGGCCAGTGTGGCTCAGGTGGTCGGAGTGTCATCCTGTAACTGAAAGGTTGTGGGTTCAATCCCTGGTGCAGGTGCACATGGGAGGCAACCAGTTGATGCTTCTCTCTCGCATCAATGTTTCTCTCTCTCTCTCTCTTCTCTTCTTTCTAAAAGCAATGAAAAAAATGTCCGTGGGTGATGATAAAAAAATTTTTTTTAAAGATTCCTCACTAGCTCAGAGATCTTTCTGGCTTCTCCTAGGTTTACGGCCTGGTCCAAGAGGCTAATGTCACAAGTAGTCTGATCTTTGAATGAGTGAGGATTCACTGGGCTCATCTTGATTTTGAAACAGGTATTTAACAGTGATCATTGGATGATGGCAAAAGCTGGCCTGGACTTCTGTAAAATCTTTGAACAAGTGAGCTCGGCTCAGCAGCACTAGCTGCGGGGTCTTTCTGGAGAAACACTGGAATACTAGGAAAACACAGCTTTGCATCCTGACGTTCTCAGGCTTTAGACGATTCATAACACGCTCTCATTTATTCCCGAATCAAACTGCTCATGTACCTCCCTCCACTGCAGGCTGATACATGCTTTTTGCTCAGCTCTTTTCTTTCTAATGTTACCTGTTCTCTTTGATGGTCACAATGCTGGTCTCCCTCTGTTTTTTCAAGTGTTAGTTCGTGTCTCTGCACTCTCTCTCGGGGCCTGATTCTGCTTATCTTTGCATCCGTTTCTTGAAGCCGCTCCAAGTGTCTGGTGACTGACATCTGCCGGCCCGCATCCATGCTCTGAGCTCACTGGCTTTCCGTCTCCCTTGGGCATCACTGTCAGGCTAGAACAAAGGTCAACGTGGAGACACAGCTGGGATTGCCCAGAAGGCAGACTGGCCTCGCAATCTGCCTTCGCCGTTTGTACTTGTCCTTGCTGGGAAGTGGTGAGGGGGTCAGCAGAGGCCTCAGTCCCTAGACACTGGACAATAAACACCCGGACAGCCAGTCCTGCACTCCACCCTGGGACCCCACCCCACTGGAAGGGGTCTGAGAGCCTGCAGTCACCAGCTGGAAAGACCCACCCTGTGGTCCCTGGTCCCGATGCCCTGAGATGCATGGCTGCTCCCAGTGATGGGAGATCCATGAATGGCGGGGAAGGTTCCCAGGCCAGGGACAGCAATCGTGGTTCATTCACCCTATAATGAAAAATTAAAGGCACTTTTGTATTCGTAAACCAAAGCCCACATTTATGTGGTAATTCATGATGGAAAAAACAGAAACAAGAAAGGCATGACTTTTTTTAAAGACAAATGAGAATTTCAATTTCAGTGACTAGATACTTTAATAACACTATTTTAGTCTGACTACAAATTAATCGTTTACCCACAAAAAGTCTTATAACAATGACTTTATTTACATGCAAAATCAAATAGCGTGCTCACAATTGCCACCCAAAAACCCGCCTCTCTGTCCAATGAACAGGAAGGGAGAAGCCTGGACAGAAATAGAATCTTCCATTTTGCCTCCTGAATGCCACTCTGTACATAACACAATCACAACAAAGTCACATGTCATATTTACTCACAAACAGAGTAATTTTGGATGTGATGTTTGTAGTGGATTGCTGGGAAATCCTCGAATCCTGGGAATCCTAACGGGGAACCAATTCTGCCATGTCTATATTGCTGGGAAATTCGAGGATCTAGAAATTCTGGAAGTTCCCTCTAAAGCTGGCGTCCTCAAGGTTACCTCTGATGGCACTCAAAAGAGACACTGAAAAACATCCATGTGCCGAAACTTTCATCGCTCTGTCGCCTCACCTTGAATCTCACTGAAAGGGAATCAATTAAGTGGCAGATCAGCCAGAAGGTATTTCCACAGGTAAACTGATCTGAAATCAAATACTCATTCGATGACTTCACACAGTACCCCTTACTTTCCTAAACCATGTTCGTGTCTTACTCTTTTTACTGTAGTAAATGCACTCTCACGCACACACACACACAATGTAAATTTACCATCGAGCCATTTGTAGGTGTGCAGTGGTGTTACTTATATGCACATCACCCCGTGACAGATCTCTGGAACTTCTTCATCCTGGACACATGGCACCTATGGGACAGGAACTCCCCTTGTCCCTGTCCCCGCCCCCCCAGCCCCAGGCAACTACCGTTCCGTGTTCTGTTTCTAAGAGTTTGACTATTTTCAACACCTCCTCTAAATGGTATTTGCCTCCCATTTCTTAAGCTTTGCCCTCTAGAGAATGTTTTCTTCATCTGAGAAGTGGACAAAGTTCTGAAGAACTACTGGCCTGACTGTGTCATTCACTTTACCTAATTTTATTGAACAAATGTTTGCTGATGGTGGAATAAATATGTCATGATGGAGTTATTGGGCGTCAGTGGAAATCTTTTGTTATCTCGGATGACCTCACCGAGGAATTTGAAGTGGTTCGTGGGTTGAGCCGCAGTGTTGATTTCCACAGCCATTGGTGATTATCTGGTCTGTTTAATATCTGCCACCAAAACCTCACACATGTGTCATCGCTCGTTGTGAGTTTCAAAATCATCACAAAAATGAGGTCCCAATGTGGTAAACACAACAGTCTTGAACGTGCATTTAAAGAGATAAGTCATCACAGCCCATCCTGTAACAAGAGAATTTCTAAGGGGACCTTGGAAGTCCAGAAGAACTGGTTTTCTGGAGTTTCTTTTCCAGCCACTTTCATGTTAGCCTGGGGACTATTTCCAACCAGTATAGCTATAGATCTTGGAACACCATTCCTTACATTCCGTGAATTCAAGAGGACTTGGGTTGCATTACCCTTGACGCTATTCAGCCTATCTCAGACCAAGGCAATGCCGCGAAGACCCCTCACTTACAGAACATTTAGGTTTTCTCTTTCTTTTTCTTTTCTTCCTTGCCTCAAACCCTCATGTCCTTTCTGAGAAAGGCCAACCGCAGCTCCTGGTCTGCAAGCAGCAGAGGTCCGGGTCCCACCTGCAGCGAAGGCCCTGTCCCTGAACTTGTCAGTTTCTTCCCGGCCCTCCCATCTCCCCCTTGCAGCCCGGCCAAAGGAAGCATTCTGTTTGTTTGGTTTGGTTTGGTAAAAAGCCTCCGACAGAGAGCATTTGAGCACCACTCCAGCCAGAAAGACCACTGACTCTGCGTTCCAAGGACCCCTAGACTTTTCCAGAGAGGCAGGTATCCTTCCCATTCTCCCTGAAAAGCTCTGGCCTTTCTTGCAGGCTGAACCCTCTGCTGACTCAGACCCTTTCACAAATGCCCTTTGCCACCAGGAAAATCTGAAGGGTTTAATAGTGTACATTCTGGGGCAGTTTACTCCAGAATTAAGGTTTTGTTTTCTCCCTGCCACCAGACACATCATCTTCCTAAGGACTAGTGGTTCTGGGTCCTAGGGTCTCTTGCAACATGGCCATGCCTGGGGCAGTGTGATTATGCTTACAGTGACGGCCATCACTCCGGGCCCCCAGGATGCTTGAGAAACAAAAATAAGCTTTGCAAGTTGCCTAAATTCTGCAGGATCAGCAGGCCCCTGCTGGCACCAATCAACAAGTGCCTTGGGAAGAGATAGGACTCATTCTTTCCGACGCGTTGATTGGCTGTGGAAAGGGGCGGGGCTACTGCCTCTGTCCGGCTTCCCATAGGTGAATGAAAGTTAAGGTGGGTCTCCAGCAAGATTTTGTCCCGTAACAACTAGGAATGTCTTGGGGACTTTTTTTTTTTTTCCTGCTCCGGAGGCCGAGGCTCAAGGCAAATTATAAGTGGGAATCAATTTGAAGGAAAGAAATTTGAACTCAGTTGAGGTGCCAGGTCCTGGGAAAGGAGCCCAGTCCTATCTGAAGTCTGCATCCTCTGCTGACAAACTCCGAGGGGGGGCCTGGTTTAAGGAAAGGGGGTTACAGTGAGCACAGGTAGGAAGTGAAACTGCCCAAAGCAGGCCATCAGAGAGAGGAAACACGATGGACGGCACGCAGTACTCTTGGTATCTTTAATTTTTTAAAGCCTTTGAATGACTTCAAGGCCGAACAGCTACAGCAGAGGTGGCATTTTGATTGATTAAGGGGGCTTCTGCTGGCCCCAGAATGAAGTCACTCGATTACTAATCCAGCAAAGAGGGAACCCACTATGCCCCGGTTTGCCATCCTCTCCCGGTTCCTTTTGGCTGGGCATAAAACCATGCTCGCCAATCCCACCTAAAACAGGAGGCGAGGAGCGCAGCCTTCTGTGCAAGCAGCGGCTGTAACTGCCCTCCTATTCTGCCCCAAGAAGAAACAGGACTCTTGGAAGCCGAGAGAGGTGTAAGAAGTCTTTCTGGACCGAGCGCGAGCGCGTCGCCAGGAGCAAAGACATTTATCTGGCCGGCCCGCGGGCTGCGAGGGGGCCAGAGCGCAGAGGTCCAGGATGGGCTTGCTGAAGGGCCTCCTCCGGGAAGGAAAACTGCTGCTCTCCCTCGCGGTGCCTTTCCTGCTGCTGCCGCTGCCCTTGCTCCACCCCACCAGCGTGAGTACTGGCCTGTCCCCTCCTGGGGACAGTGGGTCAGGAGGGAGGTCAAGCCAGGGAGGTGGGTGGAGGGGAGGGGTGTTCATGCTGTTCCCCGAGGTGCTTCTCTGTGGGTGTGAAGACATGGATGTGTTTTCCTGGGGTGGGGGTGGGGGCTAAAATACTTCCTAAGCACTGCCATTTTCGTCCCTCTATCTCATCGCAGTCCCTCTTCCCAGCGCCCCCAGCTGGGAGTGAGACTGGAAAAGGGGCCACTGAGCTGGCTGCTGTGTGTCACACAAGTCAGTGGGCCAGCCTCCCCTGGCGACAGGGCTGGGCCCATGTGCTGATAAGAAGGACACCCTTGTCCTGTAGTTGTCAGGGCTCAGCAGGTGATCGTCCGTATGTGACAGCAACTGGAGAGGCAGGGAGACCTCGCCTTGATGGCGCTGAGGAGTGCCTGGGGGACAGCAGGACTGGGGTGGGGTGGGGTGTGGCCCCGAGGGGGCTTTTGTGCACGGAGCCTGGGCTGGTGGGCGGGCCTGGGGCTCTGATAGCCAGGATTTGAAACTTCACCTCCAAAGCTCCCTTGGAACGTTGAACTGAAAGCAGAGCTCAACCCCTCGCTCTGGTCCCCTGCGACGGCCCTCTCCTTGCTTGTGTCCTCCGTGTTTTCTTCCGTGTGTCCTGGAAGGAGAAACACCAAACGACGTGATAAGAAAGAAACAAGAGCCCCCACTTCCAGACCATGACCTAGTTTTTGACTGTGTGAGCAGAAGCGCTACAGCTTTGCCTCTGCACTTGGCTTGCTTCTCAGACCATCATGGGACTCCCTTCCCTTCCTTGTCCTCTCCCCCCTCCTCCTCCCCTCTTCCTCTTCCCCTCTTCCTCCCCTCCCCCTTCTCCCCTTTCTTTCCCTCCTCCCCCTTCCCCTCGTCCTCCCCTTTCCCCTCCTCTTCCTCAACCTCCCCTTCCTTCTCCTTCTTTTCCCGCTCTTCCCCCCTCCTCTCCCTCCCCAAGTGGCTTTACCCTTCGCCCACCCCCAGTACCCCTGAGACTTTAGGAAAAATAAGCTGAGAGAGGTTATCGTGTTTGTGGGAGGGAGAGAACGCCCCCCCCACCCCCCACCCCCCCCACACACTGCTCCCTGAGTAACCTGGTAACCAAGATTAAGCCGTACAGTTAAAGAGAGGGGATTAGGATGCTTCTTGAAAACAAACTGGCCGAAATCTTTAGCAGAATAAATACTCCAAGTGCCAGGGAGACGCTGATTAAGACCGGGCTGGGATTAGCAGACAGTGATTACTGCTGACAGTTTCCTGGGCTTGCACACCAGTCCGTTTTCTGCTTTGTCCAAATGAGCTGATTTTCCTTTTCCTTTCATGGTTTTTCTTTTGACCCGGTATCAGATGGATTTAAGGGAGTGCCAACCGAAGATTCATTGCCCTCCCCCCCACAGCACTATCGGGCACCCTCTGCGTCCCCTGAAGTCAGTCCCTCCCACCCTTGGGGACCCTGACCGTAGGATGCTATGGTCCCCACATTTCACTCTGGGACCTTGTCTTTGAGCATCTTCGTTACCAACGACTAGTAAGAAGTACCCACAAAATAATAAGTTACTGAAGTAGGCAAAATAACCTATACATTTGGGGGGAAAGGTATAGTGGGGAGTCCCAGAGGAGAGGAAGAATGGGTGAGCCCCTGCTTGGTTTGGGTCCATAAATAATTTTTGCAGAGATTTTGGTGTTTTTTTTTTAAGATTTTATTCATTTATTTTTAGAGAGGGAAGGGAGGGAGAAAGAGAGAGAGAAAGAAACATCAATGTGTGGTGGCTGGGGGTCATGGCCTGCAACCCAGGCATGGGCCCTGACTGGGAATCAAACCTGCGACACTTTGGTTCACAGCCCGTGCTCAATCCACTGAGCTACGCCAGCCAGGGAGATTTTGTTTTTTAAGCTGGACTTTTAAGGTCAATGGACACAGCCCTTTCTTGACTTAGCCCCTTTTTTCAGACTCAGTTTCTCTTTCCGTTGAGATGGGGTTTCTCAACAGCCGCACTAGGGGTTTGGGGCCAGATATTCTTTGCGGTGGGGGAGCTGTCCTGTGCGCCGTAGGATGTTTAGCAGCATTGCTGGTCTCTACCAACTCGTGCCTGTAACACACACTGCATGCGCCCCATAATGACAGCCAACAAGGCTTCCAGATATCACCAAATATCCCCCATGGCGGGGGTGGGGGGGCAACAGCACCCCCAGCTGAGAAGCAGAGCCTTAAAGAACCAGAAATATGCTGCCTCAGTGCTTCCCAGTCAGTGCGTGTGGGTTGGTGGAGGGCAGATGCTTTGACCCCCATATCCCTCGGGGCAGCTAGATGGAGCCTGGGGTGGCGGATGCCCTGGGGTGGCAGCCCAGCCTGCTTGCCACCCACCCCAGCATGGCCTGCAAAGATGACCTCTGTGTGTATCACGGTCTCAACAAGGGCCCTGCTCTTCTCCCTCTCTGAGGCCGGAAAAGCACTTGGAGGTCACCGCCCTTCCTACCTTGCACCAGACTTTTAGATTCTGATTGTAATCCTGAAGGGTCCTCAATGGACTGTTTGCTTCGGGCTGGAGCTGAGGGATGCGGTCTGGGACGCAGCTCCTCGCCCACTGGGGGTTCTGCGGGCTCTTCAAAGTGACATTTGAGGAAGAGTTAGAATGCTCTCCCTTTTTCCTGCCCAGCTCTCTCAAACCAGGCCCAGACTCAGTTTACCATGTTACAGAAGAGGGTCTCACAGGGGGATTCCATAACTAAGCCCTGCTTCGGTGTCCCAGGAGGGGGATAAAAGTAACACCCAACCCCCAAGGTAGATTTCCAAAAGGCCTCCCGGTCATTCATGACAGCAGAGACCCAGACCACGGGCCCCTCCCAGTGAAGCTGGGACGGTCGATATCACTGCATGAAAGGAGCAGAGGCAGCTGTCCGATCTGGGGAAATGCCCCCCGTGAACTCTCTCCCTGATGTGCAGCCGGAGCAGAAAAACAATTGACGGCGCTATCCCTTAAATGTCACTGCCCAAACACTGGCCGCGCCCTGCACATCTGTGACCAGTGGCAGTGATAAAGGGCCTGGGATTCTCCGAATATTTTCTCCAGTAGGTAACAGAGAACTGCTGGCCAGCAGAGCAGCCCGGTTCAGTTCCGCCCCCATCGACTGAGCTGCCTGCCAGACACTGGCCAGCTATGGGGGCACTGGCCCCTGTCATCAAACCTCGCAGAGAGTTTTGGGGTGTCCGAATGTAAGCTGCCCTGTTGAATTTTGAGGAGGTTGTGAAGGGACAAAAAAAGGTCCGTGTGAATTCCACGGGTAGACAGAGTGGGGAGGGGACCTCCCGGTCTGTCGTCTGCTCTAAGGAAAGTCCAGGTAACAGCGACGGTAGCTTATCCAGTTCCTAATGCTGCCGGGTGGAGGCGGCTCGGTGACTCCCTCCAGTAACTATTCTAGTTCTTAACAACAGCTACAGTCAAAAAGTCTGCCTTGTCTTACCCAAATTCTCCTAATTCGAAGCAAAGTGCTGCCTGAGACGAGGAAAGTTTCTGACTCTCATTTCCGACCCCTTCCTGTCATGGGTCTCCCTGTCCTAACGAGGACAAGAACAACTGAAGGTTCTCAGGAAGGGACAGTCCTGTGTCAGTGAGGGAGGGACATGCTGTCCCCTTTATCTGCAGCTGGAGTCTAGACCTGCCACTCTGTCTCTGTCAGAGGACAGGGTCAGGAATCAGTGAGCTCAGTGTGTTAAGGGCCTTTGAACTCCTTTTGGTAGTTTTATTTCTGCAACCGAGGGGATAGTTCTCTTAACTGCATTCTTTTCCAAATGGAGCCTTTTGATTTTTTCCACTGCTGATTCTGTTGCCTTATCAGCACTTCCAAAAAAATGTTAACTTCTCTGCGATCTTTTGGCCCCAGAGGATTGTCAGCGGGAGCGACAGCCAGCACTTGCTGACGTCAGTGCTCGTTTCCCAAGCCCCGGCCCCCTCACCCGTGTGTGCCCGGAGGGAGCCAGGGCCCCTCCAGCCGAGCTGGGCTCATCTGTCCTGACGACTTTTGCTGGCCACGCGACCTTTTGTAACTTTTGTGCGGGAGAGCGAGGACATGAGTGCTGAACCCAGGGGAGAGATAAACAGAACAAGACTCGTCAGGTTCCTTGATCACCAGCCAGCCTCAGGGTGGGCAGAGCGGAGCCCAGATGGCTTAGAACTCGTGTAAACGGAGGAACGCACAGCCAGCTCGGACCTTCTGCACAGAGGCCCCCCGAGTCCATCCTCAAGGCCCTTGGACAGTGACCTCCCCCAATAGCACACCAGTGACCATTCATCCACACTATTTCAGGCAACCAGCATCACTGGGGGCCAAGGTTAAGAAGGGCTAACTTTTTATAAGGATGTTGTATTAATTTATTCTTTGCACCCAAGAAGCTGTGCAACCAGCGAAGTGAGTGGCCCTGGGGAAAACGCTGGTAAATTTCCCTGCCTTCCGGGTGACAGCGCTCAGGACTTCCTTTGTCAAAAGAACGCTGCCCTGTGCTCCCAGCAGGGGGACTGGGGTCCCAGAGCGAGGACAGCCAGACACTGCTTAGGGTGCTGGTTTTCGACCAGGGACAATTTTCCCTACAAGGGACATTTCGCAATGTCCAGAGACACTTTAGGCTGTCACAGCTGGGGAGGTACTACTGATACCTAGTGGGTAGATGCCAAGGGTCCTGCTAAACATCTTACCACACACAGGGCGGCTCCCCACAGCAAGGACCTGGACAGCCCCCAACGGGCCAGTCTCAGAGCTCACAGGTGAACCGATCACACCAACTGATTCCTTCCTCCAGGTACCCCAAGAACATCTAGTGACTGTACAGCTTGACAGAAAAATGTCCCGCCCCGGTCCATGTTAAAACTGGGAACGCCACCTTTATATATGACCTTGGCCCTGAACACTGCAGAGAGCTGTAGTCCCGGCCCCACACAGTTTCAGGAACCAGCAGAGCTGTGATGTCCCGACAGTGCGGGAGCCACCCCGGCGCCAGCCCGTGCAAACCACGTGTCAGGCATCTGTTCAGCCAGGAGCAACCACTGCTTCACACACCAGTATGGAGGACCCGCACATCCCCACCACACTCCCGCCAGGGCCCGCCTTGCGCCTGCCAGGGCTGCGTCCCAATGCCCCTGTCTGAGTCTGTGTCCCGCTTCCTCTGTCCTGGGTCTTGTCTGCATTCTCAGTGCCAGTGGCCACCCCTGTGACTAACCGCCCCCTCTCGTCCCCTTCCAGGAGGCGGCATGTGCTTACGTGCTGATCGTGACCGCTGTGTACTGGGTGTCCGAGGCAGTGCCTCTCGGAGCTGCGGCTCTGGTGCCCGCCTTCCTCTACCCGTTCTTCGGAGTCCTCCGATCCAGCGAGGTGAGGCCCCTTGCGGACCAGCCCCCTGCTCAGCTCAATGCCAGGCCAGCGAGAGGGGGTCCGAGGGGAAGGGAGATGCACAAAGCACCTTAGGGGAAGGCTCCTTCATCCTCCGGAACCACCCCTGAGCACTGGGCCTTTGCACCGGCTGCTCCAGACCCTGCGTTCCTCTCCCTCTACCCTTGACCTCATCTCCCTCAATGGCCCCTCGCAGTGGTTTGCGAGGGAACGTGGCTTTGAGAGGAGAAAAGGAAGTTAGTCGTTGTTACTGCTGGGGCTGGAGAAGGGCAGCACTGGGGGAGCCAGAGGGCACGTTTTATTGTTTGGGGTGAAAACTCCTACGCCACCTGTCTGGTAAAGGGGCAACTGGGTTACAGGGAGCAGTTTAGGCCAAACAGAGTGTTTAATTGGACTTCAAACTCAGACCCAAAGACAGCACCAACAAGAGAGAGGACACGGGTTACAGCTCATTTTGAGCCCGTTAACGCTGAGCCGCAGGCGCCAGCCACCACCCCCTCCCCGCACCAGCGTGTGCCATGGTTATCGGGGAGAGCCAGCCTGGGCGTCACCAGGAAGCCCCATTCCAGACGGGCCACCCCTTGTCACACAGCCCCTTGCTGTGACTCAGGCCCTTGTCCCACCTTGGAAAGTTCTCTCCAACTCCTTCAACCTTTAGAACCCTACCCATCACCCTCTTCGGTGAGGCCTTTCCAAAGCCCTTGGCTACAAGTGTGGCTCCCTTTAGCCTTTAAATGGTACATGAGATGCACCGGATGTCAACTTTCTGCAGACATGTTCCCTCTGCACCAAGATTCCCGCCCTCCAGGATGTATAACACCTATGGCCTGTGGGCCCTCAGTTGATGCTTCTCGACTGCAACGTCTCTGGATGGTGTGTCCATAGTGTACTCTCCACACGGAGTCAGGCACGGGAATAAAGGGGTCAGTGTGACCCTGGGACTCTGGCTTTTGTCTCTCATGTTATTCACTCAACATTCAGAAAAGTATTTTCTGAGTTTTGTGCCAACCACGTGCAATATAGGATGTACTGATACCCGAGGGTGACAAAAGTGAAACATGTCATTTCTGCCCTCTTAGATCTCATCGCTGACACTTCTGAGTTTCCCACTGTCAGCTCGTTGCGTGCCTGCACGGGGTCCCTTTTATGGTGACTTGTTGGTCCCCAGGTAGTAAGAGTTTGTTGAGCGCAAAGCTTAGACGGCCTTCCCTGTGCAGAACTCGGGAGCTGGGAAAAGATGTGAGCCTATGGAAATGACGCCTGACCTTGAGAAGTTCCTATTCTGGCAGGGAGAAAGCATAAAGCACGTGGAAAAACACAGCAGACCCTAGGCGAGAATGCCTCATTTTCTGGCATTGCAGAGGATTTACATAATTCCCCATGAAGGAATGTTGTAGATAAATAAAATTCATTCTGTCAAGTACCCAGACTTCATGTTGACCATTTTTTGATTAAAGCCTTTCTCAAAGGCTTTCTAATTTCCCTGGTCTTTTAAACAGAAGTCGCTGAACAGAGATTAACTTTTCCTTTGGAGCCTTCACAATTTCCAGGGGGAAAAAAAAGTTCTCAACCAGGGGAGCCAATGTGGGCCGGACGATAGCACAGTTGAGCAACTTGAATGCTGGTTGGACAGCTGAACCTAAAGAGTCTTGAGTAACATATTGGCGTCAGACTGGAGAGAGAGCCCAAATGAAAATAGAAAAGGCATGTTATTGGATTTGCAGATGACTCAGCGATGGGTGGTCTAGCTACTGTACGGCGACAGAATCAGTGCTGACAGATGAGACAGTGAACCCGAGCTCACGAAATGAAGCTGAATAAGGATACATGTCAGCGGGGCACATGAAAAGGACCCTGGCTCTCAGGGGCGCACGAACTCAGCAAGAGTCTTCTCTCAGTGCCACGTGGCTGCCAAAATCTCTGGCATTTCCCACAGGCCAGGCACTGTGGGAGGCCTTTGACATGCATTCGGTCGCCGAGTCTCTCTAAAGTGGCTGTTATTTTTACCTGCACTTTACAGAGAAGGAAACAGAAGCTCAGAGAGGTTAGGTAACTTACTGGAGGTTGCACAGCTGTGCATAGTGAAACTTGAACCAGGATTATATGATCCCAGAACTTTGCTCTTCCCTACTGGCCACAGTGTCCTAAAATGTGCTGAATTGATAAACACATGTGTCCAGAGCATCTGGTTCTGGATAAGGAGCTCATTCAGGGGTAGGTGGCCAAGACACGAACCACTTAGAACAGGATTCGCATGAGGAAAGAGAAAACTCGAGGGGCGGGGTGACTTCTGGCCCCTACAGCTCTTCACACCAGGCTCACGGGTCAAACCAGAACCAAAGGCCCAAAGTGCCGTAAGGGAGACCCGCCCTGTGGAAGGGGCTCCGCGTGTTCCCATCCTCCACGTGTAGCCAGGCGACCGTGTCAGGGAGGCGAGAGTGGGCTTTGTGTGTCGGCAGAGGGTTGGACGCTAAGGGCCCTTGGACTTTAGGATTCCGTGATCTTCTTGTGGGCGTCCAGCCAGTACCTCCCTCCACTGGTATGCAGAGCTCGGACCCGTATTTTAGTTTTTAGGTTTTTGTTTTGTTTTGTTTTGCCTCCATGTGACTCTCACTGCTGTCATTCTGTCTGCTTCTGAAGTTCTCTAAGCCTTTCTGATGTGTTGCCGTAGCCTGGGCCAGTCCCCGTGTCAGTCAAGCCAGCTCAGAGTTACTGTTGAAGGGAGACTGGCATAGAGGAGGGGGCTGAAGGGCTCTCTGGGGGAGCCGACAGCACGGTTTGAACGCTGGAGCTTGGGACAGTCCCCAGCACGCCCAGGGTCAGGACTGCTTCTGGGAGTGGTTACCTCTGCTCTCTATCTCCATCCCACCCCCACACCGGCCCACCCCAGTGCACAGGCACGTGTGCACACAGACGCACGCACCTCCCCCCCAGTGGCCCTCCCTTGCAGGCCCCCCAGCAAGCCTTGCTCAGATCCCAGCTCCTGCCACGTGGAGAGAGGCAGAGAGGCAGCTCTGGCTGGGATAACGAAGCAGCCGCCGCAGCCCAGTGCTGGGTGAGTCCTGTGGCATGAATCTGCTTCCCTCTTTGTTCCCGATCTTCCCGGCCTCGCCGCACCCTGCAGGCTGCCCGCTCTGCCTATAGGCTCGGGGGATGTAGGCTGAGCCTCTGGGCCTGGCCTCCTGCCTCAGTGAATCCAGGCTGCCCATCACCCACAGCCCTCCAGGCACAGCCCAGAGCTGAGCCCCACACCCAGGCCTCACATGGGGACTGAGCAGGCACCTCTAGAACCCGCAGCCTTCCGAGGCCACGCTCGTGTTTCTGTGGGTAGGCCTGCTCCCTGACAATGAGCCGCCCTTGGCCTCTGGGCCCAGAGCCCGGCCCAGTGTCCCCCACCGGGCAGCTCAGACAGTCCCCAAAAGAGCCGGGGGCTCTTTATGTCAGCACTCCCAGCCACGCCGGGGCTGGGCCCAGTCAGCATCCATCTGGGCTCTCTGCTTGAGACTTCTCTAAGTTACCATGTGCAAAGAAATATTTTAATGAAACGTTTTCTATAGTGCAAATGTTAGAAGACCCAGTGCATACCATGGATGGGAGAGGAAGGCCCACTCAAACAGGGGACGGAGCCCAGGCCGCTAGGGCCCTTCCCACAGGCAGTGAGTGGGATTCGAAAGCCTCTGCCCTCCAAGCAGGTGACCCAGTGATCCGGAGGAGCCCACACACCCTGGCCCAGAAGAGGGGTATGCCCCCGGGCCAGGCTGAGAGCCAGGCACTCTGGGCTGTGTGGCTGGGGCACCGGCAGGAATGACCGAGAGCAGGGCTCCGGTAATGACAGGGAACCGTCCAGGCACCCCCTCCTGGGGTCTACAGGGTTTCACTGCGAAGTTGTTCGGGTGAACCACAAAACCCTCCACACAGGTCCATTGCCAGAGGCCACTGCAGGGCCTCTGAGGGCTGGGGACCTGCAAGGAGAGCCTGGGTCTGTGAGGCCAGCAGCAGGGTGCTGGTGGCCGCACTTTTGAGGGGACCTGCCCAATGCCACCAGATGCCCGAGTCGGGGCATGGAAACAGTCAGACCCCACACCTCGCCGCCCCCAGCAGGAGCAAGCAGAATGGCCGTGCGGACAGGGTTGGGGTCCACAGTGGGAGCAGGGGGCGCCAAGCTGGAATCAGTCTTGCCACTAATTAACCGGTCTTGAGCAAGTCGTGTAACCTCTCTAAACTGCCATTCACGCGTCTGAAAACTGAGGATGATAGGAATTCCTGCCTCAGGGGGAGTCGTGAGGACCTGAGACAATTCTGAGTGTGAATCTGAGGTTAACAGCTAGACTCCCGTTCTCCTTGAACTTCAAGGAATAGAGCCACAACTCCCCTTCCCCCTTTTAAAAAACTGTAAAAAAATTAAAAACCTATCTAGAGCACAATCCATAATTGTGTCCAAAGAAAGGAGGGCTCTTGAAAGCCCGTCACTAAGCGATGCCACCGGCGATTCACTAACAATGGATGGGTGAGAAAACGGACTTCGTTCACCAGACGTCTGTCCATCTGTCCGTGTGCCGCTCAGTCCGGGCTGGGCCAGAGTGCCCTGGCAATGCACTTGCCCTTCACTTAAAATCCGGAGGAATCTTTGTCTTTTAGCTCCACGTGGCTCCTTATTTCATTTCTTTCCCTTACTCCCCCATTTGATCGTGCTGGAGCACCCGATTCCTCGCCCTTGATCTCACCTGGAAGCCTGTAGTCTTTTCCTGCTTCCTTCTGATTATAATGAGCGTGCACCGAGCACTTCCTGCATGCCAGGCACTGCTCGAAGAGCCCACCGGCGTGAGCTCACCGAAGGCCCGTGCCTTGACGGATTTGATGAGCTGTGCGTCACTGGTCACCACTGCAAACAGAGTGACAGGTCACAAGGAGGCAGCAGTTTGCCCAACAACACACAGCTCATCCAGCTGATCAGACGTGTCACCAGTAAAGCAACCACTTCAGCCAGGCAGCTTGAGGTTAGAACCCAACCTCTTTGTTTTTTCAACCTTCACCTGAGGATACCGTATTTTTCAGACTACAAGATGCTCCTCCCCCACCCCAGTTTGGGAGGAATAATGGTTGTTAATGCTGCCGTTGAGTTCTGTTTACATTTACATTGGTGAAATATTATGTTATTGGTGTTTTTAAATATTTTACCACATTTTTACTTCAAAAATTTTTTTCCTATTTTCCTCCTCTAAAACCTAGGTGCGTGTTATGGTCTGAAAAATAGGTATTTTTTTTATCAATATTAGAGAGAGAGAGACTGATGTGAGAAATATCAATCAGTTGCTTTTTGTATGTGCCCCCTCCAGGGATTGAAACTGCAACCTAAGTATGTGCCCTGACCAGGAATCGAACCCACAACCTTTTGGTGTACAAGGTGATGTTCCAACTCACTAAGCTACCCGGCCTGGGCTGGAACCCAAGCTCTCAATTGCTATACTTGGCTCCACCTTTTCAAAGCAGCCTCACTGAGCCCAGCCCTTCTACAACACAGCCCAGAAACACCTCTGCTCTCCAAACCCAGTGACTTGGCACACTGAGAAAAACCGCAGAGCAGAAAAGCAGAAACGGCCATAAAACCACCCACGCCAATGTCACAAAACCCATGCATTCTGCTCATGGGAGGAGCATTCATTTTAAAATCTATTTTCTCTGGGCAAATAATTCTAACAAGCTTCATTGTGGCGTTTACCAACTCACAGAATATTAATCTGGTAAATTAGATAGTGAGGGGGGCGGGAATGAAGGCTTAGTGAGAACGTGAGTTCTAAATGCAACACGTTTTAGAAAACGATTAAGATAATCCTCAAGAATCCTAGAACTCCGGTGCTCCTGAGGGGTTTCATTGTAAAAGAAACTCAGTAGGTTAGACGGCTAACAAACACCATTACTGGAAGGGATTTTAATTATCAAAGCGAAAAGGCAGCCTTGTGCCTGGGCCCACTCTGCGTGCTAACGAGGCCCCCTTTGTGTGGCCCCACTTAGTGTCGGGGAGCACCTCCAGGGACCCCGGTGGTCAACACGGTGGCTGCCTGCTGGCATGCATGTGCCATTTCATCTTTACAACAGCTTCACAAGAGGTAGAAGCGCACATAATCCTCATTTATTTTTACTTTTTACTGGTTTTACTTATTTTTAGAGGGAGGAGAAGGGAGAGAGACAGAGAGGCAGAGAAACATCGCTGTGGGAGCGAAACACGGATCGGTGGCCTCTCACACGCCCCCGACCAGGACCTGGCCCGAAACCCAGGCATGTGACCTGACCAGGAATCCAGCTGACGACCTTTCCCTTTTCTTTTCAGGAGGATGTCCTCCCCCTGCCCTCCCTGAGCCACACCAGGCAGGGCCTCATTTGTGTTTAGATGAAAGAAATGAAGCCCAGAGAGGTCGAACAGCCCGCCCGGGTCACACAGCCAAGTCCTGGCTGACTGCAGAGGCCCCATTCTTTACAACTTGCCTGCGTTACTTCCTAATCACAGACGACGCCCAGGCTCGTCGCCCAAGCACGTGGCATCACTTACAGGGGCAGGGGAGGGCACATGAGCAGACACGAGCCCTCCAAACAAAATAAGAAAACAGCACATCCTGCTAAACAGCTTGTCCTGGCTCCAAAAGCTCCAAGTATTTATTTTGGAGCCAGTGCCAGGACTTCCCTCCTTGGTAGACAGAGGAACTAGAAACACTGATTCCACCACAAAAGCTACCTCCTAGATATCCTGGGAAGGTGAGGGGAGGGTGCAGTGAGCGCGGTCCTAGGTCCCCCAGCTCAGCGCTGGCCCTCCCCTGCAGGCTCCCACCTCCCGCTAGGGGGCAGCATCTCTGCCGATGGGACCCGCCCGTCTGGTGGCGTTCTCTGCCCTCTGGGAGCACAGGGACAGCATTAGTGAAGACTGGGGGTGAGGACATGGACTAGGTTGACCAGAGCAGAGGGCTCTTCCTCCAGGCAATGGTCACAGAGAGGGCAGAACTCGTCAGGCAGACACAGCAGAATCACTGGGACCAGGGAGGGAAGGGGCAATGGGCGCCGGCTGCCTTTATTTTGACTGTTATGTTATCAAAGTGGCCCGAGCAGCGTGTAAAGGTCAGACGACACTGAACCGCTCACAATGGAAAACCAGCAGTCTCCTTCCCCGCCCTCCCGGCTGCACGCCCCTCCCCCAGGTCCACCTCTCCCACCCTGGGTCAGTAGCTTTTAAGTGTTTTAACTGTGTCTTCTGGCATTAAGCTCCACATTCCTGTCTGCGTTCTGATTTTAATTCTTGAGTTCTCACTTTCAGACATTATTAGTGGACTCCCCATGAGGGCAGACGAGGCTTTTGCCCTCTTCCGTCCCCGCATCCCCTCCCTGCATCCTCCCCACATGGGTCTGTCACGACCTTTGTCCCTTCGATGATCTGTGTGTAACCGAGTGACTGTATGAGTATCGTTCACTTCAAACACGGTGGAATCTCACTATACTCTTCCTCTTCTGTCAATGTTGAGTTTGCCTACCGTTAAAAACATTCTTGTTTTCTCCCTGGAAGAGGGTTTCCAAAGGAAAAGTTAAACTTTTTTGTATATCTTCTCCTCTCAACCTCTGTCACGGTCCCACAGTTGGGAACAATTCTCACGTCTGACAAATACTTAGGGAGCATCTACATTTGCCCTGTTATTCTACCAGGTGTTAAGAGATACAGAAACAAACGTGACATAGAAAGAAACATGGTCTAAATTTAATGGACAAGAGAAGTTCACACAGAAAAGCAAAGAGCACAAGCATGAAGCAACAAGTCGAGCACTGCCTGGAGTGCTCTGCGGTGGGTGGAATTAATGGTGCCCTCAGGGAATGTTCTGGAGTCAGACAGGCTGGCTAGTCGCCAGGGAGTGTCCTGGAGGGCACCGGCCTGACCTGGGCTGCGGAGCCCGACCAGCACAGACCAGCAGGGAGGAGAAGGGAGCGTTCCATCAGAGCAGAGACCTACGCAGAGCTGGCCCTTGGACCCCAAACAGGCCTAGGTCTCAGTTTCCTCATCACTAAAAAGTGGGAGGGGTTGATGACTGGGGCGGTGGTTGTGTAGGAAAAAAATCCCTCTTCTTTGGCGACATACACATAATATAAAGCGCCCTTTACCCCTGAAGTATCCAGGGGTAAACGGCCAAAATGTATGTAACTTACCCTCAAATGGTTTAGGGGAAAAAAACAATTATGTACACAGGTAGTGTGCGGGCAGTCTTTGTATTATCATCATTTTGGAACTCTCTGGAACTTTGGATTATTTAGAGTTATTTAAATTTTAAGAATTAAAGCTAGTTATAAAGAGTTCTAGCCTAAGGAAACAAGCACAATTATGTGAGGTTAACAATTTAAGGATTTGTAGTAGGAAAAAAAAAACCCTAAATATTCAACATAGAGCAAACGGCCGAATAAATTTTATGGCGCGTTATGCCACCATTAACATGAATTTTCCCAGTAAATTTAAATCTCATAAGAAAATGATCAGAGTGTACTGTAAAATGGAAAGGAAGAGTGAGCTACCAGACTGTACATAGTGTACAAACCCAATGATGTGCCAGCACAGATGTTTTAAAAATGGAAGAACATATACCAACATATTAAGAGTACTAGGATTCAGGGTCATTTTATCTTTAAATTTCTATATTTTGAAGTTTTCTGTAATGAGCATGTATGGATTTTCTAATGAAAATAAACATAGATTCCTAAAAAGCTAAAGAAAAATGAGACTTGGGGGGCAAACCCAGGGCTACTTAAATAATTTTTAAAGATTTTATTTATGTTTAGAGAGGGGAAGGGAGGGAGAAAGAGAGGGAGAGAAACATCAATGTGTGGCTGCCTCTCACACACCCCCTGCTGAGGACCTGGCCTGCAACCCAGGCGTGTGCCCTGACTGGGAATTGAACCGGCGACCCTTTGGTTCACAGGCCAGTGCACCATCCACTGAGCCACACCAGCCAGGGCTACTTAAATAATTTTTAAGGACTAAGATAAAATTACAAGTATGTTTATTCTTTGGAATCATATTCATAGAGTTTTTATATCTAAAAAAGTGAAGAAGATTATTGACCTCATGCAGTTATTGCCAGGATTAAAAGAAATCATCTTTGTAAGTTCTTAGTATACTGATTGCCCAAGATAGTGTGTGTGTGCGTATGTAAATTTTCAAAAAATGTTAATGTATATAGCAGTTGGCCATTTTAATAACCCTCACCCCCTGCTCCTTGTGTGCCGGTCTTTGCTCGAGAACGGGTTTTGTCTGGTCTGTCCCATGCTCCCTACCGTGGCAGGTGAGGGGGCGACCCTGAGCGGGGTGGGGGGTGACCATGCTGCCCCCTGCAGGTGGCGGCGGAGTACTTCAAGAACACCACGCTGCTGCTGGTGGGTGTCATCTGCGTGGCAGCCGCGGTGGAGAAGTGGAACCTGCACAAGCGCATTGCTCTGCGCATGGTCATGATGGCCGGAGCCAAGCCGGGCATGTAAGTGGCACTTGGGGTGTCCAGCCGTAGTGGGCCACCTGTACAGTGGGCTACCGGGGCACATCCACTTAGGGTTGTGTCTCTACCAGAGGGGATGGGATGACACGCCAGGGCCACGGGGATCCCACCTGCCCCTCCAACGACAGGACATGTAACCATGGAGTCGAGATTGGAGTGTGTGACTCTGGTGTCACTTACTGTCACAATCTAAATAACTTACCGGGCAACCCAGACAGCAAGGGCAGCAGGTTACCAAACAAGGAGGGGTTTATCAGGTAAAACAAGACGCACCAACATAGGTTGTTTCTCTGCCTTTTTCTGGTACGTCAGGGAACAGGCTGGACGGGAAATGGTGGCTTCTCCTTTGTCATCTAAGGAGATGCAGGGGTTCCCTCCCATGCACCCCAAGTTTCTGTCGCCCCTGACCAGACCCAAGCCTGTCAGTGTGTCACAGTTGACCCGGCACCTGCCTTGCCCCGCCCATTCTCAGCAGCCTCCTCGTCTCTCTCTGCTGTCAAGAAGTCCAGTCTGGGAACGGGGTCACAGCCTCGGGGGAATATGCAGGAAAGTCAGCACTGACCGTCCAGGCTTAACCCTGCCCCTGCTCCGCTGGGTTGCCCTGCCCCTTCCCTTTGGAGAAGCTTTCACCTCCTTCTAGGGCGCAGCGATCTCTCGCTGTGTTTTATGCAAAGTGCCGTGACTGCTTTGGGAGTCAAACAACCCCTTTGGGGTCTAAACAAACACTGTGGGGTTAATTTGCAACATTAGTCATTAGATGAACACAGGTTTTGCTTAAAAGGATGTCCCCATCTCCCTCTTACCTGCAGCTTAATTTGGCGCTGCTCACCCCTCACTAGTAACACTCACACCCATCTCCCAGGCCCACAGTGGCATTCCCTTGCGTCGCCTTGGGGCTCTGAGGCCCTTTAAAACCCCTGCGTACTATCTTCAGGAACCTAAATCCCACTGTGTTTCCACTCGTATCCATTTGCCTCAAGGGCCACCCATTTGCACCCCCTACAGTGTCCTCTGCCCTTGCCGATCCAAGGCAGGCGGACTCCTGTCACTTGCAAGCTAAACAAAAACACCATCAGGACTTCCGCCCACCGGGACAGGGGCCACGTGATAGGCGTGCGTCCCCCAGTTGTGGGACGTCAGTGGTTCCACCCACCGTGATAAACACGCTCCTTCAGGTTGCCTTATCTCAGGGGAAAGAGAGCCAGGTCTGCGCAGACACACTCTGTGCGTGTTCAAAGTCAAAGACCAACGCCTGGGGAGTTATCTTCTGCTTTCCTCCAAGCCGGGACTCTCTAAGATAGGAGCTGAAATAGGGTGCTCAGTGACCTGGACACTTCTGTGACTTCAGCAGGCTCACGGTGGGACAGGAATGGGCCGAACTGTGAGCCCCAGGTTGCAGCCACTAGTAAGCACGGTGACATGGCTGCAAAGCAAGGAATGTCATGGGACTCATAAAACCGCTGGCCGCAAGGGCAACACTAGAATTCCTTTCTATGCAAAACATACACGTCATCACCGAGCTAATGTCCACAGAGCGAGAGAGCGATCAGTCAGTCCGTGCCCTCTGACCCCACTACCAAAGCTGGTCTTTGCTTAACTACGGGCTTTTTTCTGGCTTAAGGCCGCTAGCCCATAAAGTGTGAGTCATTCATTCAACGAGTGTTTATTTACTGTTTACTCGGTGCGGAGCCCTGGGAGGACAAAGCTGAATGTGAGACCTAAAAACCCGACTTTCTGGGTTAATGCCGGGCACAGTGATCCGGGCCAGCACCATAGGGTTTGCAGGGGGCCCCAGGAAGCCCCCCTGTGAACCGGCAGTGGGACGGCGCTGGCCCTGCCACCTCGCCCTGCCCGGCCCGCCCTGCCTTCCAGGCTCCTGCTCTGCTTCATGAGCTGCACCACGCTGCTGTCCATGTGGCTGTCCAACACGTCCACCACCGCCATGGTGATGCCCATCGTGGAGGCCGTGCTGAAGGAGCTGGTCAGCGCCGAGGACGAGCAGCTGGTGGCCCAAGACTCCAGCCCCGAGGAGGCCGAGCCCACCAGTACCGTTTGCCGAATTCATTCATCCTTGGCCCCTCTGCCCTCCTCCAGTGCACCTGCCCAGCTCTGGGCCTCAACTGCTGCTTCCCCTTCCCCCTCCCCTCCCCCCCCCGCCCCATCCAGGCCTTGTAGCCTGAAGCTTCCCTGAGACAAGGCCCCCCACCCCCCACCATTGCTAGATCTTCCTTCCTTCCCTTCCCTACTAACAGCAGCACCCCCTGCTCCTTTCCCCAAACGCTCAAAGGGCGGAACATGCCCAGAGCAGTCCCGAGGGGACCGGGGAGTTGTCTTGCACCAGCTCCCAGCAGAAGCCTCACGCCCTGTCCCCACGCAGCCCCAGCCCGGAGCCCTGCCTTACGGGGGGCGGACCGGCCTCCACGTCTCAGCTCCTGCTTTCCTTTGCTACCGTAGGTCTCGATGTAAACTGTAGCCAGCCATCCCTGGAACTCATCTTCGTCAGTGAAGAGTGAGTATGACTGCCCTCCTCGCAGGCAGAGCCCCCCAGGTCCACTCCAAGGTCGGGAAGGCTGGGACCCGAGCCCTCAACGGCTCTTCCGCACGTGTGGGCCACGCTCACATCTTGCCACGCCATCCCCGCCCCCGCCCCAATTTCCTCTCCATCCCTGGGAGCCGCCTGCCGAGATCTCCAAGGCAACTCCCTTCAGCGGAAGGTATTGCCGCGATGGGGCGAGAGATAAAAAAACCACTGAATCCGAGGGGTGTATCGATGATGGTCTGTGTATCTACCAAGTTGAATTTCTCTAAACGGATGTCCCTCTTAGGAGAATAAGATGTTCATTCTATTAATGGAAAAAGATTCACACAATAGATGTCACCGGAGGGTCTTAGAGAATCACAAAAGTTTATAGATATGGTCTTACTAGAGCTGGCCTTCCTAGACATGGCCGAGAAGAACTAGGTGGCGGGTGGGGATTAGAGGACGGTGGTAAGAGGGCTATGGGACGATGGGGAGAAGGAAGCAGAAGAGGAGGAACAGTCTCAAATGCTCGTGGAAGGTGGATCCATTAGCAGCGGGTTTCTTCTGGAGATTCGATATCAAAATGTGGACTTCAAGGTACTCGGCGATGAACGTCACACGTTAAAAGCTGGATTTGTGCCGGGGTGCAGTTTTGCATTTTGCTCTTTTCACAAAAACGGCCCGCTCCCCTTGCTTGAGTGAAACCAGCGTGGGGGATGGGAGAAAGGCCCGACAGGGCCCCTCCCCGAGCCCTGAGGACGCCTCATGCGACTCCCGTGGCCCTTCTGGCTCCTGTCCAGCGTTAGCACACTCCCGTGTTCAGGTCTCCAGCAGTCTGGCCCGGACTCCCCTGAAAATTTCCGTCTGTCACCCAAAGCCTCTCCTCTTCCCCTCTCATGCTCACACCCGCCCCCTCAGCCCAGGTCTGCAGAACAAGAGGCAAACGTGAGTGGGGGAGAGTTGGTTCCTCTCTCTCTCTTCCTCCACCTCCTCTTCTCCTCTGTCCCCCAACTCACTCTGCTGCACTGCCTTCTCCAGGGTGCAGGAAAGATAAAGGGACAAAAAGGTGTGGACCGGAGGTGTCATAGGGGCAGTGTCTCTGAGGCCTGACAGGGGCAAGACCCCCTTGGACCACCCTTCATGCTCCCCTTGGTTCCGTGTGCTGGTGGCTCACCCCGCACACAGGCACCTTTTCTTCTGGGGTCGCCTCTGCCTCTTCAAGACGGGTCCAGCCCAGCTACCTGCTGCGTGGGCCCTGCTGCTGCCCCGAGCCTGCCGGGCACTGAGAGCACAGGCTGGGGCATCCCCCTCACACCAGCTGCCCAGGCAGCGCCCGCTGGCCTCCTGCCTTTGCTCTTTTCCAGACGAAAATATGTGTCCCCAAACTCCAAAGGGAAATCTCAGGTTGCCTGTAGAACTCTCTGGCGTGAGGGTGCCTCTCTCGGGCAGAGCACCTCCCATGCTGTCTGAGGTGTCCTCAGCTGCCCTTCTCACCTGATTTGGGAAGGAAGGTGGCAGTGCAGGGGACATCGCCACATTCCATCACCTTCCTGCAAGGTGAACGACTTTCTCCAAAGAACGATGCCCTCCGTCTTCACTGCCCCACTCACTCCTTACCTTTCCCTGAAATAAGCTGGAGCTGAGTGGCAACCACAGGACCCCAAGTCCTGCATGTGGGTTCGGCACCTCTCATTTGTCTGCACAGCGGGTGAGGTCACAGCACCCGCTGTTCTCAGAACTAAGACAAACCAGAAACATCCATGTACTACTCAGTGTACGTCAGTGACAGGTCAACGCTGGCCTTCCTCACTACTCAAGGCCAAGGTTGGGGACCAACAGGTGTGCAGGGGCAGGCGCTGATCAGAGCCTCTCCCCCATCCCTGTGTGCACTGCAGGCCCTCCCGTGCCTGTCCTCTCAAACAAGCATTTCAGCAGTTTCTCCTTCTGGAGAGCGACCTCCAGAGTCAGGCAGTGGGGTCGGGCAGTGAGAGGCAGTGGTGGGGCCCCAGGCAGAGGCAGGTCCCCACCCAGCACCACCTCTCAGCACCCGCTGCCCCCAGGACGTTAGTGACCCTCCGCTGCCTAGTTCTCTACCCCGTAAGTGCAGGTAGTGATGCCTGCATCAAGGATTAACAATGTCTGGGGACTAAAGTCTGTACTGAATCTGTGGCACCTAACCAACACTCCATGCTAGCTGTTATCAGCAGTGTCAGATTCTAAGAAAATGCCCTGTGCCTGCCCCCAAGAGTCGCCACAGCGTCCCTGGAAGGTGGGGAAGACTATGGTGAGATTAGGCTTCCTTGAAGCCTAGAAAAAGGCGTCTGGGGGGTCACCTGCCCATCGTGGACGTATGGGGAGGGTTCCCATCCCATGAAGTCCGGTCCACTGTTAATTTCCCCACTTCCTTTGCTTTGTTCCAGCACCTCAACGACAGACTTCACTTCTCTGATGCAGAACAAGGTATGTCCTTGGGGTTGGTGTTTTGTTTTGTTTTTTCCTGTGCTTTGAGATACTTGAAAGTCTCTCAAGATAACTCACAGACAGAGATGCCCGACACCCTGTCCTAGAGCCCCATGGGTCCCCCTGATGGGAGAACAGAGAGGCATTTCCCGGGCCTGGACGGGGAGGTGCTCCCTGAACCTGGACAGGGAGGTACTCCCGGGCCTGGACAGGCTCCTGGCCGGGGCCTGCCTGGTTCTGAACGCCGGCCCTGAGTCCTGGGCTTAGCCACATACAGCTTTTTTGTTTTTTTCATGGAAACCCCATACTCAGCTATCCAGATTTTCAAGACCCACAGATTCATTGTTAGGATTTCTTTCCGGGTGTGTTCCATTCGCAAAAACCTCATCACCACAAGGGATGCATTTGGAGGGAAGAGAAGCTGCCTGCACGCTGCGGCCTGGCCTCTCCCTCCTGCAAGGCCTGCTGTGCATCTCTTCGTGCATCAGTCCAAACTGTGGGCTTTTACGTGGTGCAATTTTTTACATTGTGATAAAAATAAATGAAGGATTCATCATGAGGGAATGAAGTTCCAGAAAGCCAAGCTCTCTGTGATAAAGACAGAGCCATATTCTGCCAAATGTCGAAAGCCTCTTCAAACACGGTGCTTGACACCAGGCTGGACGGGACCTGAGATGGAGGTGGGCACAGCTGGGGCGGCTGTCCCCTGCAGGCTGTCCCTGGCCTCTGGTCTCCAGTCCTCATAGGGCTGGGGCGTGGGGTGCCCCCATGATGACAAGGGGGTCCTTCTCAAGGACCACCACACCCTCCTCCTGACAGTGTAATGGTCTCTGTTCCGACAGAACCTGAATGGTGCGCCCACCATCGCCAACCCCGCCAGAACAGCCAACCACCAAGACAAGCCGCACCCATCCCAGGTAAGCAGAGCGCCCGTCCTGACCCTGTTTGCCCCCCCCCACCCTGTGATGCCGGGAGCCTCCCCAGGGGCACTGGTCTTGAAGTTGCAAGGGCGTCAGGCTAGTGAGCTGTCACCAGATGCTCTTTGCCCTCATCCCTGCCTGAGATCCAACACCTGCCCCACTGTAGACGGGACGAGTCATTCTCTTGAGTCCCGGTGGCTTCAAGTATAAAAGCTGAGGACGGGTCCAAACCAGAAGGTGTCCAAACTATCCCTCAAAGGTGCTCCAGGGACATTGCAAATATTTTATTTAATACCCAGAGATGTTCAGGCAACTGTTTCTCTGTGAGAATAGGATTTTCCTGGTATTTCCCAGCAAAACAAAATGCAGAAGGAAATTAGATGCCGAAGCTGGTATGAAATTGCAACTGTCACTTACAACCTTGATTCAGATTTGTGTGTTTCATCAAAATGATCTCCTTTAACTTAATACCCATCATCATCATCAGTAACCACCACCGTTTATGAAAACACCTATGATGCTAAGCATCTTCTCTCTTATTTTGGCTCAGTGAGGTAGGAATTCTGAACCCCCATTTTCAAATGAAGAGGAGAGAGGAAATCATGTCCCCAAGTCCTCAAGCTAGTGAGGGGAACACCTGGATTCGAATCCAAGTCTCCCTGGCCACGTGTGTCTACACTCTGTTAGAACATGGATGCGTGCCACTTCACTGCCACATTCACATTTTATATCATTGGGGGCCGTGTGAGAAAATCATTGGAAGGAAGGATCGTGGCAAACCACTGGACCAGAGACCCTGTGAGGTCTCGTCCAGCTCTGATGATCAGCGAATCCTTCAGGAAGGTTTGGAAAGCTCCAGACCTCCCTGGGCCCTGCCGGGAAGACAGGCAAGCAGTTAAGGGCTCTGAGAAAGGTGGCAAGGTGGCCCCTGCCCCATGGTCGTCCTATGACCTGGCCTGACCCTTGTGCCAGGCCGTTCCTGGTCGTGTGAGGACTCATGAGGGGTGGCCAGGCCTGGAGGGGGACGGGGACCCTTGCTTCTGTGGTTCCCACTCGAGACCAGAGGTCAGCAACCTCTGACCCTGAACAGCTCTCCTCTGGACCGAGCAGGGCCTGAGAGGACCGCAGCCGGGCTGAGGCTGACGTGCACGGAGGAGGGGGAAGGAGGGGCGGAGAAACCAGGAGGCAAGGGGGAGACACGAGTAAGGAAGGAAAGGAGGACAGAGTCACACACTCCGCCCTCTGCCCAGGGAAAGCCAGACCCCTTCTGGAACCCGAGGCCGACTTTTCAGTCACCGCCCAGTCGGGGCTGCCATTCCGGCTCCGCGCAGATGGACCATCGTGACCGGTTCTACTGAAGTTCAAGTAACAGACGGGACAGGCTGTTTCTATCAATAATAACATTAACAACAACAAAAATAGCAATAGTTTATCATTCATCAGTGCCAGGAAGTGTTCTAATGCTTTATAAATGTATTACTTCATCTACTCTTGACAACGGTCTGGCAGAGAAAGTAGGGTTTTCCCCTTTTTACAGAAGAAAGTGCGATCCGGAGGGACCGCTAGGTTGTCTCACGGACCCCCCAAGGTCAAAGCCTTTCCCACGGCACCACGGTGCCCCTGTTCCTCATGCACTGTGCGCCGGACAGCCTGAGCTGCGTTGGAGAGAGTCACTGACTTTCCTTTGGTAGGAAAAGCCACCGGTCCCGACACCCGGCCCCAGGGACCAGGAGCTCAACAGGAAGTACAAGTCCCACCACGACCAAATGGTTTGCAAGTGCCTGTCTCTGAGCATCTCTTACGCTGCCACCATCGGGGGCCTGACCACCATCATTGGCACCTCCACCAGCCTCATTTTCTTGGAACACTTCAACAAGTAAGTAGTTCACTTAGTCAGCAAATATCTGCTAAGCTCCCACCATGTGCCAGGAGCGTGACGAGGTGCTAAGAATACAGTAGAAAATGGGGCCGGAACGGTTTCTGTACCAAGAGGGGAAAGAGACGATCAGGTCACCACAGGTCAGTGTGACCGGAGGAGGGCAGGAGTCTGCTGGGAGAGCCCCGCCCGGGGAGGCCACCCGGCCTGGAGGCCTCCCCCGGGAGGCAGCAGCGCAAGTCGGAGACCTGCAGCGTGCTTCGGGGTGGACTAGGTGAAGGGAGAGCCCCCGGCCAAAGCCCGCGGTGGGTAGGAGGGCTCGGGGCAAGAGGGCAGAGCACACAGAGGAAACAGAGAGGGCGCGAGGAGGCTCTCCCAGGACCTCGCCGGGCCCTCCAAGGCAGCGGTCCCCGAGCTTTCTGGCACCAGGAGCCGGTTTCATGGAAGACAATTTTTTCATGGATAAGGAGGCAGGGAAGCCGGGTGGGAGGACAGGATAGGGGGTCCAGGTGGTAATGGCTTCACCTGCTGCTCACCTCCTGCTGTGCTACCTGGTCCCTAACAGGCTTCTGACCCACACCAGTCCTGGCCCAGGGGTCAGGGACCCCTGCTCTGAGGAACCTTCATTCAAAAGGCCAGGAGAAGCCTGTGAAGGATTTTAGCCTTGAGGTGTGAGGTGATGAGATGTATAGTTTTGAAAGCTCATTTGGGGTATTGTGCAAAATGGAAAATGGATTAGAAAGAGAAGGCAGGCAGCAGGAAGACAATGCAGGACGCTGCCCAGGAGAGAGAGAGAGGGCGGTGGCCTGGGTGACAGTGGCAGGGGGAGGAGAGTGGTGGCCCTGAGAGACATCCAGAGGCAGGCCCAGCGGGCCTTGGCAGGAGGAGGGAGGGGGAGGCCACATCTAACTGCCGGGCTCGTGGCTTCAGCCATGAGGGCAGACCTGCCCTCGACCTGCCTGAGGGGAAAGGGGAGGAGATGCTGGTGTAGAAATTGACATGTCCAGCTGGGAGAGACAGCTCCGATTCTCAGGAGAAATTTTCAGGCTCACAGCATAGATTTGCTGTGGCCTGTGCAGCTGTCTCCTTGGGGGTGCAACCAGCACAGTCACAGGGCCGCCGCTCTCAGAAGGGTCCCGTGCTTGGCTAACACTCCGCTGTCACCAACTGGAAATTTCTTTTTATCCTCACTGGAGGACATTTGTTCATTGCTTCTTAGAGAGAGGGAGAGAGAGAGAGAAACATCGATCGGTTGCCTCCCATACAAGCCCCAACCAGGGACTGAACCCACAACCTAGTCATGTGCCCTGATCAGGAATCGAAACAGCAGCCTTTCAGTATGCAGGATGATGCTCCAACCAACTGAGCCACACTGGCCAGGGTTGGGGATTGTTTTTTAAGATTTTATTTATTTATTTTTAGTGAGGGAAAGGGAGGTAGGAGAAGGAGAGAAATGTGGATATGTGAGAGAAACATCGATTAGTGGCCTCTCACACACCCCCAACTGGGACCTGGCCTGCAACCCAGACATGTGCCCTGACTGGGAATCGAACTGGCAACCTTTCGGTTCGCAGGCCAGCACCCAATCCACTGAGCCACACCAGTCAGGGTGAAATTTGTAATAATATTTGAATGAGGGGCCCCACACTTGAATTTGCACTGAGCGCCGCAGATGAGACGGCAGTCGGTCCTGGCGGTGTGCACATGGGAACGGAAGCCATTGAGGGTGGAGGAGATTCCTCAGGGGGAACATGTAGAGTACAGAGGGCAGGGGGCACAGGTGTGAAGCTCAGGCACTGAGAGTAGACTGCGAACGAGAGAATAAAACAGTATCAGACAGGAATGAGGAAAATTCAGTGTTTCACAGAGGAAGGAGTGGTCCGTATTCTTGAGTTGCCTGAATGAATGATCAACAAAAACAAGGACAACACTGTATCCACCTGCTGTGGTGGCATGGAGGTTACTGGTGACCTAGGCAACAGCAATCTGGTCCAGTGATTGGAAAAGAAGCCAACTTTCAGTGAGTGGAGGGGTTAGAGGGGGTGAGGAGATGGAGAGTCGGCTGTGCAGGGAGGAGAGATCTGGGACGATGATAAAGGGAGAGTAAAGTAGGGTGGAGAACGGGATTTTAAGATGGAAGACATCTGAGTGCTGATGGGAAGGACCCAGATGGGAGGGGCATTAAAGGCTGGGAGAGGGGGGTAATTGACAGAGGGGTGTCACTGGGAAAACAAAAAGGGGCGGGACCCAGGGCAGAGTGGAGAAATTGATGGTAGTCAAGAGGAGAAACACAGCTTTCCTGTTAGCAGAAAGGGGAAGAGAAGAAGGAAGGAGAAGGGAGTGGGAGGAGGGAGGAGGGAGGAGGGAGGACCGATGAACGTTTAGGACCTGACTCCTCAGGATCTGAGCTTCACGGACCCCTCCCACCCTGTTACTCTGCCCGGGCTCTGAGATTTCCGCTCTTTCATTTCTGCGTCACTTTGTGGTTGGGCCCATTCATATTCCCTTCGTCCACTTCTTGGGCGGTGAATGGTACCCTTAGTCACAACTGTGGCTTACCTGGACAAGGGGACTCTGGGACAGGGAGGTGGGCTCCCTGGTCCCCACTGGTCTGAAAGTGCCACAGTGTGTTCTTGGCACTGGTGAACAGACCACCCCCAGAGTTCATCTCAAACACCTACAAATTAGTCCTTACACTCAGTATGCATATTCTCCCTTGTTAAAATGCTATCAACAGCATTAGGCCCTTTTATATTTCTCCACAAAAGTCTATTTAATCTATTGTAAAAGTCCATTCCTTTCCCTGGGCCCAGGGCCTGGGCTTCTGCGTGCAGAGAAGAAACGACACAACAGACTTAGGCCTGTCCGCCCCGGGCAGTGAGCCACTGAATGGTGTACCAGTATGTCTCGATCCAAAAGCCCTTCTTCCCAGCGCCCACTATCAGTGGCCCAGGCTGGCCCTTAGGGAGGGCACAGGCTGTCATAACTTCTCCGAGAGGCACACAGGTATTAGTAAAGCTAGGTCCCTGACCAGGCCACAGCGCAAAAAAGTGGATGTCCCAGTGATGACAGGAGATTACACACTTCCACCCTGTGCTTCCGTTGCATTCTCTCTGTGGGGAGCCTGCTCTTGGCCCTTCTCTTTTTCCCCATGCAGTGCTAGCATGAGAAGGGGGGCACAGTCTGCCCCCACCTCAGAGGTGCTCTGTGCCCAGCCGCAGCAAGAAGGGCCCCAGGGTAAGGAAACATAGGTGTCACTAGGCTGTCAGGGCTCACATCCCGGCTTCCCAGGACACACCACAGCTCTGACCCGGGATGAACGCGGAGTCCTGGGCAGCCTCCCCAGCCTCCGGAGGCAGCAGCAGATGTAGTGCTGATAAAGCGTTTGCAGATTCCAAGTCCTGGTTCTCCACTGGGCACAGTTAACACCTGGAACCTTCGTGAGGCTCTGGAGTCCAAAGTTCTCCAGCACTGATGCTTTGTATCCCAGAATCAAAACTCCTAATGTATACCTGGCTGCCCTCTCCATTCTCGGTTGTCTTGGACACCAGATAAGTAAAGTTATCAGAATCTTTACAGAAATTAAAAGCAAACTGCTCCTGAGCAACTTCCCTGAGTGCAAAGTATATGTACTTCACTGACATCAATTTTGGCTGCTTAGATGCCTTTTTCAGCGCCCTTCCTAATTCCTGGCCTGGCTCTGTACAGATGAACTGTCCAGTAAGTGAGTTCTAGGTCGCGTTTCACCATACTGTTATCACTGTCTCCATGTTGGTCCTGCCGTCTCCTCAAGGAGCATTTAGCGTGTTACCCCACAAAACACCACAGGGAAAAACACCTTTTCTAACCGCTGACCTGGTTCTGTCCCCTCCAGCCAGTACCCGGCCGCCGACGTGGTCAACTTCGGCACCTGGTTCCTCTTCAGCTTCCCCATCTCCCTCATCATGCTGGTGGTCAGCTGGTTCTGGATGCACTGGCTGTTCCTGGGCTGCAAGTGAGTCCCGGGCCCTGCCGGCACGGCAGAGGCCCTCCTGTCACCCAAGGTCGCAGCGCAAGCCCTGGAGGGTGCCCGCCACTCGAGAGGGAGCTGCCAAGGGACTGAGAGGGTGCCCCTAGTGGACCACAGTGGACTAGGTGGCACGTCAGGTGTGGTCTGCTCTCAATGCACAAAACACACGTGAGCTGTGCACCTCACCGTGAGCTCCATGACACCACGTTCTTAACCACAACTTATTGGTTAGAGGAGCTGTCGATTTATAGAGAGTCTGGATCAAAGAGTGTTTAGTGTAGTTTCTTTGCTCTCAATGCATCGAGAGTAATTTCAACTAACTTCTAAGGAAATATGACTCCAAGGAGAAGGTGCCTTAGACACGAGTGATTCACATTCGGTAGTCGTATGGAAGATGCTCATTTCCCTCAATGTAACCGGACGCTCCTCTCGCCATGTTATTTCACACGTCGATCTGCTTGACAAACCCCTTCTTCAAAACCACTGGCCTAGGTCTACTCCAGATTTGCCCAGGGCTGCAGGCCTCCAGCACGTAAAGGGGAGAACTATTATATAGGAAGTTCTGCTATTAGTCCATGGAATTCAATGTTCCCATCGGTCAGGGAGTGTTCTCTGAGCTGACACGTACTTTGTGACTCAGAGGCTGCTGTCAAAGCAAGGACAGCTGAGCACTACTATACATCCAGTGTTGCAAATAGAAGACCAACACTCTAGGCAGATAAACACACACACACACACACACACACACACACACACACACGTGTATCACACAAGTATACAGAAACGACCTCACGTGAATACGCCTGCATAAGTCCACAAGGCGTAACTTCACGTTGATTAAGCACTAGATGGATAACCCAAAGGCTGGGGAAGGAGGTTGATGGGAGGCTATGGAACTTGACATTTAAAGTCATATATGGTAGGTGGGGTTTCGGGGGCAGCATGCCCACCTACCATATGGTTGTGGGGGGAGAGAAGTGTTCAGAGCAAGCCAGTCACGTAGCATTTGCTTAATACTTGGTCTCCTGCATTTCTTTATGCTTTTGTTCATTCCCCTTTCTCAGTTTTAAAGAGACCTGCTCTCTGAGCAAGAAAAATAAGACCAAAAGGGAAGAGCTGTCAGAGAAGAGGATCCGAGAGGAGTACGAAAAGCTGGGAGCCATCAGGTAGGAATCCGCCACTCGCCTCCTGTCCTCCAGGAGAGAGAGCATGGCCTGGCAGCCAGCACAGAGCAGCCGTGTTCCCAGCGTGCCCTGGAGCTGGGGGGTCTCCCACAACCATGAATCCAGGCATCCAGAGGTGCCGTTTCCTGCCACAGTCCGGCTGGCTCAGATTCCGGGTGGCCGCCCCTCCCCTTCACTATATTCCAGGCTCAGGTATAGCCGCAGTGAGGGGGTGCAGTGTCACAGACGGGCGGCCGGGGGACAGAGACCAAGGCGAGGCAGCTCAGCCACACTCTCGCGGCATTCTGGCAAGTCGGGCCTCCCCATGTGGCTCAGGACGGGCCACCGCAGGTCCGGCGGCCACTCGCAGGGAGCCGGGGGCTTCGTGCTGTATTTGAGCGCCTCAGGCGGCATCAAACGCAGACCTGAAAACACAGCGTCAGAGAACCCGCTCACTGACCCTCAGCCATGTCCTTCCTTCCTTCTTTCTTATTGTTTGATTTATTTTATTCGTTCATTCATTCCACAGTGTAGCTGTTTCAGAGCCATTTCTACGAGCTTCCCCACAGTGGCCGGAGGTCCTATTCCCTGCTGTTTCTCCTTCTGTGGCAACTGGCATGCTCGACTTGGGGTGAAAGGATACAAGTTCAAGCTGTCTTTTTTAAAAAACCAATTTATAAAAGGAATACATATTCATTGTCAAACACTTTGAAAATACAGAAAAATACAGAGTTAAAACAGACTTGTATTCCCGGCATCCCAGTGTCAACCTTGCACCATGGTTAACGTGATGTCCTGTCCCTTCCCTTTCTTTCCATGTGTGTGAGCAAAACTGTATGTATCTCTGGTAAAACTCCGTCCACACTGAAGTTTCATAGCTTGCCTGGTTTCATGTGGCATCAGACTGTCGCGTGTGCCCAGGGGGTAACTGCTGTGCAAACACCGTTAGTAGGGGCATCTCATCGTAACAAACAGCTTTGCCGGAAGGTATTCGAGGCCAGGGAATATCAGTGGATACGTAGGTTGTTTCCCTAAAAACATGTAAATGCTTTTAAATGGATAATGCTCCGAAGTGCACTTCTGGTTCTTTTCTTAGATAGAAGGAATGACCAAACAAACTGAAGGCCCCTGAGAGTTATTGTCAGGTTGCCTCAAAAAGGTTGTGGCTATTCCTCCTCGGACCTGCAGTGTCTGCGGGCTGTATTTCCGATTATCTCGTAACCGTGTGATGCTGTTATCCTCCCGCACCCCCCCTGACCGTCTCCAGTGAGTGTGGTGACGCCGTCTGGCGCGGTCTGGGCCTTCCTCCCACGGCACGCCCGCGTGCGGAGCGGCTCTGCAGTAACTGCTTCCTGCCTCCCGCGCGGGAGCTCGGGACATGGGAGCACCACGAGGCAGGTGGCAGCTGCCAGGAATTGTCCTGTTTCATCTCGTAGCTACCCTGAAATGGTGACCGGGTTTTTCTTCATCCTGATGACCGTGCTGTGGTTCACCCGGGAGCCCGGCTTCGTTCCCGGCTGGGACTCTTTCTTTGAAAAGTAAGTGATAGCGTCCCCTCCTTAAGAACAACCCCGTCACGTAAACTCTCAGGGAGGCTGTGTCCACCGGTGCTTCCTCCAGATTCTCAGGGACAGGTGTGAAACCAGGAAGACACTCTGTTCCCAGGAAAGTCCCCCCTTTCCAAAGGAGCTTCAGGAAGAAGAGGTAGTCTGTGGGGTCTGAGTCACAGGCTGGGACCCAGGGCAGCCACTTCTCCAGCTCTCTGAACTTGGCCTTGTGACTCAGGCTCTTAGGACCTCAGCTGTCCCCTGGGTTGCTAGGCGACTTAAAGGGGAAATGCCCCTAAAGTAAAACACCAAATGTAAAGAGACTATGGCCACGGAGCGGCTGAGGCCCAGGGAGGGAAAGGCAAACGGAGGCTCCTCTCCTGACCCGGCATCCTCTCCCGGGGGCCAGGGCCACAGGCCTCAAGCTCCCCCGACACAGGTTCCCATTTGAGGAAAGACTCACAGGGAGGTGTGACCCCCGCAGGAGCGAGGGCCCACCCTTGTCTATTCTCCGTCTTCGAGACTCATCACTCCTTCCAGGACTCGCCCCGATCCGCGGGCCCACAAATTCACACTGAGTCATCTCCCCTGGCCAGGCCCTGCCTCCAGACGTGAACCACTGCCCACGAAATCCACCGCTGCACAGCCAGCAACGCTGGCAGCGAGGAAGGGTGTCGCCCCCTCCAGGCTGGCCTACAAAGGGGCCTGTGTTCAGACTGTCCCAAGACACCGTGCTGCCCCGGGGCGTCCTGACCCTCCCGTCCAGCTTGCTTGTCTCTTTGCCAGGAAAGGCTACCGCACTGATGCCACGGTCTCCATCTTCCTTGGCTTCCTCCTCTTCCTGATCCCAGCAAAGAAGCCTTGCTTTGGGAAAAAGAAGGACGGTGAGAGAGTTTGAGGGGACACACTGGGGCTGGCTCCAGTCACATAACACCCAAGTCAGAATTTTCAGGTCCCCAACCAAGGCCCTTTGATCCTGCCCAAACACAGCAGGGCAGCTTCCCAAACCATCCAGTTCCTTAGTTCGGCCCCGTCTCCACAAATCACACCCGTTAGGGTGCACCTGGCTCCACCTCCCTGTCTACCTGTGACCCAGGGGAGGACCAGGAGCCCTCGCCGAGGGTGGAGCCCATCATCACGTGGAAGGACTTCCAGAAGACCATGCCCTGGGAGATTGTCATCCTGGTGGGAGGAGGCTACGCTCTGGCTTCCGGCAGCAAGGTAGGTCTTGAACTCTGTCCTTTCTTGACCGGGTATTTCTCCAGCTACCTTGCCCATCGTTCCGGTTCTGGGCCGGAAGATTCAAAGGAGCTGACCGAGAGGTGAATGTTCACACACGTCACTGGGAAGGGAGGCAGTGCAGCCAGGAACAGCTAGGCTGTCCTCCTGGCGCTTCTAAGCTAGCGCTGCCGGGACCAAAGTCACACATCAGCTGTGCCACAGAGTGTGGCACATGGCACTCACACCCCATTGATGGGCTTGCGCTGTCACAGCAGGTTTACTAGATTTTGTAGCCATCTCCTTCTGCTGATGACAGGAGTTGGTGACAGATGTGTCTGTAAGGGCCCAGAGACACCCCGCAATAGCACACAGCAAACTGTCCCTCAGTCAGTCCGTAAGCATATAGTGAGCCCCTTTGGAGAAGATACGCTAAAGCTGATGCAAATACCCCCCGATTTCCTGATTGGCAGGATTTGGGATGACGTCTTTGGGGATGAGATTTTGGGAGGATTTGGGAGGAGATCTGATGGGAAACAGTTGAATTTCCTACAGTACTAGCCCTTTCTAAAACAGAAAACCACCTTCGAAGGCTCACACTGGCCCTCCCCCAGCCTCTCTGGGCACATTACCCTGTCCTGAACCCGTGGGCCACTGCTCTCTGCATCGTTACTGGGTCGCAGAGAGTGACCTACATGCACACTGAGTCCCATCTCCACCCCCAGTGTGAGATTTCCTTCCCGGACGCCCGAGCCTGAGCCCCTGCGGGGACAGGGCGCTGCGCCGGCAGGGAGCAGAGAACCGGTGACTTGCGTTCAGCCCCGGTCCTCTGGGGGCTTCCCCTGGCGGCTGGCTCTGTTCTCTGGAACCCTCTTTAGGTGATAATTATTAAAGTAATAACTTACCAACCCTCCTAGATCACTGTTTTCCAACTGGAACTCCTGAGCCCTTTTAGCTATTCCTCATAAAAGCAGTGGCCCCTTACCACGCTGGTTCGCTTCTCAGGGCTCAGCAGCTTGCCCTTGGCCTTCTTCAAACATGGTCCAGGGTCAGTGAGGATAAAGCAGCTACACTCCCCCAGCCCGTCTCTCACGTCTCACCCAAGCACCGTCCTGTATCTGTATGGGAGGTTTTACAAGGTTTTCCTTTGGCTCTCATGTCAACATCGAGGTTGGAATTGCAGTCAACTAAACTCTTCATTCTTTTCATTGTCAGCCACTGTTAGGCCTCGAGTCCTCCAACCAGTTCTGCCTATATATACGCTGTCAATATTTCTAACTCCAAGTTCGAGATGTCGTATTTCTCTTTATTGAGTTTCAGTGGTTAGTTCTGGCCTCCGAGCCTAGCCTGGCAAGATCTTTCTCTTTTTAACCAAAATTGGGCATCTATGACAGATAGTACAGTTTACATTTCTGCAAAACCCTGACTCACTAATTTTAATAATTCAGGTACAATATACGTAATTTCTACTGAGTTTGAAATAATGTCAGTCTTGACATTAGTGAGGAAAATGCAATGCATAAATTTTTCATACCAAGGGCTTAAACTATGAAGACTTCCTTTGTCGTGTCTTTTTCTAACTTTGTAGTCTCATTTGTCAGTTTATCTCAGATTATAGTATAAAATAGTTCTTCTGGGGAAAAACAACAGCCATTAAATTTTTTCACTTTACTTACAAGTGCTGTTTGGATAACATGGTAAGTAAAACTCCATTTCTTTATATATAAAAAAAAATGTATGGTTTCCTGTGCGTGAACTGCCCTCCCTCCCTCCATCTTTACCCGCTGATCAAGGTTTCATGCGTTACAAGAGCTCCAATTACAGACTTCCTATAGGCCCCCAGGCTCTGTACCAAGCATGAAATAGTGTAGTCCATTGGATTTGCAACAGGCAGTCAGTTGAGGGGAAAAAAAAAGAAAGAAAAGTATGCCAAGGCTAAAATGGCTGCCACAGAGAGAATTCTGGAGGTCTGGCCATCAGCTCTCTGCGAGCTGGCCACGAGGAAGCCTGGGCGCTGTGGGGGTCGAATGAGCGTTTGACAATTTGGAGGAGGCAAAGCAGCCTGCCGACACTACAGAGGGGCTGTCTTCAGCTGTGAAACACGAGCAGAGCTCGAGGAACCACAGAATGTTGCACCTTGCTTTCTTCCCTGCTCCTCTTTCTCTGTTGCACTTGCAGTCTCTCGGGTAAACAGGGAAAGTCAGAGCGCATCAACCGCAGAAGGGAGAGGAGGGAGGAGGGCGGGAGGTTGCATAAGGCAACCTGGGTTTTTTTTTTAGCACAAAAACTAAATACTGCTCTTCATGTTTTTGGGAAGAGGCAGAGCCCTCCCCATTGCCAGACGAACAGCTTCCACCCCAATGAATCACTCCAAGTGGGATATTAGTTTCTTGGAGTGGCTAAGTATAAATGCTGCTACTGGAGAAAGTTCAAGATTGGCAATACGCTTTCATATCCGGTATCCTCAGAAACCACGGGCAGGCTGTAGACCCTGATGTCAGCCATGATGGGATTTGAACCTACGATGGGTCGAGGCCAAATGCCCGTGCTTACAGGCCAGTGAGGAGGCACCTGCCCCACTGAATGCAGACGGGCTAGTAGTCCTCCCCGTCATCACTCAGGTGAAACTCCTAATGTTCAGCTCAGCCTGCTCGATCCCCCTCAAAACACAGGAATGGTTACGATCTAAAGAGGTTCATAGTTTTTCTCTCTCTCGGGGGATGAGGGAAGTATTTCAAAAGCAGAAGGATCACACTTGGCACCGTAAAGGCCGCTGCTGACTGGCTGCAGACAGTGAGCACGTGTGGCAGAGGCTGGAGAGAGAGTGACGAGAGTGAGGTGGAGGAGCCCATCAACCCAAGGATCTCCAGCCCCTGCCAAGCCGTTACGGCTGTTAGGGTGGGTGGCTCTCCATTTCCGTGACAGCAACTGAGCAGGAAACCCTGGGGCTGAATGTTGTACAATCATAAAAAATATATATGATGGGCTACAAAAATGATCTAATAGTAAAAATCAGGAAAGCCGCTGGGTCCAGTCTGCCCGAAAACAGGGAGGTGAGTTGGAGCACCGCTGTGGTTCCTCGGCCCCCGACAGCCCCGGCCCCCAGAGCCCCAGCTCCCCTGGGAACGTGCTTTCCCTCCTTTCTCCTAACGGTGCCTTGGCCCGCAGAGCTCTGGCCTCTCCACGTGGATCGGGAACCAGATGTTGTCCCTGAGCAGCCTCCCGCCGTGGGCGGTCACCCTGCTGGCATGCATCCTGGTGTCCATCGTCACCGAGTTTGTGAGCAACCCTGCCACCATCACCATCTTCCTGCCCATCCTGTGCAGCCTGGTGAGTAGCGCGGGGCTCCCGGATGTCCGGGCGGGCAGCCCAGGGGCCTGCAGGGGCAGGCCTGGGCCCGGGGGCAGCTTCCACGGCTGTCCTCTCCCTTCTGGTCATTTCCACAGCCTTCACTCATTGGTGCTCACACTGTAGTTTGAAAACTTACGTTTTTCCAAAAGCAACTGGTAAGGAAATAGATAAATTAAAAAACCACAGCAACTGTTCTAGAAACCCTTTCTGAAAAGACCAGGATTCGTTTGGGGGCCTCCCTGAATGGAAACCTCACAGCCCTAAGGTTCCAGTTCCCCAGAATCATCACCATCCTTTCTCCCCTGTGCTGAGACCGAAGAGCAGGGCTGGAGAGTAACTACAGAAAATGGAGACAAAATGCTCCCAGAAGTACACTCAGGGACAAGGACCAAGACCACAGCTCTACCACCACCTCCACCCGATTTCAGTGTCCAGAAGGTTCTGAGAGTCGGGGGCAAGGCCAGCCTCATTCCACGAGCTCAGAACAATGCGCTATGAATGGAATAGGGCAGGGCGGCAGCTGCCAGCTCTTGGCCTGGCGGGGCGGCCCCAAAGGTAACGCACCACACACGATACACCCGTTCTGTGAGGCGGAACCTATGGAACGAAGGCTCTTCCCCATTCCCCACACAACAGGGTCCCCCTGCTCTTTCTGACCCCCAAATCTTGGCTCATTGTGCAGATGCCCCCCCTCTACCCCCCGCCTCCCACCATCTCATTAGTGCGAGCACCGGAGAGTGCTCAGTTAAAACTTGGCAGCGCCGAGGGCCAGCCGATGGGTTCACATCCACGTAGGGCAAGGAGCTCGCCCAGGAAAAAAGGCCCCTTAGTTCTGTACCCCCACAGTGAGGGACCTCTCCTTCAATCAAAGCAGCCTATTGCTGAGATCTGTGTTCAAAGAAAGAATTTCTCAGCTAAAGAATAAACTTCAGAGACCACTTCCTTCAACCAGCACCGAGAAGGGAAACACCCCTCCTAGGAGTAAGTCACAGCCGTGTTCCTGTGGGGAGGGAGCGAATGGCATGAGCACGTTTGCATGTCCTGAGGGCAGTGACTGCACCACCCCTGGCGTAAGGGGTCCAGCCGAGGCTGGCCAGCACCAAGCCGTTGTTTCAAGCACATCTTCGACGTTAAGCCCAGGAAACGGCAGTCTCGCGTCCATGCTAATGCTTCTGTGCGTTCTCTCCTTCTAGTCGGAAACGCTGCACATTAACCCGCTCTACACCCTGATCCCCGTCACCATGTGCATCTCCTTTGCAGTGATGCTGCCTGTGGGCAACCCCCCCAACGCCATCGTCTTCAGCTACGGGCACTGCCAGATCAAAGACATGGTGAGTGCCGCCGGGCCGGCTGCGGTGGCAGGGGGGCGGCTGGCTCCACCGCCTCCTCCTGGAGTTTGTTCTTTGGCAGCAGTTGTCTTCGGACTCTCCGCGCTCAGCCTAGCGTGGGAGAAAGAATGGGTTCTGGGTGGGGGCAGGGGGTCCGGCAGCACCAAGAAGGGCAACAAGGGGCTCCTGCCAGCCCTTCTCTGGGAGCGAGGGGGCCGTGGACGGAGAGAGCGGGAGCACACGGGCGTGGCCCAGGTCCTGAAGGCGTGAGTTTGTGCAGTCTCTGCCTCAGTTTCTTCATGGGACCAGTGGGCTGTCCATTCAAACAGCTGGCTTAGCGCTAGAAGGCGAAGTTGGAGAAACTGTATGAACCTAAGGTAGAAGGTCTCTGGTGAGAAGAGGATCCTTTTGTTGAACTCTCCCCAGGCAAGAAATCCCTGAAGTAACATGGCAAAATGAAGCATCCACAGCTCATTTCTCAGTGTTCAGCTGGGCTTTTGCAAAAGATGCCCGAGAGGAGGCATCCTAGGGCTGGTTTTAGAGCTGGGCACACCCAACTGGCACAGAGGCCTGGGGCCCGCCTGTCTGAAACAGGGTCCACTCACCCTTGTGAGGGTCTCAGACATTTTTTTCACTAGAGCCCAAACTCATTCTCAGCAGCCCTGTTAAGTATCCCTTGGAGGAAAGCAAGAGTGAGTGTCAAGCTGGTAGCAGATACTCGGGTCCTTCTACTGTCCAAACTGCTCACCCAGCTCTCCTGCAATGCTTCGGCAAGGTCACAGCCACCCCTTTCCCCGTCTTACTGCACAACCCTCAGTCTCATCCTGAGCTCTGCCCCAACTGTCCCCTGCGCCGTGGCTGTGTGCCCCCACCACTCACCACAGCCCTCTGCCCTGGAACCAGGGGATCAGGGGCAGTAACTTTCAAAAACACCAGACAACAAGAAGTGAGCCAGTCCTCGGTCCTATTTCCAACTGGGACCCTGACTGGAGACTTCAGTTTCCTTACCCGCACGCTAATGCTCTATGGGTCCCCTTCAGCTCTGAATGACCTCAACCTTGCCCCTTTACAACCTCTCACCTGCTAGGAAATGTGGGCAGCTCTCCACCCCAAAAGGCCCAGAGGGCGAGAATGATTAACACGTCCAGGGCTTGTGCCAGAAAGCAGAGAGGGGCCAGGTCCACTCATTTGCTTGGGACAGTTCCCTGGTGTTCCCCTTTCCCTTGCACCCTCCCCAGGTTAGCGCCAGCTGGTGGGCCTGCTGAGGCTGCACGCCGGGCCTGGCCATGCGTCTGGCCCTGGCTGTGCCGTCCGTCACGCCTCACAGCCCCTCACCTGGGAGTCCCAACGCTGTGGCAGAAAGGGAAGGGTCAGTCACTGAGGTGACAGTCCCTCAGAAGAAAGCAAAGTTAGCACTCCCGTGTCCCCTTCCCATGGAAGAGCTGAGCAGACACAGCCAACCCGTTCCCCCAGGTGAACCCACGACACACAACTTCCACGAGCTGCTCCGTGAGGAAGGAAAGGAAAGGGTAACAGTGGCGAAGGCTCCACGGAACACAGCCCCTCCTCCGGGTCCCCGCACCCGTCAGCACAATAACGGCTCTGGCCAGTTCCTGCCTTAAAGAGACCTGGGCGATTGTAACACGTTTCACCATCGTGCAGCTGCAGGGCCCTTTGTCAGTGTAACCCCTGATGTTCAGATCTCCGGCGTTCTGAGCACTTCCCTTCCGGGCCTCCTCTGGACGGTGAGGGCGCTCCAAGTGGGGAGGATTCCAACAGCCTCTCCCAGCCCGAGCCTCCCCTCCCCGCCGCCCTTTCTGTCCTTCCGGTCCTGTGCCACACTGCACGGCAGCCCTGGAGCACCACCGGTGGTGCCGGGAACAAGGCAGGGTCCAGTGAGTGGCCTGCAATTTTGGGGGAGGGGGAGGCACAGATGGGGCGCACTCAGGGTGCCGTGCCGCTGCCTGCTCAGAGTGACGAGGGTGTGCTGGTTTGTGTCCTGCAGGTGAAAGCTGGCCTGGGGGTCAATGTCATTGGCCTGGTGATAGTGACGGTGGCTATCAATACCTGGGGAATTAGCCTCTTCGACCTGGACACTTTTCCAGCCTGGGCCAAGGTCAGTAACGTCACTGATCAGGCCTAACACCAGCGGGCAGGCGGCCAACCAAGGGGGTGGCCCGACCCCAGCAGGATGTGACCTATGAACAGGCCACGAAAACGCCAGGAGCAGACATCCCCCACCAGAAGATTCCGCCACCTACCACCTCAAGTGCAGCGTGGGACGCCTCCCCCACACAACCAGAGCTCAAGAAAACAGACCGCTTCCTCACTCCTTTGCATCTCGCCTCTGCTGTCCCTCCTGTCCATTCTTTCGGACCACAGGAGGAGAGGGCCTGCCCTAGCCGCCCCTCAGGGGTCAAGCCTCCCTCCCTGGGTTTGACGTTACTGTTAATTTCTCAGTCCCTTCTCGGGAGTTGAAGAAGGAATCCACATCATCCTGCCTAGGCGCCGGCAGTGACACCAGTGACACCTCTTTTGTAGGCAAATCTCACCGAGAACTCGAGACCTTACGGCGTCTCCTTTCTCTTAAGCGTCTCTGTCCTAAGTTCTCGCCACAGAAAGGCGATTCTTAGTGAGTCCTCTCTGTGGCGGTCAGAACCCGTTTTATCACTACCCTGATTCCCTTTTAAGCATCCCTCTCTCTTCAGTGGCTTCTCTGTACCTTGGCCCCAAATTCCTATAAAGAAATACTGTTCCCCTTTCGAAAAAGGCTGCTGTCCTCTCTGTCAAAGGAAAAGGAAGTAGAGAAACAAGGCACACTGCGATTAGCATCTCTCTTCGCACATCGCCAACCATCGACACCACTGTGCCAGTTATGTGTCGGGAGGGAGGGGCATTTTCATACCTGTCTCATGCAGGAGGCTGAAACTAGAATTGAGAGCATGGCACTATGCTGGTATGTGACTGGCTTCCTTCTGGGTGGAACGAGCAGTTCGCTCCTGAGAAGGCAGGAACGGAAAGGGCCCAACCCAGCAGTCACTGTCTGTGAGCTGGCGAGCCCTTGGGGGGCAGAGGAGATGTTGTACGTCTCTGCAAGCTCCCAGAGACTTGTGCGATCTGGTAAACTGTAACTGCTCAATAAATGTTTCCTTGAGAAAGACCACTTCAGAGATCAAAGCCTCCTTCTTCCTCCTGAGAACCCTGCCATTTTCTCCGGGACGGATGTCCTTGCTATATGACTGGATATATGAGGGGGGACCCCCCAAAAAATGGAATTTATGTTTATTTCTAAAAAATTGTGTATTTATTCTTACATGTGTAAACTTCAGTCACCTTTAAAGTACTCTCCATTTGATGCAGCACTCCTATTGAGACGTTTTCTCCACTCCTCAAAACAGTTTTTGAACTCATCAATTTTGATGCCTTTCAGTGCTTCTGCCATTTTTTTCACCTTTTCCACACTGAAAGGGTCTTCAAAAGAAAAACTCACTGAAGCCAAATGCAGCCTCTCACAACAACGCCAGCTGGCCCACTGATACAGATGGGTTCCTAGAACACTCGCCTAACAGGGAAAAACTGTACTACATGGGGCCTGCCCTCCAGAAGATAATTCCAGGGTTTTTTGGGGCTCCCCTTGTAGCACCCAAACCCTCCGGTTTCCTGGCATTGTGTATTTCTGATTTCTACCACTGGTTACTTGCTAAACACATCTTATGGGACAAGGAGTGCCCCATAATTCTTACATCGTTTTAGTGATTTTAAAACCTGTGCCGGCCTAGCATGTGCCATTGTTCCACAGTAATTTATCAATGAAATCACTCCGCTGGTTCATCTAGCACCTGCGAACTGTCAAGTTTCTTTCGTGCTGGTCAACACTCCCATGCTCTGACCACAGCATATGACGGACCAGGTTTAACCAGGAACGTCTCTGTGTCTGCCCTGCCGATGAGCTTGGGCCGAATTACTTGGCCACATATAACACTGATGACCTCATGGACTCAAATAACATACGGGCATTAGGTCACTACAGCTGGTCAGATCGAGCCAGCATCTCTATGGTTACTTTGCTTTAGATCACAGGTGGCAAACCCAAGGCCCACAGGCCAAATCCGGCCCTCCACCTTGTTTTATCTGGCCCGGCACCTTGATTCTACCCAGCCAAGCTCTCGCTTAACTCTTAAGGGGTACTGACATTTATACAGTCCTAAAATTACATTTGACCCTTTGGAGGCAACCATGAGGCTGATGTGGCCCCCCGTGAAAATGAGTTTGACGCCCCTGCCATAGATGTTCAGAGGAGTCAGGGTGTCACTCTTGCTGTCAGGAGTGTCGTCAAACGGCTGCCCCAGTACAGAACTGAGACAGTAAGCCCCTACGTCAGGCAGTAAAACAAAGGCCCAGATAGTTGGTAAGACTCTGGGAATATAAGTAACTACAAAGAGAGAAAAGTTGACTTGGAATTAGTGACCACTGCCTGGCTATTCGAGAACCTGACCTGTCCTACAGGGAAAGCAGTGAGGCTCCCCATGGCAGCTGCTGCCGGACGCTCGGGGGAGCTGAGGCACCCGGCCTGCCGCTGAGGCAGCGCCCATCCTACAGGCCAGCGCTGTCCTCTGCCCAGACTGGGCTCAGGCCCAACCAGACGGCTGCTTACAGGGCTAACAATCCCTGGTCATCCTCCGCCACTGCATGCTGGGTGTTAACAGCTCTCCCTAGCAGTTGTGTGTCTCTCGCAAGTGTATTCTAATTTGATTTTTATCTTCTATCACAACAATATACGGATGGAGAAGCTGTAAATGATCACCTTATACCAGCTCACTTGACTGATGGCGAAGAAGAGAAACAAAGACTCGAAGTATCATTGCATCTTATTCTCAAGTCAATTATCCATCAAATTCGTTTAGTCAAAGTTGCCTTCAAACCACCTTTAAGTCGCCCATGAAGTATGGTATACAATCTTTTCCGTTACATTTACACGGCACAAAGCTCATGTGCCATCTTTTAATAAATAAAAAAGCTGCTAGTTTTCTCTCCAGTGTCAGACTAGATCCCTGCTTCTCCAGCTGGATACCAAAAAGAGCAGCTGGCTTCACACTCGGGGCCCATGTTTGAAAAAGTGTCTCTAAGCACTAGACTCCCCAGTACGGCAAGATGCTGAAACCATGAATACACAGAAGGAACAGAGACCGCCCCAGCTCACAGTAGCTCGTTCTGCGGCTGCCCTCGCCGAATGCGAGTGAGCACAGCCGCCCGTAGGACCTGCGCGGCACCTCGCCCGCGTCCCAGTCCCGTGTGACTGCCCATGTCAGAACGGGGCCCCCGCACTGCACCCTTCCTCAGGCCTCACCGCACAGGCAGTGGTGCCCCTCCCCGCGCTCGTCCCACAAAACCCCAGGTTGTTCTTGTCTCCTGTGCCTTGCAGAACACGCCACCCAGGAGCTCCTCAGTCTGGGACCATGTCGCACCCAGATGCAGGAAAGGTATAAGGTGACCATGTGCAAGTTTTAAATGTCACTAACTCCCCTAGTACGACCAGGCAATGTCTCAAAATATTTTCCCTTCACCGCCCTGTTCCTTCCCGCAAGGCCTTAATAGTAGGGGGAAAAAGAACTCATTCAGTTGCACAAGGAATGGAAATGCCATGTGCAAAGCCTCACTCGCTCCAGTACGGTATGTACTGTCCCTGCAGGGGAGTAACAGAAGGAGCATTCAAACGTGGAGGCCTCGCGGAAAAACAAACACCAGCCGTGTGTCCAGCGAGCAGGCTGCTCAGTGGAAAGGAAAACACCATGTATGTGTACATGTGCCCTGTGAACCCCTGTGCGCAGGCAACTAGAAAAACACACAACTTCAAAGTCACACAAATGAAAACTGGCTGAAGGAGGAAGAAAAAGAAGCAAAATTCTGCCCTTAAATCAGAGGCAGGTAACTGCTGATTTGCACAGAACAGTAAATCTGAAGAAGCCTATTAAGACATCAAGTAACTGAAGTACATACAGTAACAAACTACAGCCCTTCTTGATAATTTTAAATAAGGTGGTTTTGGTTTTTCTCTCCCTTTGTTTGTTTGGGAGGGTTACAGTTTCAGGATAAGCTTTTCAAGTTCAAAGTACTTCTTCGGTTTCCACCATCAATCCCGAAGTCTTATTTTTCACATGTGAGTGACCTTCCTTTTATGGTCGGTGTAGCAGTAAGTTTTCTTAAATCGCATCAACAAAAGCTTTCAAACATTTTTAAAGGAAAAAAAGGCCCGTCTTGCAGTGGTTCCTCCCATCACTCCATTGGTTTGTGAGGCGGGGGTCCCCACAAAGCGCCCAGGGAAAACGTGACCTCCACGATCACAATCGCTGCCACCCCCCCCCCACAACTGCACCCTGAAACCTGCTGGTTCTGAGCTCCCCCTGCACGTCGGGAAGATGGCCTCGTCTGAGACCTCTGCGCACCCGCCCATGGCCGCAGAACTTACGGCGAGGAGCGGCTGTGTGGCCGGCGCCCCTGCATCAGCCCGTGTTCACCTCGGAACGGCTGGGTGGCTCCCACCGGTGGAAATGATCCTGTCAGTGACTCGAAGTGTCACTCCCGAGGGAAGCCCTGATTTCCAAATGAGCTATGTCCACAGGGTATGACGGAGAGACCTTCCTCCACACAGAAGCCACTGTGGGAGCAAACACACAGTAACAAGGCTACGGTGACGGATGACAAGGGACACCCAAGCCTACGGCGGCTGGAATACCCTCAGGGCGGTAAACCTCTATTCTTCAAGGCTGCAATTCATTCCACTGACGACTCAGCCATTTCGGATCAAATCTTGTGAGCCAGGTGGTATGATCAACGTGGGTATCGTAGATTTTCATCAACAACCAAGACAGTGACTATAGAATAATGACACATTTTGCACGGTTCATAAACTGGTTCCGAAAGTGACCGCAGAGAAACAAAAGTATTCTGACCAAAAGCAGCATGTCTGGACTAAGATCTACTATTTATTGGGTAAGTCTGCAAAGCACTGCACATCACGTACATTGTCTCCATTGTTGCTCATGGAAGCCCTATGAGGTAGGTATTGCGTCCAGATCTTACAGAGAATATAACAGTTTCAGAAAAATAAGCTGTCTTCCCATGGTCACACTGCTCGGGAGAAGCCAAACCATGATATGTTCCTGATCTGTCTCACACTGCAGGATGCGCTGATGGATAAAACGCATCTCCATGTACCAGAGCGGCACGTTTTCAGAGGAGCAGAATCACTGCACTTTCTAACTGCATGTAGTCTCCGCATCGCCCGTGTGTGGGAAAAGGTGTCATAAATAATCCTCCAGTTTACTGCTTCTGCTAGAACGTCCTCAGAAGAGGCATTGTCAGTGAAGCTGCCCAACAAGCCCTCCAAAACAAAAACACAGTGAAATGGGACTTTGCTTGCATTTAGTGCAAATGACAGTTTTAGGGCATTCGCTTATGGCTATACCTGCCTAGATAGGTGTAACAAGGTTCAGGGTTGTCACTGTAACAGCAGAAGGCAGGAAACAGCGTGACTATTCATCAGTAATAGATTAAATAAGTTATGGTATATTCATTCAACTGAATCTTACGCAGCCAGGAAAGGAAAGTGATTCCTTATTCCTTACATCTGGGCATGGGATGGGAAGAAAAGGTTGGGGCAAAGCCTACGTACAGCTGTTTCCATCCGGGTAAAGGCCCCACGCACACGTGTTTGTTCAGGCACCGAGCCTTCTCCAAGGCGCACAGTGAACAGCGCGCAGTGCCTGCCTCCTGCGAGAGGGGCTGGGAGCTGGGGACGGGGGGGAGGCCCTTTATTCCGAATCAGGTGCAGGAAAGTGATACAAACATTTTTAATTTTTAAAAATGGACTGAATATACATTCAACAAATTATAGTGGCAATTTCTGATTGCAGGAGAAAAAAAACAAGAAGTTTTCTTGTGAGAATCACTACAGTTGTAATGCAAATACCTTTTTTTAATGTGAAAAGGCATCATTTTTTCATCATGTAATGTCAAATGTACCTATAATCCCTTAAAATAAGTATGATTCTTCTGAGGGAAAAGAGCCAGGTCATATACATCATTAAGGAAAAACACACATACTAGACTCTGAAGTCTACTGAGAACAAAGGCCATTATTTTACATATTTTTTAAATTCCCCAGTTCCTGGTGGGGTTCTCAGAATGTAGTTTCTTGGTTGGAGTAGTAAATTGATTGATTGGTTAAGTTAGCAACTATGGAGTTATATATATATATCAGTTATACTGAGAACAGTATAAAGTAAATGGATAATTCACCAGAAACTGGCTTCTAGATTTTAATTTTAATGACCTTGAATCAACATAATTTAGTACCATATGTTTCAATACCTATTATAATCGCTAAACTGTGAAATCAGCATTATTTGTATCTGATCAGCTATACAAAACTCAGCAAGTTTTCTTATGAAAAAGGCAGTAGAAGTCCCAAAGAATAAGGGAGAGACCGCTAATTAAAGGCCATGTTTACTAATCTAGCACCACAATTCCAGCCTCAGGACCTCCCAAGCGACTGGCAGGAGGAAGGGAAGAGGGGAGGGCGTTGGACACGTGAGGGCAGTTCTTAACTGGTGGCCCCTGTGTGTGCTCGCAGGCCGTTCGGGGTGGAGCGAAGGCGGAGACTGGAGAGTAAGACACAGGCTTTTGGTTCACAGGGTGCAGGAGGTCCGCGAGGAGAGACTTCCAGGGGGGCAGTGCTGGAGTGGGCCTCATGAACTAGGGGGCTTCTTCTTGGCATCCAAGTCCTTTTTAATTTCTTCAAGTTTTTTAGCCAGGTTTGGCATCTTTAAAGAGAAAAGAGACAATTATAAATTTGCATCTATCTAACCAATATCCTTTCACTTCTGCTCCCCCAAAGATAAATGGTTATTGTACAACTGTTTATTTTCCTCTGAAAGAGACCAGCTAAACAGTGGTGGTTTTAGCCTCCTAACTGCGGGAGGAGCTCAGACGCAGTGCGCTAGGGGGCGCTCCCTGCCTGAACGCCACACCCGTCTTTGACTCGTACGCACCCACTCAGCCCCTCAATCCCTGCGGAGCGGGAGTCGCACACAGAAATGATAAATGTGGTACAAACTGATAAAGCCCTTGCCTAGACAATCATGTGACTCCATTGAAGGTTGACAGAGGGAATTCCCTTTGTCACACCAAAGCCTCACTACAAAACAAAAGCTAGTACCACTTTTCCCTTCCTTGTGTCTTTAAAACAAGCTCCACCTTTCCAGAATCACCATTCACAGGCAGTGTGCCACCTGGTTTTCAACTTCCCCATCTCTAAAGTGAGGCAAATACAACGCCCACGTCAGAAAACTCTGCCCCCTTGAATATGCTGCGTCATATAGACCCGCCTCCAAGATTCCTAGTCCTCTCTACTCCTGGGCACAGGGGCTGAAAAGATTATCTGATTAATCTTTAAATTCTTGCTTATCACATAACACTGCCATAGAACTGTGAGAACCTAACTTAATATTACTCTGGGCTAACAAACACGGCTCAGGATCACCACAAGACCATCTAAAGTGATGGGATTTTGCCCTCTTGTGCAATTATGAAGGACAGATGCTTCTGTGACTTCGGAAAATCTTTCTACAAAAACAATCAGGGCTCCTCCCCTCCACCATCTATGGACTCCCTCTGTGCCAGAGGGCACACCTTACTTCAACAAAGACAAGTCCCTATGAATTGGTTACATGGGATCATGGAAAAAGTGAATATGGTCACTTACGTCATAATTCTGAGCCAGATACATTCCGACCAGGTTGCCAAAAGTAAATCCAAGCTGAAAGAAGAGAACGGGAAGAGTTACACTGGATACTGAGCTCGGTGCCGTCAGACACCACACCAAACAATACAAACAATATTCTGCTAAGGAGCTAAGCCCAGCTAGAAGACCCCAGGGTCCCCTAGGGAGGAACAGTGCACAGTGTGAAATTCACATCTTGCTTCTATAAAATAAACTTTAAGCTTACTAAGCTTTAAACACCAAAAGCATAATTTAAATTGGTTTGTTCATAAATTAAGAAGTATAAAAGATACTATGATCTCTGATCATAGAAACTTTCTGATCATTTGACGAATCAGACACATGTTATGAAATAGTATTTTTATCAAGGGGGGGGGCACTAAGAAGCAAAAAGATTGGCCCTGGCCGGATAGCTAAGTTGATTTGAGTATGTCCTGATACGCCAAAGTTGTGGGTTCAATCCCTGGTCAGGGCACATATTAGAATCAACCAGTGAATGTATAAACAAGTGGAACAACAAAGTGATGTTTCTCTTTCTCTGTCTCTCTCTTTCCCTCTCCACCCCCTTCCTTTCTCTCTAAAATCAATTTTTTTTAAAGATTTTTTTCACTCCTATGGGTTGAAACTAGGTAAACAGATATTTCCCAAACCAGAAAGAGTATTAAATTTGCTTAAAAGGCGAAGGGAAAAAAACAACTGGGAATGTTAGCTCCGTACCAAACAAAAAGAATATGGGGTTGAAAACTTTTCAAAAAATAAAAAATAAACTAGAGTTTTGGTTCCCCTATTATCTAACTGTACCTGTAGACAAGAAACTTAATCTCTTTGGAGCTTTGCTGATTTGAACTTCCTGATTTATAAAAACATTAAACTAGCAATATTCCTTCCAGTTCCAACATTCTAGGATTCCTGCTTATTACCATGTTATCTCAAAATAAATACGGTATATCTAATGTGGCTTCACTTTGGCAACTTCATCAGACATCAGAGTGCATAAAATTATAGCAGGTACCTAAAAACACAAAATAAAACAAAAACAATGGGCCTTTAGACAAGTCATACCCAACCACACTTTCGGAACACTGCCAGGTCTCCCAGCGGGACTCGGGAAAATTAAATACACAACGTAAGAAGATAAATGTTGCGCATGAAGAGAAATGTAGGGAAAAAATGTGTAAAGTCCAAAAGCAGTCACATGTTCATGGGATGTTTCGTAGGCAAGTTTAGACAGTAAATAGTTAAAAATCTAAATAAAGAAAAATCTAAAAAAGTAAAATCTAAGTTTGAAAACTGGTAACTCATTAGCCTGAGAAGTTAGCCAGGAGCCAGGTGACAGGAGGTCTTGAATGAGTCTGAAACCTCTCTGCAGGCCAAGAACGCTCAGTATCTTCCAGGCCAAGACCGGGAGCCTAATGGGTAGTCCATCCCAGTGGCTAGATGCTATCCCCATGGTCCCCTCCACATCACATCGGCCCCCCTCCCCCAGTTTTCTCTGCAGAGAAAATAGCTAGCAAACATGAATGAATGGTTCCCCTCACCTCCCCCCCAAATCAATGAAGATCAACAAAATAGAATGGAGGGTCCGGGAATAAGCCTTTACAGTTACGGTCAAGCAACTTTCCACAAGGGTCTTAAGACATTCAATGGTTTCTTTTTTCTCTTTTTTCTTTTTTAGAGAGAGGGGAAGGGAGGGAGAAAGAAAGGGAGAGAAACATCGATGTGAGAGAGAGATAGCAATTAGTTGCCTTCCACACATGTCCCAACCGAGGTATGCGCCCTGACTGGGAATGCGGGACAACACCCAACCGAGCCACGCCAGCCAGGGCGAGATGTTTACTGGTTTCAAAAAATGGTGCTGAGACAACAGGGTGTCCACATGCAAAACCATGCAGCAGGTTCTCTTCACCTACTTTACACCATAAACACTTAACTAAAAAGACCTAAATCCAAGAGCTAAAATGATCTATCTCTTAGGATAAAACATAGCAGTCAATCTTCATGACCTTGGGGTAAGCAACGGTTTCTTAGGTATGCTACCAAAGGCAGAAGTGACCAAAAGAAAGGATAAATTGAACTTCATCAAAATTAAATACGTTTGTAGTTCAAAGAATACCATCAAGAAAGTGAAAAGACAACTCACAAAATGGAATATCTGTAAAACACATATCTAATAACAGACTTTTATACAGAATATATAAGGAATTCTTACAACTGACTGATAAAAAGAATAACAACCCAATTTAAAAGTGGACAAAGGATTTTTACAGACTCTTCTCCAAAGCAGATATACAAATAAATGGCCAGCCAGCAAATGAAAAGATGCTCACCACTGTTAGTGAGAAAATGCAAATCAAAACCACAATGAGGGGCCACGAGACACCCAGGAGGGTGGCTGTAACAGAAAAGATGAACCAGTGTGGGCGAGGATGCGGGGAAGGGGAAGCTTCCCACACGGCTGGTGGGAATGGAAACTGGCGCGGCCACTGCGGAAACCAGTCTGGCAGCTCGCAGGCGCCATCTGATGCTGCAAGTCCACTTTGGGGCACATGGCCAGGAGAGCTGAAGCGTACATGCACACGCAAACTTGTACATGTATGTTCACAGGAAGACTCTTCATAATAGTCAAATGGTGGAAACAGCCCAAACATCCACCCACTGGTGAATGGACTAACAAGGTGGGGTTTATCCATACCTCGTACTATCAGCCACAAAAGAGAATGAAGTACTGATTCACACAACAACATGTATGAACCTTGAAAACATTATCCTAAATGAAAGACAGCCAGGAAAGACCACGTATCCCATGACACACGAAACCACTCGGCGACTGTCCCGGGCTGGGGGCGGGGACAGGAGTGGGACACGAACACTGGTGGGCAGGCGGCTTCTTCCGGAGGCGAGGGACTGCTGGTAGGAAACTGCGCAACTCCACGGACGTCTTAGACACCCTGGCTCCTGCACTCCAAATGGGTGAATTACAAGGTGTAAAGTGCACTTCAAAACTATAAAAGAATCAGTGAGGTTGGGTAAACTATCAGCTACATGGGATAAAACTGAGGAACTCAAGAACAACTCAAGGTTTCCAGGTGGAATAAATGTTTTAAAGGCAGGACACGTCAGGGCGGAAAAGCGAGGACCACTCAGACGAGGCCGGCTTTGTGCGCGAGCTCCCGGGAAAGCGCCGCCAGGTCTCCTGCGCGGCGGCAGAGGCAGGTGAGTCCCCACGCTGCCTATTAACAAAGCAGAGCACTTTGTGGAAAGGAGGGAGCAACTCCAGAGCCATCTGCCTTCCACCATTTGCTGCTCAGTCCCTTCCCCATCAGAAAGTTATTATGTGTATAAATCACCCATCCAAGCTACAATTGTTGACTTGGGATGGCTCCTGGCAGTAACCTAGACTGAATGCAACCCGAAGGATTGGAATGTGACTCATCAAGTTGCACTTTCAAAAAGTACGTGCCTGGATCAAGCTACCACAGAATCTGAACCATCTTATATTTACTGACAACAGCTTACGAAATCTAAAATCTCGCCTTTTATTTAGCCAATGTAACTACAACTAGCATTTAAAAGAACACCTACAAGTGATTTATGGTCTCGGGAGAAAAGCTGCACACTGACAAGAAAGCCAGAAGTACACATCATCGAACAATGAAGATAAATTGATCATTTTAGCTCTCAATTTTAGGCTGAGCCGTAGCTGTCAGAAGACCTGTCCATTCCAGGGAGGCAGAAAAACGTCACCCTTTTTTGTGTCCGAGTCTTTAACCACAAAGATTTAGTGTGGGGAACACCATCAACGGCTTCAAGTGACAAAAACCCACGTCCCACAAATTAAACAAATTGCTGCCGAGGACACAGCCTATATCCCTCTGCTACCACCACAGAGAAGCACGTTTTTAACGTACAAACTAGTGGGGTGGGATGTAAGCTAGGTTTGATAGTCAATAATTTTCCTTATAGAATGAAGAAAGAAAGAAAAAAAGCTGTTAATTCGTTCCTGAGCCAGTGAACTAAATGGGGACAGTCATGAAAAAGTTAGCAGGTAGGACTCCAGAAAGAGGTGCATCGGGTAGAACTGGTTTGCTTATTCTCAGAGAAGCCGATTCAAATATTCAAACATCTTATGACTATCTGAGAGTGGTCATCAGGCAAAAAAGGAATACCTAATTAGATCAATGAAATCACAGGGTATGTGGCTTCTTCCCATGGAATGTACGACCTGTTCTAGGAAGACAAGGCTGAAACCCACGGAGGCGCAGTGAGCAGAACACAGCAGGTCGCCAACGGGAGGCCTGAACAGCCACACAGTTTTAAGTACTTTGTGTTAAAAACCCAATGTAACTCACACTAACGTATTAAAGGAGAAAAGCCACGTGGTCACCAGGTGGGGAAAGACCATGGTAACGTGGGCAGCCAAAAAACTCTTAAACTATCAGAAATAGAAGAGAATCTCCTTAATCTGTTACAAAATATCAGAAACATAAACCTCACTGAAGCTGGGGACCATTTCCGCTACAAGGAGAAACAAAAGTAGGATATCCACTCTCGTTACTTCTTTTAACATATAATCTTTGTAACGCCTTTTCCCCATTACCATTTAGTCCTCTTACATGCCCCCCTAGGCCTGCACACTCTCCCTGCTTTTACTGCAAGCCCTAGCTTGAGGAGGGAAAGGGAACAGCAATCGGGAAGGAACACAAAACTGTCGTGTTTGCCTTCACTGGGGATGTGACGGCCTTCCTTCCAGCACCGCCTTCCCTGAGTCACCCCCAGGTGACCCTACCGACGGGAGACAGGCAGACCGTGGGAACAGTATCCATGCGACAAAACTATCAGCATGTCCCCCCATCGGCAACAACTAACTCGAAAATGTAATTTTAAAAAGGATGCCACTCCCAACCACAAAACTCGACATAATTAAAAAAAAAAAAACAGGGGCAAGACTACTACGTCGATTTAAAAAAAAATGATGAAAGACATGCATGTCCTAAATAAATGGAGAGATGGATCAGAACAGTGTAAAGATTTCAGGAACTTAAAGTCCTCAGAAGGCTCATGGAAAAAGATGGGAGCTGGGCCATTAGGAGTATTAGGGAAGGCAAAAGCAAAGCAAACAAACAAACAGAACCGTGGGATAGTCCACAGGTTGGCGCGGACAGGGAAGTCTGGCCGAGCCAATCCAAAACAGAGGACGCACACTGACGGGCAGTGGGAAGGAAACGGGGGCCAGGTGGATACGATCCGATGGGGAAGGACACAGGGACACCGACGGTTTTTGAGCATGTGAACAGGCCGCTGATTCCAGATGACCGACCGCTCCAGCAGCTACAAGGGGACGGAACCCAGGGCAGCAAGGGAGGGAAGCACGCACAGAGCCGGAGGCGACAGACAGCCAGCCTTGCTCTTCTCTGCGGCTGCTGCGACCACATCGGGAGCGGCACGGTTAAACAGAATTCAAAACTAGACTGCCTATTCAGAGAAGAGTAGCTAGCCTGAACCTGAATCGTAAAGAAACAGAGATGTCTAGCCTACAGGAAAGACTGATGGGTGGGAGAGGTACCAAGATATGCTCTTTCCATATGTAAAGAGTTGTCAGTAGGTTAGAGCTGCTGTTTAACAGGAAGGAGTAGAACTGAGTGAGGAGATACTGACAGAAATCGAAGGCGATGATCCTGTGGGAGTACTGAAACTGCTGCCACTGGGGGTGACCCATCGTAAACAGGATGCCCTTTTCGTAGTGGGGACGGGAGCATCAGCATGTCAGTTGGACTGGAGAACCTAAACCAACTTTCCAACTCAAAACCCACATCTCTACACCAGGCAGGCTAGTGCAGCTCGTCCCAAGGTGGGGTAAAAAAGACCTGCTCTAGGAACTTGGCAGTGGGAACATAAGGACAGAACCTTCCATAATATGAGTAATGAAGACTTGATGGCTTAAAACAGTAGCTACATTTACTGAATGCTTACTATGTGCACGCCAGCTCTCTTTCATGAACTAATTCAAGCTCTTCACAATCTTACAGAACAGGTCCAGTTACTGCCCAGTTTGTGTTGGGAAAACTAAGCCACAGATCAATTAAGTCACTTGCCCCAAATTACACAGCAGGTAAACATATGTGCCAGGCACAGCAGCTAGATGACATGGAGAATGAAGGGGAAAACAATAAGATTATGTCAATATTTCAAATTGTAGAAAGCCGGGACCAGGGAACTAAGAAAGAAGCTGGGTATGTTTGGCAGGGTGGGGAAGAGGTGAGGGGTCCAGGGTATGTGGAGTCTGAGATAGAAGATATGACAAAAGATGCTCAGTAGGCAGTTTTCACTTTCACCAGTAACTTTATTGACTGGGATATCTGAGTACATTGGCTGTCTCCCACTATTGGCTTCTAGTGGGTGGAGGCCAGAGGTGCTGCTCAGCACCTTCCAATGCATACGACGGCCCCACAGCAAAGGGTTATTTGGCCAAAATGTCAACAGTACCGAGAAACTTCGCAAACCGCTTCTGACACATTCAATCAGTCACAGCACCTTCTCCGTGCACTGCAGAAATCTTTTTTTTTTTGCGTTTCAGTTGCATTTTCACCTTTCCTGAAATAATAAAGCGTAATATGCCAAAAATGTTGCATATCTTGTTCTATCTCCAATATTAAAATGGCTGCAGAGAAATTCACCAATTTTGATACGTTTTTTTTAAATGCACGCTGAAATGGTAGCTGTCACAATACAATCTAACAAGATTGTTTCCAATGAAGTTAAAGACATCTAAGCACTACCAGAGCCATCCTACAGAAAAACTAAATGAACTCTTTGGCCAACCCAGTAATTCTTTGCTGGGCGGGTGTTGTGCACACTGGGAGATGTTCAGCAGCTCCGCTGGCCCCCACCCACTAGTAGCCAATAGTGGGAGATAGCCACCATACTCAAAATATCCAAATCAAGTTATTGGTGCAAATGAAAAACCTGTCTTTTATTTTACAGAAAAAACTACACAGACTTTTTGGCCAAATCGGTCACTGCCATCAAGGGAGCAGCCAGGGCAGCAGCAGGAGAGAGGGCAGCAGCAGGGCGTCAGGAACGGGCTCTCGGGACCAGGATGCCGGTCAAGCATTTTCACCCCAGGAGGAATGAATGGTTCATAAGCAGCACAACCCCGGGGAGCGCATTTCAAACAGTGCCCCAGAAAATGACAACGGCAGGGAACATCATGCAGGGTGCCAACATGTGTGATGCCAGTGCCCACGTGTAACTCATGACTGTCCCCTCACTGCCAAAACGCTTCCCTTTCCCTACATTTCTGAGGATACACTGACCCCATTTCTGAGAAGCAAAACTTACTCATCCCCAGTAAGTCAGAATTACTGATACCTTGTTGATGAGAAACTAAACATGTCTGAGTCCTTATTAAGTGTCCCTGTTTTAACTACATCTATGTGCTAACTCATGTTTAATCCTCACAACAAAACCATGAGACAGGTTTCCGTTTTCAGATGTGGAAACTGAAGCATGGAGAATTTCAATCAGCTGCCCACGTTCCCACAGCTTAAAAGTGATAGAGCAGGGGTTCAAGCCCACGAGTCTGACTTCATAAACACTGGGACATGACCGCTGGTCCCCAGGTAAAAGCTGGGGAGACCTTAGGGATCTTCTACTTCAACCCCTCTGTTTTATACCCGAAATGGCTGTTTTATACGTGAAAAAGCAAACAGAAAGACTTGTGCAAGTTGACCGAGTCGGTGAACCGCTGGACAGAGGTAGAGTCCTGGTGGAAAGTAGTTCTAGCCACTTCTTTCAGCACATGCAGTGAGAGCGGAGGGCCAGCCTTACTTCCCGGCTGGGAATTCAACAGACAGCTTCAGCCTCTCCCCTTAACCAGTCACATCCATGTTTATACACAGCAAAGGTTTATTCCAAAACCAAATAAACCCACTCTGCAAAAGCACTTGGAAAGTTAAGGATAACTGAACCAATGTCCTCCCATCTCATCAAGGAGCTGCAGCTGGAGGCTGGCCCTCAATTATACACTTTGGGGCAAACTGATACTGTTTTTAAACTGTTTCCTACAACTAGATAACAGTTATTATTTGTTACTCCTATTTAGGACACTAGAGAAACTTCCAGAGACAGAGGAGCAGCCCTTAGTTGGGTAATTTATGTCAAGGATACCCCCTTTCGGCTGAGAATTCAAAATTAATTACCATCTCAAAAAGGAGGGCAGCAAGCGCCATTTCCCCCTAATCTCTTTGATAAAGAACTTAACATTTGAGAAAGCATCTCATCCCCAGGGCACCCGATTCCCATTAGCCACCTGGAATATATTACAATACCGGCCTCTTACTAGAGGTAGAAAGCATCAAGTGTTGAAGACACAAAAATTTGGACGACTCTCTCTTAGAAATCTGATTGGCAAGACTGCCTGAAACCTTCACTAGGCAATCTGGAATACACCGAGCTTTGCCAGAAAACCCGTTTTTAACCAAAATAAAGAGCCCCAAGAAATAATCTGTTTAGTCATGGTAACGGTCACTTTCCCCTAAAAAGAGCACTTTGGAAAAACCACTTGTAGACCAGGGTCTGACTCATGCCAGCAGCCAGCCGTCCTCTAAGTCTGGAAGCTGCAACCACAGACGAGGGCTCCCTAAGCCTCCAGCTCTGACTCAGTGTTTCCGCGCCTCCAGAGGTGGCTTACTACCGTAACTTAGAGTTTATTCCCGGCCCTCCTGCGTCCTCAGAAACGCGAAGCAGCAGGGCCTCAAGTCCGGACGGAGTTTGTGTCTGCGTCAGGGCGGGAGGACAGAATGGGGGACGGGTCACGATAAAACATAAGGACCCAAAAGCTTTATCACGAGGGTGACACAGGCACCCAGGGTAAGCACAATGGCTCTCAAAATGCATGGTCTGACACATCCAAGTTTTCGGGGCTTGAATGGCTGCAGAAAAATACCCGCGCAGAGCCTGAGCGAGGCAGAAACAAAACCCCGCAGCCCACCCCGAGGAGCAACGAGCAGGCTCGGTGGGGCTGCGGACCCGCGGGGCCACGCCCGTGCCCCCAGACCCAGGCCGGATCGACGGGGTCCGGAGCCCCCGAGGGTCCTGAGCCGAACCCCCAGCCTGCTTCTCGGCAGCTCCACTCACCAGGAATTGGAGCATGATGTTAGCGAAGAGGGCGAGAACGGCGGTGTCAACTCGGTGGGCCGTTCCTATCCTGCCTCCCCCGGTGCCAGGGGCGGGACCCGCATCAGCATCCGGGTCACCCCACGCCCCGCCCTCTTCTCCTCAATTCACCGGGAAGCCGCTAGGGGCGCCCCGGCTCCCCCTGGCGGAGCGTCTCCGAATTACTGGTAGAGTGGGGCGACCGGTGAGAAAGCCGGGGTGGCATCTGTCAGTCCCAAGTCCCAAACTGGGCTGGACGGTTTGGAACATTCAGAATCGAAGGCCCCAGTCCCAACATCCCGCTTCTTTAATGCTGGGTCGGAGTCCCGGAATCTGCATTATTAGTACCAGCACCCCAGCCATTCTGCTGCACAGCCAGGCTTAAGTCCTTCTGACCTACAAGCACTGCAGGACGCAGATTCCCATCCCTGGGTGCAGAGCAGAATCACCATTGGAGCTTTCCAGTCTGGTCTTCCCCAGGCCCCATGAAGAATCTGCCGGAGGCGAGGAGGGTTGTTTTTGCAAAAGTACCACCGGTAGGCTATGTAACCTGCCGTGAAGACCTATGATAGAGATTAGGTGCTTAAATAGTTAAGACAGAGACCTTTGGAGTCTGGCACAGCTGGGTCCATTTCACCATGGCCTTGCATTTCCTGGCAGCCGTGAACAAGTTACTGAAGTTTGCCTTCCTTCTCCGTAAGTGAGGCTTAACGCCTTGCTGATTTGTTGCAGGGATCAAATGAGACAATGTGAGGGTCCAAAAATTGCTTGTCATGTGTCTGGTGTGGACAGTGAGCTCTGAAAGAGGTCTCGCGTCCTCTGTCCACCCAGAGCTACCCTGACACTGTGGGCCACTCTGCTCCTGATCCTCAAATCCCTCCACGACTTCCATCAACACACACATTGACAAAGCAACTCACCTCTCTTTGCACTCAGCTTTCTGAATTCATCCTTATAGCTATAAAAAGTAGAACTCCGGTTCCAGATAAATAACAACCAAATCATAGGAGTTTTAACCATATGGGAGTCTATCATAAAATGGACAATGATGAGGGGTACAGGAAAGCTCCGAGAATGTAAGCATGTTTCTCTCCATTTCTGCTTTTCTTCATACATCTGCTTCATTGTTCTCTTTGCCTTCCGTTTTTTCCTGCTTTTTAGAATATGGTCCATTGTAACACGTATTTGAGATTACTCATTAAATTGTCCAACCAATAGAAGACTGGATCACTCTTTCCTAACCGTTTTCAAATACCTGGGAAAAGAAGGCAGACTGGTCAAGCTGGTGTCAGATTCTCCCAGGTCAATTACAATGAGAAGGGGCGGGGTCTCGTTGAACTGAAGTGGCTCCCACCAGGGAGGAGATGCTGGTAGATGGCTCTAACTCTATTTTCCAACACGTCGAGGGTAAAAACTTTGCTCAGCCAAGTCCTGACCAGGGCTTCTCAGACTTTAATGTGCAGACAAATCGCCTGGGGACCTCATTAAACTGCAGGTTCCAATTCAGGACATCTGAGTTGGGGCCTGACATTATACACTTCTACTACGCCTCAAGTCGTAAGACCCAGACCGTGAGCTACCTGAGGGTACGGACTTCATCCCTTTGGTTCATGACTTCATCTGCCCGGCAAGTGCCCGGCACAACCTCTGAACACAAATTATTTATTGAAGTCTTTGCATGAAACCTTATTCCCTTCTTACAGATAGTCTTAACAGAAACCTGACTTTTTAAAAAAATTCTGACTGATTGATTTGATAAAGAAACATCAATTTACTGTTCCACTTACTCAAGCATTCATTGGTTGATTCTTGTATGTGCCCTGACCAGGAACAGAACCCTCAACCTTGAGGCATCAAGAGGATGCTCTATCCAACTGAGCTACCTGGTCAGGGATAAAGCCTGACTTTTTTGCTAAGACCTTTCAGAGGCTCTTCTTTCTCAAACAACCATAAGCTGTGGAAAATAAAGGCAGAACTCTTTTGCTATTTTGAGATTTTTACTTAAATGTCCTCATATAAAAACACCTCCTTGCTCTGGCTGCTGTGGCTCAGTTGGTTGGGTGTTGTCTCACAAACTGAAAGGTCACCAATTCAATTTTGGTCAGGGCACATGCCTGTGGTTTGCAGGTTCGGTCCCCAGTTGGGGTGCATCCAGAAGGTGGCAAATCAATGTTTCTCTCCCTTCCTCGCTCTCTTAAATCAAAAATTTTTTTAAAAACCCACCTCCTTTAACATTCATGTTCTCCCTTTACTCTTTCACGAGGCCTTAATCTACTGACTCACTAGGCAGCCCTCTCATTCCCGGAAGGCTTTAGCAGCTAACAGCCCTTTCAGCCCCAAGCTGTCATACTCATGGGTGACTTCGAAGGCCATGCACACTTGTATTTTCCAGAATCCTAACCCCTAGGAGCGGCCTTCATCTTCACACCACGTTGGCGATCCACTGCCATGTTTCTGACACGCACTTCTTCCTGTCCTGGACCTACTCCACCTGTGTAGGGTTCATTCTCAGATGGTACCTCCCATCCCACCGACTTTGACCTTAGCCAGATCTGCAGTCTCTCATCTGCTCCATATTTTCAGCAATGAGTTCTCTTCTGGCCTCACTCCTTTTCTATCTGATCTCAACCCCAAGAGATTGGAACTTCAATCACGGCATATTAGCCTCTGTTCTCTTATTCATTGGTCTTCTATAATACTTGCCTCTTAAAAATTCTAATTCTTAATCAATCCGCCTGTTTCAGTTCCATATCAGTGATTGTGAACATCAGACAGAGAAAAGGTGGATCCTTCAGCAAATGATATTGACCTACCTTGGTTCTTTGGTATTTTTTCCACCTGGAAAAATTAATAATTTGGGTTCTGATCTCACACTTTACACATTAAAAAGTTACAGTTCAATAACAAATTACACAAAACAAAACAGAAATATTAAAATTTCTAGAGAAAAAGGAAGAAATTCTTTTATAACCTCCAAATTGGAGATTTTTCACATGACTAGCATGATACAAAATGCAGAAGTCATAAAAGAAAAAGTGAAATCAATAACAGAAAAATAAAACTTTTCTGTATGGCAAAAAAAAAAGGAAAGAAAAACATCACTTATAAAACAACTGACAAAGAGCGCCTACAAATCAACAGACCAAAACCCAATAAAAAGTGGTCAAAGGGTGTGAACAGCTCACAGGAAAGGACACAGAAATAGCTTGAAGATGTGGAAAGATACTCAGTGGCATTCATACTCAAAGAACTGTAAATTACTACCATTTTTCTCCAAATTGGCAGAAATCAAAAAGCTTGATAACACACTGTATTGGAAAGAATGGAAAACCAAGCACAGCTAGACAGTTCTGATATGGATACAAACCGTCAAAACTTCCTTGGAGGGCAACGTAGCCAAAACGATCATAAATTTGAATTAGCATACTCTTTGTCTCAGCAATTGCATGAAACTAAGCATGCTCAAAAACATACAAATGGGTGAGTGGAACAGAACAGAGAGCCCAGAAACAGGCTCTCATAAACACAGTCAACTGCTCTTTCACAGAAGAACAAAGGCAGTACAACAAAGCAAGGCTAAGGCTCCTCAAGAAAATGGTGCTGGAACAACTGGACAACCACAAGGGGAAAAAAAAGCTACACACACACCTTACACCCTTCATAAAAATTAACTCGAAATGCATCATAGCACCCTGGGTGCTGTGGCTCAGTGGACTGCATGCGGCCTGTGAAGCAAAGGATCACCGATTCGATTCCCAGTCTAGGGCACATGCCTGACACTTCATTAAAACTAAAACCTTCTGTTCTGCAAAAGACAATAGAGTTAGAAAAGAGAAAATATTTGCAAAAAGTGCATCTGATAAATGACTGTTATCTAAAATGCACAAAGACACCCAACAATAAAACACGCTGATACTAAAAAATGGGCCACAGACCTATATGGAAACCTCACCAAAGATAAACAGATGGCAAAGAAACATATGCAAATATGCTCCCATCACATGTCATCAGGGATATGCAAATTAAAATGAGATACCACCTCATGCCTAGTAGATTGGCCAAAATCCAGAAAACTGACACCAAATGCTGGTGAGGATGCAGAGCGATGGTAACTCTCTCACACGTCGGTGGGAATCGAGGTGGTGCAGCCGCTTTGGAAGACAGTTTGGTGGTTTCTTACAAAACGGAACATAGGCGTACATACGATCCAGCAACTGTGCCCCTCGGTACTCCCTCAAAGGAGACGAAACCTCACGTCCGCGTACAAACCGTCACAGAGATCTTTATAGCAGCTCCGTGCCTAATGGCCCCAACTTGGAAATGACCATGATGGCCTTCGTAGGTGAATACCTAGGTAAACTATGGTCCTTCCAGACCACGGAGTATTATTCAGCAAAAAAGGCTTTTTTCTTCCTAAAAAAGGAAGAAAAGAGCTATTATGCTGTGAAAAGACAAGGAGGCAGCTTAGATGCGTATTACTAAGTGAAAGAAGCTAGTCTAAAAACACTGCATACTGTACGATTCCAGCTGTAGGAACTTCTGGATAAGACACATCAGTGGAGGCAATTAAAAAAATCATTGGTTGCCAGGGGCAGGGTATGGATAAATGAGCAGGCAGAGTGCAGAGAATTTTTAAGGCCGTGGAAATACTCTGTATATTTTGATGAGGGACACAGCTCATTATCCATTTGTCCAAACCCGTGGAGTGTACAGCCCCAAGAGTGAAGCCCAAGACACACACCATGGGTGCTGGGTGATCACGCCGTGTTGATGTAGGCTCACCCTGGGTAGAAATGCATCCCGCTGGTGAGTGAGGCTGATACCGGGGGCCGCTATGCACGTGTTGGGGTGGGGGCATCCTAGAAATCTCCGCACCTCCCTCTAGGTTTCAGTGTATCTCCCTCAGTCTGGAGAACCGGAACCACCGCTGATGGTGTGGACAAACAGGAACTCCCCTCCGTGGGTGGGGGAAATGGGTGCAAACGCTAAGAAAAATACTGCAATGTCTAGTGAAATTAAAGCTCTTCATCTCCAAGGATTTCCATTTCCAGTCACATAAACCAGGGAAGCCTCTGGCATGTCACACATTCAGTCCCAGGAGACACATAGGATAATCATCATTGCAGCGCTGTGTGTAGTAGCAAAATATTGGGAACTTAAATGAATACTAGCCTACCCCAGTGGGAATCCATAAATCAGGGTGTTTGTAAAACATGATACTGTGGTCCAATCCTTACAATAAACAGGAATGAGGAATTATCAAAAACACAATGTTGAACAAAAAAAAAATTAATCTGCAAATTGCCCCACAGCATGATGACACCACTATAAAGATTAACAACATGTAAAAGTACTTTTTACTGCCTATGAACACATACGTGAATGACAAATATCAACATACATGAATTTTGGGCAATGGCTACCTCTGGGAGGGAAGTAGGGGAAGGGGACCGGGGAGCTCGCAGGTGCCTCCGCTGTATCTGCCATATTGTATCTCCTTAAAAAAAAAAGAGATTCAGAGCAAATATGATTAAGATTTGATCAATTTGGGCATAGGACATGAAGAAAGAGTGGGCACTTGTGTGTTAATCATATTGATTATATTATTTTGTATGATTGGAACAGTATACAATTTATTAAACTAAACTGAATGATAAAAACAAGTCAACGGGTTTTTTTTAAACAAGATATTCACAGACTGAGAGTAACAATGTGCAGATTACAATGGGCAGGCCAGTGGTTCAATGGAGGGGCGTATCAACCACCACCTGCACCCAGGGACCAAACAATGCAGAGGGACAGACTGACATGCACCCTCTGACACATGCTAAGGGCATAATCCCACCTGTAGAACGGCAGTTTTCTTGCCAAAAATGTTTAACCTGAATCTAACTTAAAACAAACAAAAATCAAATTGTGGGAACTTTTTTACCACAGCTAAAAAATGTCAGTGTTCAATAAAGAACTCTTCCGCCTGGCTGGCGTAGCTCAGTGGATTGAGCACGGGCTGCAAACCAAAGTGTTGCAGGTTCGATTCCCAGTCAGGGCGCATGCCTAGGTTGCAGGCCACGGCCCCCACCAACCGCACATTGATGTTTCTCTCTCTCTCTCTTTCTCCCTCCCTTCCCTCTCTAAAAATAATAAATAAAATCTTAAAAAAAAAAGAGAATGTGTTTAAGGGTTCCCTTGGTACTGCCATGGTCTATTTCAATATGTAAAAACAATTTAAAAATTAAAAAAAAAAAAAGAACTCTTCCCTCTCCCCGCAGAAATGGAGAGGAAATGTTCCAGAATAAAAAGATGACTAAATGAACAGATGATTCTTGATTAGTAAATCCTGGGCAAAACACAAACGCTCAAGAAATATTTGGGGGGCAACTGAGGATATTTAAATAGGAACTAAGTATCAGAAAATCCCCTGTGAGATGTCCCACATGTGCGGGTGATGCTGTGACTAGGGAGGACACACCCCCGCTGTTACTTGCTGAAACGCGACAGAGAAAGTGTCACGGCGTGCACACGACTCTCAAGCAGTTAAGGAAGGAGACCGACACACGCACGCATGAAGGAGCAGAAGGGACGTGTGAAATGTCAGCTGGGAAGCCAGGGGAAAGGTGTATACGTCACCTGCAAATAAACACAAGACATAGGTGACTATATAAATTCTTTTGCCCTAATTGTAGCTCTCCTACTAATTATATGAGAAATGTACGCAGATAATTAGAGAAATTTCACAGTCATTTCTAAGGAACATAGGAAAATTAACTCATTATCATTTAAATGCAGAAAAGAAAGAAATTTAGGGAAGATGGCTTGACTTTCTGAGTCACTTCTGTAACACATGACTCACAGTACTGAGTGCACTGCCCCCTTAAAGAGCACAGCTATAGGGTATTACCCACCGTGCCCCGAGGAGTGACCCTAAATACCACAGAAGTGTGATGCAGCTACAGAGAGAGAAAAAATGAGAATTTTCACACTAGGCCTTTAATTTAGCATTTGGAACTGTATCCCCTGGGAAAACCACCACTACGGAAAGTTTATATTGATACAATAGATTCCTAATAACATCAATCGCTTTCCAGATAAAATATCAAAAAGATTAACTATTCATTTGTTTTGTTTTGTTTTTTTAAAGGTGTTTATTTTTACTAGTGAGGATAAAACCGGGCAAGGAAGTTTACAGAAAAGACGTCCATATATAAAGAAAGAAATAGCAAAATATTTTTTGGTCATAATTTAGAGACAAACTAATGTATAAAAAGGAGACGGTTCCCCCAGTTCATCTCTCCCCCAGGAGGGTGCAGAAGCGCGGGCTCTCAGTTCCGGGATATCCTCAGCAGGCCCCGAATGCGTCTGACAAGAGCTTGTATAAAACTATAGCGAGAACGAACTTTTGAATACAGTCCTTCAATGTCCAGGAGCTTCTTTTGTAGTGATTCTCCAAAGGCGTTGATGGCGTCAGCCTGAAGCTGCAGGGAACACAGACGACATCTCACTGTTAACACTGCAGTCTCCAGGTTTATTTTATTCCGTGTCTTCCAATTTAAAGTACCTCAGAGTCTTTATAATGCTGGCCTTTTCCCGTTTCCCAAATGGAAAAAGAATCACATTTTCTACCCAAGAATTTCTTCATATTGCTTTTCCCCTTTCTTTTCCTATATGAATGTGTAAAATTTAAAGCCTGATTTAAATAACTACTGACGCTACTGTGGACATGAGTGCAAAAACATTTCCCAAAGGGCCGTGCAGAGAGTTGCTGAGGCCCTGGCTGGGCAGTGCAGTGGTTTAGGGCGTCGTCCCGACAGACCAAGGTTGTGGGCTGGATCGACCAATGAACGCATAAATATGTGGAACAGCCAATCAATGTTTCTCAAAAACGAAAAACAAAAAACAATGTCTCTTTCTCGCCTCTTGCTAAAACCAATCAATTTTTAAAAAAATTTTAAAAAGTTACTGAGAGTAGATGCTTTTGGAGAAACAAGCAAAGGATACACTGGAAAGAACTTGTACTTTTAACTTCACATTGCAATTAAAAAAAAACCCAAAACGTGCACGCTTTTACTTTAAAACGAGTGTAAGTGGGGGAAGACAATCTGGTATACACTTTGCACCTTAGCTGTATTTCCGAGTGCCTATGTAGTTTCAGATGGATCTTTTTGGTGTCACAGTGAAAAGCTAAAATCCAGTACAAAATTCTGTGAATCTACCTGCCTTCAAGTTTGGATAAAAATTAAAGCACAGAGAAGGCTATTTACTAATCCTGCATTTTTCTAACTCTGTAATAGACCAGTCTAATGAAACAGTCATGAACTCAACATACATTTATTAAACAGCTTCTGGAAGATATATCCTTTAGCTAATTCTGCAGATGGCCTCACTTCACATTAGCCCCCCCTAAACAAACCACGCTAAAAAATAAATTCCTGCTACACAGTCCCTCAGAGGCAAATGTAGCCAGGGCTGGGATGACAGCGTAGTGTCCACAACATCTCGTGAACGTGGGTCTGAAAAGTGCTGTGACTGTGCCTTTCTGTCTGGGTAAGGCCCAGTCTTCAGCTTTAAGAAAGGCAGTGGTTCAGGGAAAAGCAGAGCCTTCATCACATCCCGGCCAAGGACATTTCCTTTAGTGGCCCCGGGGCAGATCTGGCTACCTGGTAACGGCTGTGCTCCTAAGGCTTTGTGTTTGTCTCCTACGAGGTTTCCATTTTAACTGTTTTCGGAATGCTCCTCACGCACTCCCACCACTGCCGATCAGGGGCTCCCAAGTGCACAGTGCTACACGTACACAGGCACGTGCCCCATAAGGAGGTGTTGGCCAGCACTGGACTGCCCGTGTCGCGGAGGTCCCACAACATCGTGATGGAGCTGGAAAGTCCCTGCCACCTCGTGACCTCGCTGCCACTGTCACTAGAGAGGGACGGTCTGGTGTGCTGTCTGCTCACAAGCGACTCTGCGAGGACACAGACAAACGACACGAAAGCTGCCGTGGACGTGTTCCCGAAGAGAACACCACCTCCGTGGAACAGCCGCCGGCAGGCCCTTCGGGGGGCCATCCGGAAGGACTGGCGTCGCTGCCCCGGGGGCCTCCCAGGGGGACGAGGGGTGGTGGCAGGACGGCCGGACCCTGCAGGGGCCTGGGCCAATGTCTGTGTGTGTGTCTTAGTTTTTAATGAAAAGTTCAAAAGTAAATGTAAGTGAATAAGGCTATAAAAATATTTTTGTACAGCTGTACAATGGGTTTGTATTTTAAGCTTTGTGTTACCACAAAGGAGTCAGTTTTTTAAAAATTAAGTTTATAAATTAAGAGTTATAAGAAGCTAAGATTATTATTGTTTCTTGTTTTCTTAAGGTGAATTTATTACTGAAGAAAGGGGAAAGGGACACACTCAGTGCGGCCCGAGTGGACAGCGCTCGTGAAGTCCACAGCAGGGCGCAGCACCGCCTCCGGCCTCCACGCTCACTCGGCGCTCACCGCCGACTCGCCCACGAGCGGCTGCCAGCCCTGACGCTGCCTTCACGGTAGGTGCCTATACAGGGGCACCATTTTTCATCTTTCATACCGTATTTTTACTGCACCTTTCCTGTACTTAGGTGTGTTTAGATACACAGGTGCCATTGGGTTGAAACTGCCTCCAGCACGCAGCACGGGAACATGCTGTCTGAACTGTGTGCAGCCCGGGCGTGTTGCAGGCTCTCCCACGCAGCTTGGCGTGAGCGCGCACTACGGAGTGTGCACAGCACAAAACCGCTTACCGCCGCATTTCTAAAAACGCGTCCCCGTCCTTAGGCAACACGTGACTCTATAACGCCATCGTCTACTATGGTGCAATGTGTAATGGCCACTCACAATCTCTTCATCAAATTGTTTTCTGAAAAATTAAGTGTTAAGTGATGCTCTGTGCCTTAACATTCTACAAAGTCAATTCAAGAAAACTAGGAGTTTCCAGATCGCAGGCCTACCAGTCACTGGGCTCCTACTCCGTCCCAGACACTGCCCAGGGGCTCGCACGGGAAGCCTCGGTTAACGCTGGCCAAGCCAGTAATGAGGCTGGACTCTCCTTCCCGTCTTTTTGACGAGGAAATGGAGGCTAAGTAAGAAGTTCGTTGTTCCACGTCACACAGTTGGTGGGTGGCCATGCCAGAATTCAAATCAGGTCTTTGCCTAGAGCCTGAAAATGACCATCTGACCAGCATACTAGACCTCTTCCTTTGTCCTCTCAGAAATAACCACAAGAGTATCAGAACGAACTTTACCTGGTCTATGTCGTGTTGGCTCACCACAGTCAGTCCGCTTCTAAAATCCACATTGGCTTCCGAAGCGAAGGCATCTAGGGACAGAAGACTCGGTCAAACCGTCTTTGCCGGCGTAACTCTGCGGCTTCGTGGAGGAGCCTGAGGACAGCGAGCCACAGGGCCGCGGAGCGTGCGGGCCCAGGCTGAGATGCTACTTCCCCTCTCCAGAAAGGGCGGCCCCAGGGAGCACGCCGCGGGTCCGGGCCAGGGTTCTCCCGCTCGTCCCCTGCGTGTCCCCCAAGGGACCCAGTACTCGCTCACCAGTCACTGAGGCTCCCTCCCGCAGCGAGAGCCCTGGCCTCGGCTGACCCACTTCCATGCTTCTGAACAATTCCTTGTGCTTAGGGGACTCTGCAGCTCGGCCACCCCTGAACCGAAAGAAGCTGAGAAGCAGCGAAGGAGCAGCCTCTAAGGAGCTTTTGTGTCCTGCACCGTTTCCCATGGGCAGAGGGCAAACACAAAATAAAGCTATGTCGAATTACTAAGTAGCCCTTGATTGTCCAATCCACTTGGTAACTGAGACACATAAAAAACAAGTTAAAACGTGACTGTTTTTCACTGGCACTAAAACCCAAAGGCATTTATGGTTCATTAATTCGCAGAACAGAGTTTACCTTGTAGCCTTCTGCTTTTGAACAGGGTCCTGGAGGCAAACAAGGAATCTTGAGAATCGGTGGGCGTGCAATGTAACAGGTAGTACTCCAGATGGCGCCAAAGAATAAACAGGCAGGTCTCTATGATAACTACGGAGAGCTCGGATGAAGGAAAACGATCTCAACACACATTTTGTACAAACCAGTTTCCAAGGAGGAGAAAAAAGGAGACTGCACCTTCTGCTGATGTACCCACGGCCTCAGTCTACCGGACCGCGGTGAGGCTCCACAGAACATGCGTCCCCAGAAAGCAGTGAGGTGCGCTGAGGAGGAGGTGGGGACTGTGGGGACCGTGGGGCACTGTGCCAGCAGTCTCCAGGGTCCTTGTCTCTTGTCCTGACGGAGAGTGTCTGTACACATTAAGAGGAGTACTAGCTACTCCAAAAGATAAGGCGATTTTCGATGTGGAACTATATCAGGCATGTACTAGAAAAAAAAAATGGGCAGTGACTATGTCACTTTCCACGTGGTTGTGATGCCCAACAATGTGAGAACAAGCAAACAGCTCCTGCCCTTGCAGAGGCTCTCAGAGCCGCCACTCGCGCCCCGCTGTGACTTCGTTAAGGATACAAGAGCAAAGGGAGAGCAGTTTGGCTCGATTGTTGATCAGCTTCACCAAACGCCGTCTCGCTAGAACGTATTTCTGGGCAGTGGAGATTTTATCAACACCAGCGGGCATCACAGACTGACACAACTAAGAAAAACAAATAAATACAGTAAGAAAAATGACACCAATTGTTAACAAACATTTCTGGTCACTTGTGATAAGCACTGTGCAAAATATTCAAATAAGTTTAAACACCCTGGCAAACAAGAGTTATTGGTCTAGCTAGGAAGCTAGTAACTAAACAAACAAACAAACAAACAAACAGAGAGCCAAAGAAGCAATTGAATTCCAAACGAATATTCATCAGTTGCTTTTTTAAGAAGTCTTGCCCCTGAAACAGACATTTCCAATCTGCTGAGGGGCCGATCAACCCTGAATTTCCTGGCAACTTAAGGCGACACGGGGCAGGTTCCCCAGCAGCAGGCGTAAAAGGGCCACGCAGATTTCTGCAGCAGCTGCAAGCACCTTCGGAGGACGACCTGGACTACGAGAGCGTAGAAGATACGCTACGCTCACCCACCAGGAAGGACCTCCCGCCACCCCTTTGTCTGGCAGACCTGCAGGCACACAGGTCAGTTAAAACTTGGACACTGGGTCTGGCAGAGGGCGAGCTGGCGCGGGGCTGCTGGAAGGTCACAGACTTGACTGTGAAGCTCCAGTTCCTCCGGCCAGCACCAGCATCGCCCATAAGCTACGTGTGAGGGGGAAGGGCTGCCAGGTGTAAACCACACATTTCAGCGACCACCTGAACACAGTCAGCGGCTCCTGTGTGGCTCTGGGTAGTCAAACTTCCAGTGCCTCCGTTTCCTCATCTGAGAAACGAGAAGGGCGACGTCATCCGCTCGGGGATTCAGGCAGAACCTGTAGCTCAGGGCCTGGCACATCGTAAGCACTCAGTAAACGTTCCCTAAGAAGAAACGTTCCCTATCACAAGAGTGGGAAGAGGGAGTAGGCTTTGGCTGCTCTGAAGAGTTTTTCAGGAAAGCTGGTGCGAACCAGGAGTGGCAAGATGGTTCGACATCCAGGCTGCCGCAGGACACCAGGACGCTTCAGCACCGGCCAAGAGATGCCTCGGAGTTCGGCTGTGCCAAATGGGAAGGATGGTGGGCTACGCAGGGAGAAGCCTGGCAACTCAGCGTCTTGAGCCACAGTGAGTGCCCGGGAATGACTCTGGGTGCCTGAGAGCCGCAGTCACGTCTGATACGTCATCCCACTGTCTGCTGAGACCTCTTACCTAGGGAATCACATCTGCTGAACGAGCACTTACAATAGAAGCCTAAGTTTCTCAGCACAGGTTTAGAATATAAATGACCAAACCCGGTATTCAAAGGGCAGCTGCCGTTCCACTGAGTGGCAGGTGGTTTTCTTGAACAGGTGCAACTTCACTGTCTTTCATGCAAGAGTTCCTATGCTTATGAGGCGTGGTGCTAAGGCGAGGGACTCTTCCTCAAGCCACAAGGAGGAACCATTTTAATTCCTTCCGTATTACCGCACACGTCGTCATCTTCACCTACGAGCGTGACACCAGTCACCGGGCCCTTGCGAGTGGAGTCAGGGCTCCACAGCTCGTTACAGGAGTCATACCTCTTTTATCTCGTCTGGCGGAAGCTGCTCGACGTTCTGCAGCTTGTTCACACTCCGTCGGTGGCTGTCGTAATAGCTGAAGAAGTCGCTGGCGCTCTGTTTCAGCAGGTAGACAATGATGCCCAAACCAGGCAGCCGCCAGTATGGAACCACTGGAGCTTGGGTATCTGACGGAGTTGATGATAAAAAACAGTGTTCCACTCATAAGCATCTTATACGAATTTCAAATGACCTGTTTTAAAACAAGGGATGCCCAGGAATTTAAGGGCATGTAAACTATCATTCAAACCAACCCAAGACTACTCTTAAATACCACAGGCAGTTCAAAGGCGTGGCTGGGAGCCACTGTGCGTATCAGGGGCGAACCGAGGGCTGAAGACCTTGAGCAAACGAGGACATCGGACGCATGGACGCAGAGAGAGCTTACCCTTTATTGGGTGAGGACGTCCCTCAGAACCTCACGTTAGTTAGAAACTTTTACACACACACACACACACACACACCCAAGGTATACACACGAGTGTGGAGTGTCCTGACCCCAGGAGGAGCTCCTGACTACTCTAGTTTTAGGGCTTTGTCTCCAGCATGCATCTTTTGGGTTGCTGAATTCCCAGCTCACAGTCATTCTTCCAAAGAGAGAAGGAAACACCAGCTAAGCCATTCAAAAACTGTAACTGGATTTGGCCTTGAACGAGCCTTTACCACAGTGACTCCATTTGGGTAGCAGAGCAAAACGGTCCTCCTTTTACTCGACGACCTCCCGACGGGGCAGGAGGGCTGGCGAGACGGCGGGGAGGCCGTCCGCAGGGGGACGGGCAGGGGGACAGTCACACGGCTGTTCTGCAGGCAGCGTGGGTGCAGCGCCTAGGGCACCTGCCTCTGACAGGGGGGCTTCTTGAGAAACACCTTAGTGACTCCAAGTTCGGTTTGGAGACGGCCCTCGTTGAACGGCCCTGACGGCGGTGGACACCGAAGGGGGTCTGCATTGGCCCCCCTCACTGCCGCCCCCCTCGACTGGGCTCCCACATCAGGCCTCACGGGTCTTCGTGCCGCTTCAGGGGAGAGCGAGCAGCCCCGTGTCAGTGCACGCGGCCGCCAACCAGGGTATCCCAGACTCCTCTGACCTGCCGGGTCTCCCGCGCCAGTCTTCAGCGACAATGTGGCGGGTCTTTCCGACACGGGTCATCTCCACAGAGCCTTCTCCTGGTGACCTCATGGACCCTGGTCCCCACATAGTGAGCGTATGTATGCTGTCTACCCTGGCAGGAAGATAGCCACCACGATGACGGTCTGACGCCGAGACGCCGCCACTGCATTCCCGGAGCTCCCCCCCACTACCTGCTCCCGTCTAGAAAGCCCTCGTGTCCAGAGGCCATCAGACGCAGACATTGGAAGGGGGAGGCTCGTAAGAAACCTGCCCACAGAAACATTCCACGGGGAAGGTCACCAGGCCTGGGCCGCAGGGGTGCTACAGGAAAGGGTCCCTGGATCACCAGTAAGAGTAAATGTACTAAATGTAACGACAGTAGCAGTAGCAGTAATGGAAATAATGACGGCTAACATTTAGACAGTGGGAGTGCCGGGCTCTGTCCTAAAGCACTTACATAGAGGAACACACCTCATCCTCACAGAAATTCATTCCAGTGCAGCCTGTCATTACCGCCATTTCTCAGATAAAGAAACCGAGGCACAAAGAGGCAGTCTCTCTGAAGTCATGCCAACAGTCACTTGCAGAACCGGGACACAAACCTAGGCAGTGTCACCCGTCTGTGTTCTTGACCAGGAGGTTACACTGCCTCTCTACAGCTCATTGTTCGTGAACCTACCACGTACCTGCCCACTCCCGTGTGCCTAGAACTGACAGAGGAAAACATGCGTAACCCTCATTACACTTCAGGGGGAAGGGGACGGCCCTCCTGAGGCAGAGACAGAGGTCTCCTCCAGAGCCTACGAGGATTAATAGACAGATTCATGTTCACGGACAAACCACCGACAGAGAGGGGACAGGCCAGGTTGAACGGCACCGCGGGTGACATGCAAACCACTGTTCTGAGCGAGGGGCTCCGGTAGGATGGCCAGTCACTCCAGAGTGAAGGCGATCTTTCACCTTCACCGGGCCACCGGGCCACCTCATGCTGGGATCAATCTCCCCAAGGCGGGACCCTTCCCACGGGGGCACCTGTTTGTTCTAGTGATCTTCCTGGAAGCCAACTTCTTGAATACAGGAGAAAGCTAGACAATGTAGAATCAATCTGCTTAAGGCATTGTTTTGTATCTCTAAGTGACTTAATACTCATTTATCCCACACAATGTAACCATAAAGCTTTATAGCTACTTCCTCAATTTCTCTGAAACATACTTTCACCTAAGTAAGACTACTCCCCAAATGAATCACTGAACGAAAGGTATCTTTCAGTTAAGGTCTCTTACTAGATAGTAAGGACTCCTGCTTCCAAGTAGAACAAACTAAAGTCATACCAGAGCAGGGGTGAAAAACCTGGACATAATACAGAACGACTACCCGAAGGTACCAGAGGGAACAGGAGCAGAGACACACTGGCGGGGGGTGCAGTGCGCAGTTCAAAACTACCCGACAGACAGACAACTAAGAAAACAGGAGCCATGCTCACGAGGCAAGAACACCAATCAAGTCTAATTTCAGATGAACCAGATGTTGGAAACTAGTGAATGAGGGTTTCAAAGTAGCTAATCAAGAGAAAACAAAATATGCTTATAACCAATAAAAACCACAGAAAATCTCAGCAGAAAAAATATATTAAAAAAAAAAAAAAACAAAGCCCTGGCTGGCATAGCTCAATGGATTGAGTGCGGGCTGCGAACCAAAGCATCGCAGGTTCGATTCCCAGTCAGGGCACATGCCGGGGTTGCAGGCCACGGCCCCCAGCAACCACACACTGATGTTTCTCTCTCTCTTTTTCTCTCTCCCTTCCCTCTATAAAAATAAATAAATAAAATCTTTAAAAAAAAACAAATGGAAACTCTAGAACAGAAAAAGACCATTTCTGAAATAAAAATTCACTGGGTATACTTACCAGCCCAATGGAACTGACTGAAGAAAGAATGGGTGAACTTGAAAATAGGAGAATTGAAAATATTTAAAGAAAAGAACAAAGAGAAAAAAGATTGGGAAAAAATAACAGAGTCTCAGGGACCCATGATATACTATCAAACAGTGTGATGTGTTTGGAGAGAACGGAGCTGTTATATTTTCATGTTTTTCACCCAGCGAGCTCACTCTCCAATCCTAGATCTTTACTTTGGGGACTCAGCGACTATTCAAAACTATACTCTAGTCACAAGACTCTAAAGATGGATCCTCAGAAAATTCTAGAATTCCTCTATTCTCCCAAGCTCCCCAGTCTATCCACAGGTCTGACAACAGAACCTCCTCACCACTCCTTAAAGTTGTTTAAAAAATTTCTCATTGTTACTCATAAAGAAAAAAACAACACGTCTCCCAGGAGCCCATGAGAGCTGGTCATAAGCGTAGCCACAGAAGCCCCGCGGCGCAGAGGGAAAGCGCGAGGCTCACCTGGCCGGGGCCCCTCTCTGTTCACGGTTTCCGAAAGGCTGGGCGTGAAGAGGCACACGGCCTGCTGGAAGGCGGGGGAGCTCTGCAGCATGAGTGACTGGCAATACTCCATGACGTTGGCACAGATCTGCGCGGGAGAATCAGCGGTAGCGCAAAGGTTAGCTCCCCAAATGTCCTCACGTGGGGATCCAGATGTGAAGGAGAATGAAGTTAGGATCAATTTGTAAAACCACAACAAAGTTATAAATCAATTTGTAAAATCACTCAGAGGTTGCGTTTATCGAATATTTCTAAAACCATAAAAACCTTCAAGACCAGGCACACAGTTCTCCGTTCTCGCACCTGCTGCATCGCCAGTTCGATCTCATCTTTCTTGCTCACTCTGTCTCCCTCCACGTGATCATCCTGGAACTTGAACTGCCGGAGTCTGTCGGAGCCACCGAAGCGACTCAGCAGTCCCAAGCACTGGCGCTAAAAAAGAAAAAGATACTTTGTTCATATCTAGTTAAATATGTTTACAATTAGTGACCTCTCTTTCTGGAGGGACATAAAAAAGAAAAACTCAGTGGGGAGTGGAACTGCTCTTTAAAGTGTCTGACTTCTCACTGCCAATGGAGTTGACTGAAGTTTGCACTATTAAAATTCACCTTTTGCCAATGTTATATGCTTGGCAGTCAACTCACCACAAGAATACCGTTATTAAGAGCAGTGAACCCAACTATCTAAGTGTCTGCCAAAAAATTCTCTGTATCACACCAAATAATTCCTTGGTGGATACTCATTATATCGACACAAGTCAATCAACAACGAGAAGCAAAGTGAAATGGCAAACAGAAGACGACCTGTAACAAGCACATCTGTGATAATGTTCAACTAAAGCTCACGTTTGAAGGTTGCCACTCCTGTGGCCACTTCGGAGACTTCATAAAGAGGTTGGGAACGCACAGGTGTTTCTTGGCAGATAAAATGCCATCTGTTTGAAGTGCTGGCCCATTTCATCTAAGAATACAATTTTCCCCAAGGTCTCAAAGGGAAAGGGCGAGCTTTTCAAAACTGGCAGTGTGTCCAGTGGTTAGTGCTCGGGTTTGGAATCAGAGACGTGGACTCCACCAGCAAATGCGTGGCTTTCTGCCGCGTGACCTGGAACAAGTTACTGAACTTCCTCAACCTCCACGGCGGGGGTGCCAAACTCATCCTCACCGGGGGCCACATCAGCCTCACGGTTGCCTTCAAAGAGCCAAATGTAATTTTAGGACTGTATAAATGTAACTACTCCTTAACTAGGGGCAAGGAGCTAGGCACTGCCGCCAGGTAGAAACAAGGTGCCAGGCCAGACAAAACAAGGTGGAGGGCCGGATTCGGCCTGTGGGGCTTGTGTTTGCCACCTGTGGTCTACAGTCACATTTCTGGGGTGATAATAGCAATTCCTAGCTTAGAGGATTGTTGCCAGGATTATCTGAGGCACTGAATTGTATTTAAAGTGCTTAGAATAGTGTTCTGCAAATAGTGCATGGACAATAAAATCGTGTTTTAAAAATTGGTATTACATACCTCCATTCACACACACACACACACACACACACACACACACATTAATACCTTATTTAAACTGATGTTTAAATAATACGTTTGTATAAGGCAAAAAAAACATATTAAGGAGATGATAATGTAAACTTACTTTGTCAGAATATTTACATCTATTTTTAAAACTTACAACTGGCTGCTTGCTGTTCTTACAATAAAACAGATGCACTAACACATGTCCTGAGGTCACCTTATGAATGATCTGTCAAAACTATCTTTGTCTCCCTACCAATGAAAAAAGTTAAAAGACTGAAAAAGAAAAAAACAACCCAGAATATTTGGGTTTTGTTGGTAAGAGTGTAACACAAATAACGCAAAAGGCACACTGTGTGAACCCTTGGCCCAAGTGATACTGGTGCTGTTACTTAATCTACAGTTTAAAATCTCTTACACAAAAATGCTGACGGCAGCATTTACTTCTGGAAACTTGAAAAACAGTTCATGAAAAGGGGACTGGTTAAGAACATTGCTGTATCAAAGACAGTGGACTATAAGTTCAATACATGAACACAATTATGCTGCGGCCAATAATGAGTGAAGGTGATCAAAGCAGGCCGGGAGGCTCCCCGAAAGACTGTGATAAAACATCTAATTGATAAGCTATCGAATATGTTTGAATATATTGATAGGTTACACAGTTGGAGAAAAGTTTATGAATATATTAAAAAGAAGTACACAAAAACCAGGCAAATAAGAAAAGTACTTACTTAGGGAAAACAATGTTATGCAGAAAAGTAACATATCGTCCATGACAATTACACAGTAGTAATAATGTAACATTAAACACTGACCTAATCAAAATTGTGATACAACTATGTTGATGGGGGTGGGGGGTAAAAGAAATGTATATATTTTTATGATGGAAAAAGGGGGTAAAGAGATTCCCAGCCTCCTTGATGGAAGTCAACAGATGATTCCTAAAACTGGATAACCAAGCAGCAGCAATAAGCACGTTATTTAGAGGTGACAAAGAATCAGTGAGAACTGTTGAGAGGGTTGGCCCAAACCCAGGGAGCAGCATGGGAAGGATGAGCGGGTAGTCTGTTGAAAGTCTTACAGCTGCTCTTCAGAGGAGTAAGAATCAGTTACCTGGAATCTTCCAATGTGTCCCTGTAGCTCCATTAGAGACCCTTCATTGACGTCAATATCCAGTTCACTCAATATACCTAGGAAATTTGGAATGCTTTCAAATGCAATTTTATCATCAAGAAAACAAAAACATTAAAAAGGTAGGAAGGCAGTTCTAGTGCTTTCTATTTTTTATGTGCATAAACAGACAGACTGTGCCAAGAGGAAGTTTGGAGAAACAGTACAAAGATTCGTATGCAATCTAAATGCAGATTGGAGTAGTGAACTGTTACTACCAATTTCAAATAAGTCACATATAGCTGCCACGTAATGAAAACCTCACTCTAAGAGGTGTGCATGTCAGTTTGTAAAGAGCTCCGTCCCTGAAAGTCCGCCCGGCAGCCTGGACTCACCGGGAAGCGCCGCCTTGCTTATCACCCCGGTGAGCAGGGCCAGCTCCTGCAGGGAGCCGGCGCTGGGGTCCTGGCAGCGCAGCACGGCCTGCGTGGTGTCCGAATGCGCGATGAGAAACTGCAGCACCTGGGCCGGGGAAGGGGCGGAGAAACGGGAGACGCAGAGGTGGAAGCGTTAGGAAATTACAAATTTATAACTCATCTTTCTTGTAACGTTGAAGCGATTAATTCAATGTAATGAAGAAGAATATTAGACTAGCATTTGCTTTTTGCACTTACATACTTTATTTCTTCCAGAAGTAAACATTTACCTAACGTTCTTAAGAAACATAAAGTATTATTTCAAAGTTTAAAAATTAAAATATGTAGATACTACTGTAAAAGAGTATAATTTAGAACTAGCGTATGAAAACTATTGTTTGACCCCTATTTTGTGACTTCTATTTTTCTCCAAATGGAACCGGAACGTAAGTTTAAAAGGGGCGTCACAATGAGCTGCTGAAGTTGCCCCAGGAAAGTCTGACGAGTGTGACAGGGGACGGCCACACCAAAGCTTTCGTTTAGTTCTGCTCTGGGTCGGGCACCACGGATGCAGTAAAAAGCCTGCCCTTCGACCCCTGCCCTCCCACCCGGCACTCACACTGTACCATCACGGAGGACTCTCATTCTTTTCCCACGCAATTTCTCCTCAACTGGACCGCAAACGCCCTCACAGAGACTACGCCCAAACAAGCCAGGCCTGCGAATCTCTCGGGAACTGTGCCCCTGTTTACTTGTTCAGTTCCGATTCCTCGTCCTGGCCCATCGTCGCTGGACGTGAAACTTAGTAATCCGTGTTTGTTAAAGAACCTTCTTAGGGGATTCTGTTGTAGTCCGTACAGGACCGGTATTGGAGAACCAACGTCTTATGCCACGATGGTCAACTTCTACTAAAAAAATTTAATCTTAACAAAGTAGAAGACCAGGGGAGTCTGAGTTTTAAAGAAGTGACTCAAAGGCCCGGATGGAAGGGGCAGAGCGTCGCCCAGACGAATGCAGCACAGAGCCAGGTGCGTGCCAGAAGCAGCGGCACCCTCTCCTGGTGAGATCAGCCTGAACTGACGGCAGGAGAAGCAGACGGAAGGGCCATAAACTACTGCCATAAATTACTAAGACAAATACCTGAGGGTATCACAGTGGTAGAGCAATACGATAAGGCTGTAATTCATAATGATAAGCCCAGCTAATCACTATATTGCATTATTAGTTTGAAGAAACAAAGAAATATATAATTTGAAGGTTTCATTGAAAAGCAATGAAAATAAAACTAATTTCTGGTGCTCAAAAATGTTTTTTATGAGTCTGGAAATTCATTTATTTAAATCACTTCATCCCCTAAACACCACTGATAAATGTGGCGTATCATCTATCTTTTGCATTTTCTGCAAGGCCTGACACAGTTTACAGCCTCTTCTCAGTCAATACCTGGTTAAATCACATTTCAGAAGCCAACCTATTCCTACCACAGTAACAGCCTTCTTTTATGAAGAACGAATTGACCGGGTTGACCAAAAGGTCCACTTAGTTTTTTCTGTACCATGGCATCAGTAGTGCTTAGTAGCCTTTAACTTCATTTGAAACAATTTTGTTAGCTTGCATCATGACAGCTATCATATCAGCATGCATTTAAAAAAAACTTATCAAAACTGAATTTTTGTGCAATCATTTTAATATTGAAAATGGAAGAAAACACATCACACTTTCAGCACATTATGCTTTTTTAATTCGAGAAAGGTAAAAAAACACAACTAAAATGAAAAAAAAAAAGATGTGTGCAGTGTATATAGAAGGTGCTGTGACTGATCAAATATGTCAAGAGTGGTTTACAAAGTTTCTTGGTATTATTGACACTTGGGCCAAATAATTCTTTGCCTTATGCAGTGGAAGATGTTTAGCCGCACCCCTGGCCCTCACCCACTAGAAGGCGATAGCGGGAGAGAGCCAACACACTCAAAACATCCAAATCAATAAAGTTACTGGTGAAAATGAAAAAATATGTTTTATTTTAGAGAAAAATATAAAAGGACTTTTTGGCCCACCCAATAGATCTCTTGCCTCCTGTGTCACTGTTCTATTAATTATCTGTGTGGTTTCATTCAAACGAAAGTATAAGAACAGGTCAGTGAAGTTCAGAGTAAAGCACAGGGGCCCGTTTTTGACACCAAGTGCGCCACACACAGGACCCCTCCCGTAAATTCGCTCACGCTCCCTGTGCCTGGGGCTCCCACATTCGGAACGTGAGGATGTGGCGCTCAGGCCAAGTGTTCCACACTAAGATGTCTAAGATTTGTGCGCTAACATTCCTCTTACTTACCTGCCCTGCTGCCTGCAGGTGCTGGGCCATGCTGGACGTGAGGATGACCTGGCACAGGCGGAGAGCTGGGAGGAGAATCTGACGGTACCGGTCCGCCGGGGTCGGGATGAACACTGGGGGGTCCCTCATGCCGAACACGCTTCATTCATTGCCAGCGAGCAAGGAGAGAGCAACAGTGCAAGGGTTAAGGCGCACTAGGGCGTGCGTGCCGGACCGCCCATCTCCATGGCACGCCACCGCAGGTGGCTGATGAGGACACGAAGCTGCTAATGAGCACTCTGCACCCCACAGAGACAGTAAAACCCAAGAAGCTATCTGAATTCTGAAAAGTCTTATGAGATAATCAGTGTAATTTGAAAAGACAATGCTTGAAATGTCCTAAACATATTTATTCTACTCTAAATATTCCCTTGGGCCCTAGAAACTATGAGTAAGAAACAGATAAGAACAAGTCCTTCCCAAATTTCCCTCTCTTGTAACCAGAGCCAAAAATGAATCTACATTTGCAGTCCACTATTTTTTAAAAAAACATGGCCCTGGCTGGTGTGGCTCAGAGGTCTGAGTGCCGGCCTGAGAACCAAAGGGTCGCCAGTTCGATTCCCAGTCTAGGGCACATGCTTGGGTTGCAGGCCAGGTCTCCAGTTGGGGGCGCATGAGAGGCAACCACACATTGATGTTTCTCTCCCTCTCTTTTTCCCTCCCTTCCTCTCTCTCTAAAAATAAATAAAATCTAAAAAAAAATATTAAAATAACTTTTGGATGTAAAATAGTTCTACAGCCAATCCTGAAAAACTTGAACACTCACTTTGACAATGACTCTTTTGAAGAATGAAAGGAAAACTGACCTTACTGTTATTTGCCACTAGGAGGGCAAGCTGTTTGCCTACAAATGTCACAGCAATGTAGACAAAAAAGGAAAACTAAAATCTACACTTAAACTGAACTGAGAAATCTGCTGAACAGCTTGAAACTCAATATAATTTGACCTGAAGCTTTCAAATTGGCAAGCAGCTGGTAAAATGTTAAAATGAGAAAATACAAAATGTTATCCCAGTCATCAGGAATAGGAAATCCACAACAAACTGTAAATTCACCACGATTGTTTAAAATACCATTATAACTGAAAAGAGTATTTCTACCGAACAAAACAATAAAGTTGGGAAGAAAAACATTTCCTTTCAAAATGCTCTCCCATTTCCCACTTACATAACTGCTCTAAAATGGAAAGCTTTAGCTCTCACCCACTTGTACTCTTATTAGCAACTTTATTTATTAGTAAATGGCAGGGCTGTATGACCGCCCCACCAAAAAAGTCATCAAGATAAAAGACTACCACTCAGAATTATAAACCAGTGGCAGCCCTGGCTGGTGTGGCTCAGTGGATTGAGTGCCAGCCTGTAAACTGAAAGGTCGCGGGTTGGATTCCCAGTCAGGGCTTGTGCCTGGGTTGCAGGCCAGGTCCCCAGTAGGGGGTGTGCAAGAGGCAATCAATTGATGTGTCCCTTACTGATTGATTGACCTTTCCTTCCCTCTCTTTTTTCCTCCCCTCCCCTCTCCCTAAGAAGTAAATTAAAAAGTCTAAAAAAATACAGTGGTAAAATTATGTTGAAATGTCTTTCTTCCTTAATAATCCTTCATGGGAAACTCAACAGAACAATCTGTATGGACACTTACCCCTGCGGGTCCATTTCCGGGCGCATGTCATAGACCTGGCACTGTGCCAGCCTCACGATCACCCCCGACCTCAGCAGCTCTAAAGCGCCCTGCTGTATCTTAGCCACTCTGGTGAGAAACGCCTGAGGAGTCACCAAAGGAAAATTGTCACCACAGAGACCACACCGCAGGCTGCAGACAGAAATGAGACTCTCGCAGCATATTGCCGATCCTGAGCCATCGCTGAAGAGAAGTTCTGAGCTAGCTACGAAGGGGCACATTACACCACCTTTCTCGTGGGATTTCTTGAGGATTAAATGGCACAGCATATCTGAAGTGCCGCATACAGCGTTTTGCACAAATTAAGTATCCGAACAAAGAGTAGTTTCTGTTATCACCAGGTGGGCTCGTGGAGGGCAGGGAAGAGTGTTTTGCTCACAACTGTGTCCTCTCGTACCTACTGCCATGCCTGACGTATAATACACATTTAATAAACACTTGTTGAACAAATAAACGAAGGAGGGAGGAAGTTAATCAACTTAAGTCTAAGACTCCAGTGCTCCTACTACTGTGACATTGTAACATTCTTAAGCAGGAGGAAACAGAGAAAACAGATTTGGAGTAAAGGAGATGATAAACTACAGACTGGACTGAAGACCCTGTGTTTGAAGTGGAGCCAGCGCATCCACCCCGGAATGCCCAGGAGGCAGCCACCGTCCCAGAACCTTGTGGTGGGAGGACCGCTTTGCCCCCGGCCCACCTCGGAGAGCACGGAGTGCCGCGTCACTCACTCGCCACCACCAGCAACCTAAGGAAGGAGCAGTTCCGTTATCCAACTAACTCTCTCAGGATCACTGCCACTCAACTTTGGCACGCTTGGGAGATACATTTCTGGGATATGTCCCCAAATTTAGAACTCGGTAGCACAGTTACAGTTTACATGATAGAAATATTCCCAAGGTATTATTTCACATTAACCTTGTGTACTACATCTATCACCACAGGAAACAAGCCGCATATCTAACCTCAAATGAATACAGAGCCTTACCATCTTAGATTCGTAAGTATAAAGGGCTTTTAAAAGCGGTGGTTGCGGCGTGAGTAAGCTCTGCAAAGTATGGTCATCCTCTACCAAGCTGTCCACCAGAACCTTCAAATAGCCACTGTTGGACAGGTACAGGAGCCACTGCTGCTGCTTGTCCACGGCGACGATCCGATCGAGTAGAGCCAGCGCCAGCATCTGAAGGCAGATCAAAGCACGAGCGTGGGGGTGGCGGCCAACTCAGGGACAGGAGCGACCTGCGTCTGCAAGTGGTCCCAACTCTTCTTACAAGGAGAATCGATGCTTGCAATAAAACTTTCTTGTTTTTTTGAGAAACTGAAAGCTATATATCCAAAATCTCAACTGATCAATAAAAGGAAAGTTTTCAGGATAAAGTTTTACTTTAGAAGCAAAACCCAATACATTAAAATGAGAGCATTAAATATATTTCAGCAGAATCTAAACATTACTTGTTGAACAAAGATTCTTTAAAATAACCTTTTCCTTCTAGTGATAAAATTTTATACATTCTAGAAAACACAGAAAATATACAGCCTGATAAACGGTCTGAGAAGCAAAATTAATCTGTCCTGGCTGGTGTGGCTCAGCAGACTGAGCGCTGGTCTGTGAACCAAGTACTGCCAGTTCCATTCCCAGTCAGGGCACATGCCTGGGTTGCGGGCCAGGTCCCCAGTAGGAGGCGTGTGTGAGGCAAACACACACTCATGTTTCTCTCCCTCTCTTTCTCCTTCCCTTCCCCTCTCTCTAAAAATAAATAAATAAAATACTTAAAAAAATTTTTTTAAGTTAAAAAAAAAGAGTTAATCCATTTTAGTTTATCTCCTCCTAGTCTTTTTTCTATGCATAAGAATACATTTTTTAAACATAATTCAGAATTTATCACAGTTTATATTTTACCCCATTTCTTAGAATCCTGTTTCCCATGGTTTTCAAATGCACGATTCACATGCTACATGACTTCCCACTAGCAGGAAGTTATCTGCAGCATCTCTGTTGTGTCTACCAGTGTCAGGCCGACCTCAGAATCAGCAAGAAGGTTATTCTGAGGGAAAATTCTGAACTAATTGAGATTCTAAATAGAGTTAAGCAAAACATATGACTAAACAAAATAAAAATTCCAAGTGACAGTAAATAAGCAAGTTCACTAAAATACACTGCAGAAAATAATTCTCAGTATGTATGTAACATGCTTCTAAAATGTTGAGTCAATTTATGCCTCTGCAAGTTAAAACACTTATTCAATGATAACACTGAACAGGAGCTGCTGTACCCTTCCAATCTCGTGGCCATCGCACGCGTCCCGACAGACCACTTCCATGAGGGCGGCCCCGTAGCTCTCGATGATGGCGATGTTTTCTCTCTGTAACTTACTAAACACATCTTCAGGGGCTGTCAACCTTTCCCACATGGTTTTTTTGGCTACAAGAGTGACAGCAGAAAAATCTTAAATACTCCAATAAAAAAAAGGTTTTGGTCAACGAATCATTATGCTACAAGTGCAACATGCTAATAGGTATTAGCTATCAAATTACAGTAAGGGAAAATCACAAATTACAAAGACACAAAATAAAATATGACGATGTGAAGTGTTACAATCAAGAGTAACAACATTCAAGGGAAACAAACAGAGAAAACTTAAAACTGAATGCTAATTCTCAGATCTGTCAGATATGCAAGTTATTTAGTCTTTGTAAGTCAGGTTCCTTTCAATCAAAACAGGGAGAAGGGCTGGCCAGTTTCCAGTAGTATGACTAAAGTAGAAGTAGTGTGGAAAAATAAATACATAAACATTAAAATTAAGTTTTTGTTTAAAAACAAAACATAAAGTAGGTACAGTGTCTGGCACAAAAGTATGTGCACAATAAATACTGTTAAAATTTAATATTTCTAATTTGAAACTTAAAAGCACTATTACCTGGGGAAAAAAGTACTTTGTTACTTAAAATAAGTCAAAGTAAGATGTAACTATGGTTAAAAAATAATTAAGTGATAAAATTACTCTAACAATAGATCATAAGAAATTTAAAAACAAAGAATTTTCTTTCACAGTTGCACTGCTTTATCACATCGTGATGACTTATAAAAATCACGATGTAGAGCTCCACCTAGCGGTTGAGTGTGGATTTTGCCAATTCAACTGAATACAAAATTAATTTTAGACCAGAGGAAAATAGGGGAGTTGTGTTGAGGTGAAGGGGGAGTGGGATCCCCATTGCTGTCTTGCTAGAAAAAGCTCCTATTTGTTTAAAAAGCTTCTATGAACTATTATTTTTAATAACCTTAAAAATATTTTTGTGCATTAAGTGGGTAGGACACTTCTCTAAATACATCATTTGGCTACTGTTATCTTCTAAGAATGATATTATGTAAAACTATATAGCCAGTAAAGAATAACATTAGATAATCTGGGTCTTAGATTCAGAGTGGTTTTTAAGAATCTATGTACAGCCCTGGCTGGTGTAGCTCAGTGGATTGAGCGTGGGCTGCAAACCAAAGCATCGCAGGTTCAATTCCCAGTCAGGGCACATGCCTGGGTTGCAGGCCATGGTCCCCAGCAACCGCACATTGATGTTTTTCTCTCTCTCTCTTTCTCCCTCCCTTCCCTAAAAATAAATAAGTAAAATCTTAAAAAAAAAAAGAATCTATGTACAAAATAACAAATACTCACAGGGTTCCCAGGAGGGCACGGGAGTCCATTATGTAACTCTGGCACAGAGCATTATACCCTGACTAGTCTGCTGTCAAAAACATGTTTCATATCTGGAGACCAAAGAATCCAGCTCACTACTATTAATTAAAAACACGAACTATGTTTTAGAAAGCAGTGTTTATCACTATTTTAAATATAAGTATCTTCTGAAGAAGCAATTCCACTTCTCAGAATGTGTCCAAGAAAACCTCACAACCGTGTACAAAAAGACACATGCATGCTATGAATGAGTGTGTGAATGGTAGAGGGCCATTCAACACAATCCACTGAAAGAAAATTGTGCACACTGTTATCATGGAAATTCCACAGTGAAGTATTCTTCTTGAAAAATACATAGGCATGTAAAAGAACATTTCATGCAATATTTTTTTATAGTAAAGTTAGAAATAATTCAAATGCCTATGAACAAAGCCAACTGTAAAATAACATTACCTCCGTGCTCTGGAAGAACACGGCCATTTTAAAGGTTCACTTAGGGCCAGAGGGAGAGTTACAGAAATATAAGCTAAGATCCTATTTGAGGGGTTTTCACAGTTCTCATGTTTTACCTTTATCATTTTAGAAAACTAAACATTCTTCCTCTACTTTAGAGTGAGTCCCTTTCATGATTCCATAAAGAATCACTTATTTCAGCTTGGCTTAGACAGCAGATTAAAAAAAAGTGATTTTTAAAAATTTAACGCATCACTAAAACCAGAAAAGTTTAGGGATCTATCTAACTCTACCTGCTTCCAAGGTGTCGGGTTCATCCGGTCTCTGGGCGATCTGCAGGTAATAGAGTAGAGAGCCATACAGGTGTGTCCTCACTCGCTGGAATCCGCCACCTAGGGAGACACAGAGAACACTTTTTTCCAAACCAAAGTTAAAACAAATACAAAAGCTGTAATTTATAGAAAATTCAGATGAAAGGACCTGTCTTCAAAATGAAGTCTAAGAGTTTCTTCAATATGATGTGAAGCGAAGAATCTCCAATAGAAGCGAAACCCACCACTGGGTTCTCTGCGGGCGCAGGGGAGGTGATGGAGCCCTCAAGCATAAAAGCGTAGTGGGCCTCTCCGAGCCCCGAGGCTAACGGCTGCTTCTGCTCCGTGCGGACGGCCTGGCTCAGGTGGGCGGTCAGGGTGAACACAGCACCTGCCACCACGGGCATCAGCTCCTGTGCTGCCTCGTCATCCAGTATCTTAGAGCAAAGACAAGTCAGAGTGAGGACCCTGCTTTCGGCTACAGTCACCAATACATAGTATACATTGCTCAGCTGTTCAAACACCATAAGAACGAAGACAGCACTGCACTGTTCAAAGAAAACAAGCTAGTACGAGTATATACGATGCTGAGTAACGCATGCTCTCAACCAGAAGGGATTCCCTGCAGAACCCCCTAGATTTTCAGGGGCAAATCACATAAATGGCCTCACCACTAGACTGTCCCATTCCGTAGGTCTGGTGAGATCTGTCCATGAGAATTTTTTTAAAGCTCCCTAGATAATTCTGATACACACTCTAGCTGACAGCGGTTATTGTATAGCATCAATACCTTTCTCAAGGAAAGGCTTAACATTGGTGTTGCACGACTCTATTTATTCCTAGTCTAAGTGGGAAATAAAATGGAGAGTGGCACACTGTATGTACACAAGTATCTGTGCAGCAGTGTGAAGTAGCCGAGGAAGTACGTCACCTTATCATGCACATCTTGTAAAATATCACGAATAATCAGCTGCCGGTCCTCCGTCTGAATGAGGTCCTGGGGACAAGCTGTCAGGATAATCTCCACCAGCTGCCTCCACGACTCCAGCACGTGCCGCTTTGCGTGGAGACACTGCAACAACTTGTTCCTCGCCACCACGTACTGGAGGATGGTGCTGATCTCCTGGAGCCGGAGAAGTGCAATCACAAGGTTAATTAGCACAGGGCAAATTAACACATGGCAAAACAGCTTCCTATTTTTTCACTGCCAGCTAATCTGAAAATGCTGACATTTGGGAAACCTTGCACACATATGCCAGCCAGCAGACAACTTTCCATGTTAGACTGGTAGCCAGTGCTATGAAAAATGAAAAATAATATATATGGCTCTGTGTGTGTGTAAGGCACAGTGCAAAGGTGGTACATGGATGGCAATCAGCTTTTTAACCCAGTCTTCTTTCTCCTCACAACTATCTACGTGTGCTAAATCCTTGAGCACTAGAGTTGCCTAAAACCCAGGTTCTGTGGCATTTTCCCCTGCCCTGATGTGTCTTTTGTATCTTTCCCTCTTGTCTGGGCCCAGGCAGCTCTGTCTCCACATACATGGTTCTGCCCACCTGACCTCTTACTCATAATTCCCCACTCGTGTGACAAATGACCCTCTTCCCTCACTGACAGGCAGGAAGTGAAGTCTAATATGCAACACGGACAGGAAGCACTTCCTTAACCAATCGAGCAGAAAAAGTGTTACTATGATATCCAGACATTCGCTTCAGTTCAGCTTACAAAAGTCATAAAGTCAAAAATGAAAGATTCCATTCAAGTTTAATTTTTAAGTCATTTACTAATGAATGAACTACAAGTCAATTTACTGTTCGTTCTGTCATCTGTCTGGCACGTCAAGGAGTTCAAGCAGTAAAGGGTTAGAACACACACACACTCAGCAGGCTCACCTCCATCAGCAGAGGCCTCTGTCCGATGGCCGCCATGCCCTGGAGGGCATTCACTTCAGCTACAAGAACCCTGTGAAGAAGCTACGTAAGTGGGTAAAGAGAGAAAAATAAGACCATTTCAGACACAGAGAGAACAATACCCCTAGCCATTTGTATAAACTGCCCTAGAGGGAAAAGTTTCAGGTACCTTTCTATAAAATCTAACCGTGGCACTGTCCTGTTCCTAGTAAAAAACATCAGGTGCCCCTCAGTGCAAGGGGGGTGCCCAGGAGCCTCTGTGGCAGGTAAGTCAGTGCAAATGCCCTGGTTATCTTCTCCCTGCTAGCAAGGCTATTACCACTTACCGGGCAGAACGGCAAACGGTTAAAACCACTCCCCAGTCACAGCTGGGCGGCATGACTACTCAGAGAAAGGGGATGAGGAACCTTTTAAACAGGCAAAGTTAGGGTGGTCTACTCAGTCTGATTTCCCAGCTGTTGGAAAACTGGAAACCACAGTCCAATAAACCAGTACCTCTACCGAGAAACCATCACGACCTCTATCAACCAGTACCTCTATCAGAATATAATCAGTATATTGTATATATATTTAATTTAATTTAATTTAAATTGTCGTTCAAGTACAGTTTTCTGTCTTTTACTCCCATCCCAGCCCACCCCCCAGCCCGCCCCCGAGAATATAATCAGCATGTTATATTTCTGTCTGATGAAGCAGGATGAACTATTGGGTACTGCCACACCGGAACCCCTTCCTCACCTTGACGTTGCAGACCGTCTGTCCCCGCAGGTTCTTATGCTCACAGTTCGCTATAACTTGTTCAATCTGGACCCGATCAAAGAAGTCCAACTGCAAAGGCTCGGGGATCTCCTGACTGAAGTCAATCGAGTCGAGAATACTTAAAATTTTCCGACGTACTGGAAATAATAAAAGGTAGTTCAATTTTATACTCAGGACATTGAGAAGAGCAAGCCACTGTGTGCCAATCAAAGATAGTGAGTACTATGTTCAAAGAGGGCATTAGTCTAGAAAATAAAATAAATTTTATATCTAATATATCCATTTGCAAAAATATTTTTTTCCTATCATCCTAGTTACAACATTGTTTTTTGGATGACAAATAATCTTTTATGTGGCTTTTCTATACCAGTTACGAAATTGAAGATGCGGGCATGATAGTTATCTCTTGAAATCCTATTAATCGTGCATTCCGAGGGCTTTACCTTTGGTAGCAGTGTCAAAGTGAAGGAACCCAGAGACAGACCGGTTTTCATCTTCTACTCCTCCTTCGCCATCTGTTGGAGCATCCGTAATCACAGATCAGAAAAAGAATAACATACTTGTAAAATTTATTTGAAACTAACAAACATAAAGTGTTCTCTTTCTAGGTCACTGTTTCTAGGTCAAAGAGCCCTCTGCAAACAGGTAATTAAAATGCAAAGATGATGAGGTCTTACCAACCACATTCCTCTAATTCTTTCTGTCCCTGTGGGAACCACTTGACAATTGTAAAGAGGATAATCAGAACTCCAAAAGAGGCAGGACCCAATCATGTCCCAGAGATGATTAGAAGGGCTTGTGCTTAATTTGCATATATAATACACAGTGAAATATCTTAGGTCACGCTGGCTCTTTGAGACAAACTCTTCTGAAATCTGTGTATATATTAGCTGGCCTGAAGGTTGTGGGTTAAGCTGAAATCTGTGTAACTGACTAGAGCAAAATGTGGATGCTTCAAACAAAATTAAATGACAATTATGGGATAACTCTGCAATTTCGTGCTTTAAGGAAAAAATCCTAAAGGCAGAAAGAACTTGTTTGGCCCACACTCACAAGCTTGGCGCAGGAGCCAGACCTGTGCCTGCACCCACCCAGGCCAGGCAGGGGGCCGCAATGCCCGCAGGCGCCTGCTCACCTGAGTACGGCTTCACGGGCATGTCGTCCAGCAGGAGGTGCAGGAGCCTCTGGGTGTGCGACCGCTGGCGATTCAGAGAAGTCACCCTTAGCTCTATTGAGGCAGTCTTCATCAGCCACGACATTTGGTTCAAAATAGATATTTCGTATTCTGGAAGTCAAATCCGTAAGTTTAGTTTCCCAGAAAAACAACACGAGATCAGAATAGGCCTAAATTCCATAACTCATCAAATATTTTGTCACAAAACTTAGTCAATAATTTATGAAACTTGGCAACATGAAAATTTACGTTACTCAGTGAAATGAAAAAAGAAAAAAACATGCCAATGGAGGAAAAAATAAGGTAGTGTATTCTATAAAAAATTAGCAAAAGCAAATGAAGAACAAGATCAAGTTTCCATTAGCAGCATAGTGTCACACAGAGCTACAGAATTCTGAGTCCCTCACATTCTGACATTAATACAGAAGGTAATACTTAAACAAATTCTCAAATATATAAAAATATTTTAAAATTAAAAACAATCATAGCTTCATTTTTATTTCATAAAACACACACACTTTAAAAACTTACAATTAACTTAAATTGTGTAACTTTCTGACATCCCTCAAGACAGCCCAGGACATCTGGTGGAACATCTCACCAGGGGCGGGCCTTCCCCTGCAGCAGCCCCTGGGGAGGGGCAGCCGGGCGCTGCGCTCACCCACGGCCCCGGCCTCCGCAAGGGCCGCAGGTGACCAAGAGCGGGAGCAAGCCGGGGCGCAGCTGCCAGGGGCACCTCACCACACACACCAAGTTCGTGTGGGACACGGCCGAGAGGCGTACGGTTGAGCCCCGCATGAGCAGAGTGCCGTGGAGCAGCTCGGGGTCTCCAAGGACAGGCGGGCCCTCGAGTTCATCAAGAAAAGTGTGGGGGGCGGGGGGCGGGGAGGTGGACACACATCCACACCAGGAGGAAGAGAGGGGAGCTGAGCCCGTCCTGGTGGCCATGAGAAAAGCAGCTGCCAAGCAGGACTGAGCCCCGTCCCTCTCTGCGAGTGTCAAAACAACAACAACAAAAACCCACATAATTAGGGTTGGGAATCACTTACATAAGTTTTTGAACCCAATATTATTTTAATATGCCCATCTTTGAAGTCCTACCTTGTGACAGTATAAACAAAACACACCAAATACTACTACTGCTGCTACTACTGCTACTACTTATAATAATAATAGTGGGCAAAGCTGGACCAATTTTTTAAAAATTGATACCATAATATACTATAATAGGCAAGCCTGTTTTTCCAATTAGGCATAAAAGAGGGTTTTTAAAAACTTTCTTTTTAATTTTTAAAAGATTTTTAAAAATTTATTTATTTTTAGAGAAGGGGAGCGAGAAAGAGGGAGAGAAACATTAATGAATGGTTGCCTCTTGTGCGCCCTACACTGAGGACCTGGCCCACAACCCAGGCACGTGCCCTGACTGGGAACTGAACCGGCAACCCTTTGGTTCAGAGGCCCATGCTCAATCCACTGAGCTACACCAACCAGGGCAAAAAAATTTCTTATATAAACAAAATCTTAGGACTAAAAATATGATACACTTATGAAAATGAAGTGAAAAATTTTTTGCCAATGGATAACTCCCAAGGGTTTCTCACACATTAATCTACTGATAATCACTAGTTATAAAAATTTGTTGTGACCTTTTGGCTCTCGGAGCAACACCATGGCAGTGGGCAAGAACAAGCGCCTGACGAAAGGTGGCAAAAAGGGAGCAAAGAAGAAAGTGGTTGATCCATTTTCTAAGAAAGATTGGTCTGATGTGAGAGCACCAGCTATGTTCAACATCAGGAATAGTGGAAAAACACTAGTCACGAGATATCAAGGAACCAGAGTCGCATCGGATGGGCTGAAGGGCCGTGTATTTGAAGTGAGCCTAGCTGATCTGCAGAATGATGAAGCTGCACTTAGAAAATTCAACTAATTACTGAGGATGTTCAGGGCAAAAACTGCCTGAATTTCCATGGCATGGATCTTATCTGTGATGAAATGTGCTCCGTGGTCAAAAAATGGCAGACCATAATTGATGCTCATGTTGATGTCAAGACTACCGATGGGTATTTCCTTCATTTATTCTGTGCTGGTTTTACTAAAAAACGCAACAATCAGATTCAGAAGACCTCTTGTGCTCAGCATCAGCAGGTCCGCCAAATCTGGAAGATGATGGAATCATGACCCGGGAGGTGCCGACAAATGACCTGAAAGAAGTGGTCAATAAGCTGATCCCAGATCACACTGGGAAAGACACAGAAAAGGCTCGCCAATCTATTTATCTGCCTCATTAGCTCCTCGTTGGAAGAGTCAAAATGCTGACGAAGCCCACGTTGGAACTGGGAAAACTCCTGGAGCTTCGTGGTGGGGGCAGCAGTTCTGGAAAAGCTCCTGGGGGTGAGGCAGGCCCTGAAGTCAAACGAGCTGATGGAGACGAGCCCCCAGTCCACGAGTCTGTTTAAATTCAGACACTTAATGGTGACAAATAAAAAGGCCTATTTGTGATTTAAAAAAAAATTCTTGTGAAATCATTGAGCCTGGATTTCCTAAAACATAAAGATGATGTGAAATAGATTTTAAAAAACTCAACAGATCCCCACTGTCTGGATATAACATGAATTCAAAAAAACTGTTAAAAGCTGATCAAAATGAAAATTATGTAATGTAGAACCCTACAAAGCATGGGTAGCCTGGGATCATTGTGTTGGTCAGGTCAATAAACTAAGTTATAAGTAGTTTCCACCATAATTAGTTTTCTATTTTTCACTTCAAGACCTAATATAGTTTTAAAATATATACAAAAAGTAACATAAAACAGAGATTTTTATAAAATTATTTTACTCAAAAAAAAAATCTGAATTTCCAGAATTTTCTTATCCTTCAACACAATTTAAAAATTTTGCTAAGAAAGCGATCAGATTCCATCTCTGACAGACTGTTTCAAAATCATCTTGTGCTGGCAGCTAAAACATCGGTCTTCTCTAGCACAAATCACAAAAGCAACCCAAAGTGGCAAGCTAGTAACAAAAAGAGAACAGAATTCCACAACCATAACCACAACCCACAAATGTTACGTGTGTAAACCCACTCAACATGGACTTAACTAATTTGTTTTAAGGAAAAATAATGTCCTACCTTTGTTAGAAAAAGGTAAATGTTGCAACTGAGAAAATAGGAAGTCCTGGCTGGTTCTCAAGTACCGCAGAGTAGGGCCGGACGTGTCGGAGCAGGCGCATAACTGATAGATCACCTTCAAGTTCAAACGAGAGAGCCCCCAAGTCAATGTTGTTCTTACACATCTTAAGACAGCTAAAGCTGCTAAGCAGAAACTAAACCCATCAACAACACAAGCATAAAACCTAGAAGCTGGGCATTATAAACAGTCCTTAGCACCTTAAGTCAAGAAGATATGTCAAAATATAAGAGTGATGAAGACATTACTCTAGGACTAACTGTGAAATCACCCTAAATATATTTATTAACATATACACATACAGTTAATTAACAAGTTTTAATATTTTAACTATTAGTACCAAATTACTTAGAAGTAACTTCTGCAAACCATAGTTTCTTTAATCCCAACCTCAGGAAGATAGATTTACTAGAATTGAAGGAACTGAAGAATTACAAAACTCTACAGATTCAACTAAGTTACAAATATAAACTCTAAATAAAAATTTAACAAAAATAATAGAAGTAGAAATAAATGCTTTTATATCAAATATAAGAAAATGTGAACAGCTATAATATAAATATCCCATTAGATATATGAATATCATCAAGAGATAAAAATAGATGAAATGACAAAACACATTTTACATGAGAAAAAATAAAAATAGCCAGTAATAAAAAAAAAATGTTCATCCAAAGACTTCTGGCTAAGATGGAGACGCAGGTAGACACACTGTGCCTCCTCACACAACCAAGATAGGGACAACAACAATTTAGAAACAGAATAACAACCAGAACTGACAGAAAATTGAACTATATGGAAGTCCGACAACCAAGGAGTTAAAATAGACATGTTCATCCAGACCAGTAGGAAGGGCAGAGTCAGGCAGCCAGGCAGAGAGGGGTTGCGGCACAAAGAGCAGTGGGACTGGGCTCATAACGTATCCTAGGTGCACAAGACCACAGCGGGCGGACCCTGGTCATGCAGGTGGCAACCAGCAGACCCAGCAAGGCAGCAATTGTGAAGCAAGGCACTAGCTGCAATCCAGGGTCCCAGCACTGGGAAATAGAGCCTAGGGGCACTGATTGAAAATACCTGTGGGGGCTGAGGTGCAGGGAGACACCCAGACTCACAGGACAGTGCATTGGAGAGACCCACAGGGTCCTGGAATGTACAAATGCCTACCCACAGAGGAATCAGCACCAGAAAGGCCCAGTTTGCTTGGGGGAAGTGGGAGAAGTGACTGAAATCTGGCAGAGAGCAGAGCAAGTGCCACTGTTCCCTTTCGGACCCCGCCCCCACATACAGCACCACAACACAGTGACTAGGTTGCCCCACCCTGGTGAACACCTGAGGCTCCACCCCTCATACCTAACAGTTGGGGTCGGGACAAATAAAATGGCCCAAATGGAAAAACAGATCAAAGCTCCACAGCAAATACAATTAAACAACCAAGAGATAGCCAACCTACCAGATGCACAGTTCAAAGCACTAGTGATCAGGATGCTCACAGAATTGCTTGAATTTGGTCACAAATTAGATGAAAAAAAAAAAAAAAGAAGGCTATGCTAAGTGAAATGAAGGAAAATGCACAGGGAACCAATAGTGATGGGAAGAAAACTGGGACTCAAATCAATGGAGTGGACTAGAAGGAAGAAAGAAAAAACTAAACAGAAAGAATGAAGAAAGAAGAATTCAAAAAAATGAGGAGAGACTTAGGAACCTCCAGGACATCTTTAAACATTCCAACATCCGAATTATAGGGGTACCAGAAGGGGAAGAGGAAGAGCAACAAGTGGAAAAGTCATCTGAATAAATAATAAAGGAGAGCTTCCCCAATCTGGCAAAGGAAACAGACTTCCAGGAAGTGCAGGAAGCTCAGAGAGTCCCAAAGAAGTTGGAACCAAGGAGGAACACACCAAGGCACATCATCATTACATTAGCCAACGTAAAAATGAAGGAGACAATCCTAGAAGCAGCAAGAGATAAGGAGACAGTAACCTACAAAGGAGTTCCCATCAGACTGTCAGCTGATTTTTCAAAACAGACCTTACAGACAAGAAGGGGCTGGAAAAAAGTATTTGAAGTCATGAAAGCCAAGGACCTACATCCAAGATTGCTCTATCCAGCAAAGCTATCATTTAGAATGGAAGGGCAGATAAAGTGCTTCTCAGATAAGGTCAAGTTAAAGTTCATCATCACCAAACCCTTATTATATGAAATGTTAAAGGGATTTATCTAAGAAAAAGAAGATAAAAAACATGTATAGTAAAATGACAGCAAACTCACAATTATTAACAACCACATCTAAAACAAAACCAAAAGAAATTAAGCAAACAACTAGAACAGGAACAAAACCACAGAAATGGAGATCACATGGAGGGCTGGCAACAGAGGAGTGAGAGGAGGAGAGAGGGGGAAAATGTACAGAGAATAAATAGCATAGACAATAGGTAGAAAATAGACAGGGGGAGGCAAGAACAGTATGGGAAATGTAGAAGCTAAAGAACTTATGACCCATGGACATGAACTAAGGGGGGGGAATGTGGGTGGGAGAGGGTGTGCAGGGTGGAGGGGAGTGAAGGGGGGAAAATGGGACAACTCTAATAGCATAATCAATAAAATATATTAAAAAAAGAAAACTGCTCACCCTTTGCAATAATTTTTAAAATATAAAGGCAGTAAGACAGGCCTCCAATGTAAATCAGCAAAATGTTTAAATGTGAAAAATAAATCCCAGTATTTGGCAAAATGGTAGTCAAAATTTTCATTCATGAGTAATTCATTTTATAAATGTTTATTAAACTCTTTTCATGTACCAAGCACCATTTCACACCCACTATAATTGTTACAGTGACTTCCGAATCAAAATCTCAACTCATAAAGCTATTGGCATCCTCTGACCCACACAGCCTATCCTCACTATTGGCAGACTCGGTACTTACAAATTCAGCTACGTGCTAAAATGTACTTGTAACTCCAAAATCAAAACTTGCATGGTTTTGCAGTCATTCACGGAAAGGCACCAAGCGGTACAAAACTGGAGTGGCCCAGTTCGACGCGCTCCGGCGAGACTGAGCGGGCAGGGCTCTGCTGTCCCGCTTCAGTTCTCACGCCGCGAACAAGTGTCCTTCTCCCTGTGCATCAGTGCTCCGTTTTGTGCGTGTTCTTAGTGATGTTACTGGCTGACACGGTCCCTAAGCCTAGTGCTGGGATGCTGGGTGGTGTTTCCGAGGGCGAGAAGGCTGGGATGTGCCTTACGGAGAAAGCACGGGTGTTGGGCAAGCTTCCTTCACGCATGAGCTGTAGTGCCGCTGGCCATGAGTTCAATGGTAGTTAATTAATTATATATGCAAAGGTTAATTAATTAATAATAAAAATATTAAGTAACATATAAAATAGTGTCTATAAACAGAAACACACATAAAACGAAGTTATGTATTCATTAACTAATGAAAATGTTGAGAGCAGAGGCTGGCAGGACTCTGATCCTATGTCTTTCCTAGGAGCAATGGTTCAATATTCGTTCAATTCAGCATTTACTGTAAATATATAAAATAAATTAACAACCGAATGCAAAAGCAGAGGAAAAAAAACAAGAAACAACCAAAATATAATTTACATTGAAGTTGCACAGAGAGTTTATACACTGAGCGGGAAACCGCCCCCAAAACTGTGTGTCTACTGAGATTAACCAAACAAACAATATGTGCACACAAGGTAAAATGTAAGGTGTCACAAAGTGAAACTTCAACAGTTCTTCTGCAGCTGTATTCTTATCTCTCAAACAACCCTGACACTGATTTAATGCTTTGTAGACAAACAAAAATCTGGTTAATTTGAACTTCTCAAAACAAAACAAAAATGAGTCATTTGTACTAGATGCCCAGTGAAGAAGAAACAAGCACAGATCCTCGAAGACGTGGCAAGAACTGTCACAGGGAGGACACAAAACATGCACTCCCGCGGCACCGCAGACATTCTGCAAGCATGCGCCCAGCATCCCTCCTACTTTCCAGACAAGGGAGGAAAAGTCTCCATCTTAAACAGCAGCACAACCACCTGCTCTTCACCGAGAGCCTCTCTCAGGCTTCAGCTGCTGGCAGCCAGGAGGTCTCCAAACCCGATTCCAAACACATCTACAAATCGAACTGTCATGCCCATCCCCCCGGGCTGAGCCCTCCAACTCCAGCAACCCCCAGTCTTCTTTGAAGTGCACATGGGAGGCAAGCGAGTTGGTCAAATTGTCTTAGAACTGTTGGTCGATATTGTACCCAGAACTGCAGAAAATTTGTGTGCATTGTGTACAGGAGAAAAAGGCATTGGCCTAACTACTGGAAAATCTCTCCATGCAAAGGATGCCTGTTCCATAGAATTATTAAGAAATTTAAGATTCTGGGTAGAAACCTCTCGAATCAGAATGGGGCAGGTGGAGAAGTATTTACGGTGATAGGTTGGAGGTGAGAATTCCTATCACAAGCACAACCAGGAGGGTTTATTGAGTACGGCAGGCACAGGCTGCAGGACCCACAGCTCTCCGTTCTTTACCACAGCAGTTCCGACTCCTCATTCAGACGGGAAACCAGGCATTCGACCAAGTAATTAAAGGAATGGGTGTGGCGAGGCTTCTGGAAAATGTGTAAGGGAAAAGTGGAAAGCCTGCTAAATTGTGCATCATCGCAGAAGGTGGAGAACTGAAGGGGACGATTGAGGAATATTCCCAAAAGATGGTTCTGAAGGCGGTCGTCCAGATTTCCCCCAGGATGGCGATATGGATTTAAAAGATGTGGATAAAATGTTACTAATAACAAAAGACTTTAAAAAAAAAAAACATTGGAAATACTCTTCAATCCCAGAACTGGGAGATGGCCATTAAAAAACACACAGAAGTTTTAAGTGTGTGGAAGGTTCGAAGGATGTTACTGAGAAAGCAGATGGCTCTGAGAAGCAACCTGTATCTTTAGGTTGCACGCTAAATATTGGTGCTTGTAAACTGAAGATGTCAAACTGTTACTGACTAACAGTTAGTTATCTGGAGGCTCTTGAAACAGACCCACCAAATACCGAAGCACCGTACCACGGAGCAAGGACGGCAGGGGCTGAACGAATGCAGCAAGCGCTGGCTGATCTTAGGAAAGCCCAGCAGACAGCACCAGAAGAGAGCTATCCAGGCAGAACTGCTGAACCTCAAACACAAGACAAAGGCCCAAAAAGATACAGACGGGAGCACATACAAAAATGTTTGCTTAATAAGGAATTCAGCTTTGCTTAAATATGACACCTTGATGATATAAAGGCAATAAAAAATGTTAAGAGATGTTGTCTATTATATTATATATGGTCCCTAATTGCCTTCCTTGACACTTCAATTCCCTATTGTTTACAGTTCAGGAATACTGATATGAGTTTACTGTTAATAAAAATATTACAAAGTAAAAGAGAGAGAGAGAGAGAGAGAGAGAGAGAGGGAGGGAGAAAAGACGTAAGGCTCAGTCTCGACTTCTCACTTCTTGTACTGTTGGATGATGAAGGTCATCAATAAGGCCCAAGTTATTTCACTTTGCTACAATCAGATTTATTTAAACAAACAAGCTCTTTTTAGAGGTTTGAATTTTTCTCTGAAGCATAAACCTACAGGCAAAGAAAGCATCTTTCGTTAACAATGGAATGGTGCTTGTTAACATGCAGATTCTGACTCAGCAGGTCTGGAGTGGGGCCTGGGCTTCTGCATTAACAAGCCCCCAGCTGGTGATGCTGATGTTGGACCATGTTTTTAGTAGCGAAATTACAGGCTGCTGGTATAGACATGTTTTGGCCAGTACAGTGTTTTAAAATCAGAGGGTCTGGCAAACCAGGACCTGCGTTCCAACATCATAAAAATTAGCGGGCTGAGAGCAGGCCAAGTATTCTCCAGTTTATCAAATTCTCCTCTCCCTCCCTCTTCCCACCTTTATGTCTTAAATCCACCTTCGGTCTCTTACTTCACCTGCCTAAGCCCCTTATTAGCTTAGATGATTAAGCTTCCCCACGTGTGTCAAATTCTACAACAGTGTGCAAAATAAATTTACATCAAGTTTGTCCCCCCATTAAGGAAGAGTTCATTTTGAATCAAACAAAGTTAACACCTAGCTAAAGTACTTACAGTAAAGACTATTTGGACAGCCAGAGGACAGAAGAAAAAATCAGAGGGTCTGGCAAACTGGGACCTGCATTCCGACATCATTAACTTCTACTTACAGGTATTTTTGTTATTTTTCTGCTTTCTGACAAAAAGAAAAGCAGCAAAATAACAAAAATACCTGTCGGCAGAAATTAATGATGTATTTCTTACCACGAAAATGTGAATCAGGGTGCCATGTAAATTGAGAAACTAGTTGCATCTTACAAAGCCTAGTTCTTAAAATATTTGTGAAATGGATAAAATAAAAAATCAACACAAGTATAAAACACAAGTAAAACAAAAGCTCTCATTATAGTTTAAACTTTACACTAATTTGATTTTCTACCACCTTACATATAGCTATAGGGCTGCATAATTTACACGGTTCTTAAAGAGAAAGAACATGGTTCTTTCACTCACATTCTTACATTCGTATTAAGTCCAACAACACCCGTTTCAGAGCGCAGAGAAGCTTCACGGCATGCCCAAGGTGCCTCAGCCAGCAAGGGGCAGAGAAGGGGCAGAAGTCTGCCGACCCAAACCCACCGCCCTCTTCCCCACAAAGAAGCAACTTGCAACACAGCATCCTGGGACAGTTTCTACACCACCTGGTCAAAATCCATCTCAAAAAGCCAGTTTCCCTCATTTTTCAAGTGATCAACAGAGAGGATCTACAGATCTCTAGGATCGTGGAGTTTGTGTGTTATGACTTCTACCCATCAATGAAAGACGGGTCCCACTGTTACACTCTCACTTCCGTGCGGCATCCAAGCCTCCAGTTCAGTTTCTTCCATTGAATGCTGCCGCGTGCGGCCTGCTGCATACCTGGTAACACAGCTCAGCGAGTTGAGGAGACTCTCTCACGGCCACCGGGCCCGTCCTCCCTTCGGTCCCCTTCTCCAGGATGTTCAGGATGGCGTGAAGGCACGTCCGAGGGCAACCTAACACTCCTACGTGAGACCAGAGGGAAGTTCAACTTTCTTTTGAAGTGCCTGCACTGAAAATCTGAAAATACCTTTACAGAAGTTAAATTCCTTCAGCATCTGCTCTGCTGTACTCAGCCTTACAAATATTGATACAAAAAGTTGATAAATACTAATTGTCTCAGGCTCATTTGTCCATCCAGACTGTCAGTCCCAAAGACTGACCATCGCACTACGTTATTTACTTCTTTCAGTGAATTACCCCAGGAGCCCAGCATCCAATAAGCGACCGTTCAGCTACAGAAGTATGGAAAGAAAGAAATGTGTATGTGTCTCACGGCGATACCTGGGTCTTGCAGGTTTGTGGTGCTGACGGGCTTCTTCAGTTCGAAGCCCAGCAGGTAGAGAGCGAGGCTGGGTGGGTTGCGCTCCAGAGAGGTGATGAGAAGGTTCAGGATGTGGATTCTTGTTTCGTGACGGATTCCAGCTAGCTTCTTTTCAAGTTCTGAGCCTTAATGTGAAAACCACAAAACAAGAACAACATAAGTCAAATTTAAAAATACAAAACTTATTCCAAACCTCTATATTTCTGTTGGTTTCAGTTTACCTGGTCAGCTATCACAATGAGTTCAGATTTATTAAGAGGTTTCCCAAAGCCTTACACATTCAGGCTAGCAAATTCTCTAAGTTCTCGTACACCAGTCACCACTAGACAGGCAACAGTTTCCTGAATATTAAGTATTTATGTAAAGTCAAAAAAATACATGTTAACCTAAGACTTACCCTCTTCTAGACGTATAAATTCTTCTGTATCTTCACTATCCAAACACTCCACAAATCCAGCCATCAGCTTCTGACTTATACTCTAAAATCATACAAAGATAAAAAATAAATTATAAAAAGTCTGTAAATATTAGAGGAGCTATAGTAAATATGACATATAAACATTTGCCTACAAAGAAAGAAAGGCAAATCTACACCAAGTAAAACATTTAGGTTTCAGTTATATTTTAATAGAACACGCAGTTCCTCAAATTGCCATGTTAGCTCTCTACAAAAATAATTAAAGAAATAAAATTTTTGTTTATTGGTTTCAAAACTTGCTTCCCTATTTGTCTTTCCCAAAGAATGAAACTAAGTTTGTTTTTTAAAGTATCATTAAATTGCTATTTTATGACTCTTCATTATATACTAAATACTATGGAATCTTAACTAAAATATAAAATTCTCATCTTCTATCTAAAATTCTCATCCTTAGAAATGTACTACTTATCACTAGTTTTATATTTCCGGGCTGAGAGATGAGATACTGCTCAATCTCCTTATGAACTTAGCAGGGTGTTAAAATCGGTAATAATTCACACTCAAATGAATGCCAGTGAACTGAAAAGCTTCATCTTCACCATCCCGATTATCACTCAGTGTTCGTGAACTTCACCCAAAAACCCGATTAGCTATCTGTATTTTACTACAAATAGTGGTTCTCAGCCTGGAGGGTACTACCGCTCCAGAAGGCACTTAGAATGAGTGAGGGCATTCTGAGTTGTCACAGCTGTAAGTTACTACTGACACATGGTGGCAGGGTACCAGGGATGCTACGAGTCCAGCAATGTGATGGATAGCTGTAACACAAAAAAGACCTGTCCCACCCAAAATGCCCCCGTTTCAGAATACTAGCTAACACAGTGATCCAACATAAAGATACAATGGCAGAAATGTACATGAAGAGAAAAAAATAGCAAGTTCCCAATTGCAGCTATTCAGCAAAGAGATGATAAATTACATTAACACAGAAATATCTAAAAACTCTCTATAGTGTAATACCAAATGAAGTGACACAAACGTGAGTTGTCAGAAAGCCACAGAAGTAGAAAATTCACAACAATGAGCTACATTCAGCACTGCAGAGGCTCACCGAGAACAGAGGAGGAGACAACAGATGCAGAAAACCAACGGAAGTTATGCTCACAACCTAATCACTTCAACGCGCCTGGAGTAGCAACTGTCTCATTGGACATTACAGTCACATACAATAGTACAGATAGTATCATCACTACTACAGTATATGTTGTATCACTGTGGTATTTGTTATTTTCTTCAAATATAAATCACAACCCCTTACACGACTAGGTTTTCACCCAACATACATAAATATATTTACTCTTGAAGAATTATTCCAAAAATAAGATTCTTCCATAGACATTGTGACTTCCATACGGACTCAGAATGCACCAAAAATTAACAACCACAAAATCAGTTACCTGGTCATGAGTGAAATCTCCAACCAATTTTATCTGAATATTGGTGTTGCAAGAGATACAGCAGAGGATCTTGGCACTTTCAAAAGCCAATTCTGGATTAGTATTGCCGTGATACAGGTACCTTTAAAACAGGAAAACATGTGAGGAATACTGTGATGAAACGTGGCTTCTCACTGTTCTCGATAAAGAACACTGAGAAGCGGGGCTTCTCCTACCCACACTGCACTTTTGGGTAAGTCAGACAACGCTTTCCCCTTCTAACTACGTGCAGCCCCTTATGGGTTGAATCGAGTACCTCTGAAATTCCTGTGTCGATGTGTGAACCCACAGGGACCTTGGAAACAAGGTCTGTGGCGAGGCAGTCAACCGAGTTAAGGTGAAGTCACTAGGGAGAGCCCTGCTCCAATGACTGGTGTCCTCAGAGAAAGGGGACATTTGGGCCCTGCCGCCCAGGGAGAAAGCCATGGAAAGCTGACAGCAGAGGTCAGGGGGAGGCGTCTACAGGCCCTGCGACACCAGACCCTGCCAGCGGCCACCGGAAGCTAGAACTCATCCAGTGAACAGTCTGCTCCAGGCCCTGTCCTGCACACCCCTAGTTTCCCCACTGGAGCCGCACGACACTAAGATTGTACCGTTTTATACCTGGACATGCTTAGGATATAAAATAATTAGGGAGAAGAGGGAGAAACTGTAAAGGAATTAAAATCATAGGAGCCAGAGAAAGCAAGAACAAAATGAGGCCAAAAAAAAAAAAAAGGTGATGCATTAGGCATCTGACCAGTCTTGGAAATCAAAGCTGGAACGCCCAGCTGACTCATGCCGTCCTCTCCACGTGCACCTGTGACTTACCTGGCGATATTCACCACATTATCGGCCTTCTTGGTTCTGGGATTGATTCCCTGCAAAAGCTGTTCTAGAGGAGAGACTATCAGAGCCAGCTGACTCTCCCTCAGAAGATCCATGAAGAGGTTTTCCTTCTGCAGGGTAAGATTGAGAAGTGCAAGGCAGTGCTGCACTGCTTTCTCCAGGTGTTTCTTCCCTAGCAACCAAAAATTGAAATCACGTGAATCTTAGAAACGCACAGTCAAGTCTTAGGAAAACAAGATAAAAGACAAGTTCTAGATTCAAAAAGCCCTCAAGTTCTCAAAGTTTTCGCCGCAACCTCACGAAACTGCTCACCCTTGCAAGTCATGGTGATTTTTGAGACTCAGATGACTTTTATGCAACGGCTTCCAGTCATTTTTCCTGTAATTTTCCCTAATTATTTAGAGCAGTGGTTCTCAGATGGGGCGGGGGAGAGTAGTCTGGCCCCAGAAGACACTGGCAATGTCTAGAAACCCATTTGGCTGTCACAACTGGCCAAGCGCTACAGCGTCTAGTGAGTAAAGGACTGCAATGCACAGGACAGCCCGCACAACAAAAATTATTCAGCCCAAAATATCAATGGTGCCAAGGCTGGAAAACTGTTGGAGTAATCCACGATTATTGTGGAAAATTTAGAAAATAAAAAAGCTAAAAATATCAACAAGGATCATTTATAATCCCATCATTCAAATTTAAAATTTGTGGGCTCTGAAGCCAAACTGCTGAGGTTCGAATCACAGCCCTGACACTTCCTGGGGAAAGATGTGAAACCTCTTTGTGCATTCATTTCCTTATTTGTTAACTGGACATGATAATATCTACCACAGGGCCTCCACACAGATTAAAGGCACTAATACATACTTTTCATTGTACAACTCCCTGAAAACCCTACTATAGATGCAGAGAGAGAATCTTACAAGTGAAAAAGAACTTCAGAGATAATCTGATTATTTCACACCCGCAGATAACAAAAGACGAAACTATCAAAGCTGTTCCCGAGACACAAAGACACGCAGGCACACACCAGGGAAAGGGGCATAGGTGTCAAGCTGCTTCACGCCTTCTTCCAGCAGACTCAGAGCAAGCTCCAGCATCGGTGACTCGTTCAGAAGGTGGTACATCAGGCTAAAGCCTGGTGGCTTATAGGCCATGATTTCTTCTCCTAAATAAAACATAACATAGTCCAAAAGACAGTGAATTCGTATTTTTCTTATACCTTTGACTCAGAAGAAATGTATGAGACTTATAAATTAAATGGCATCTAGACAGATATAGGCAAAGTTTTAATTTAGAGACAATACACAGACTATACGGTGGTAATCCCCCAAAAGGCTGATCTGCATACAGTGACCAGTCTCCTATGACACAGTCCTTACAGATACTAAAGAATCTGTAAGGCAACCTTCTTTGTCTTCCCGTAAGTAAATTTTACTTTATTTTGTCTCGCTAAGAACAAAAAGATTAAATCCTAGTTTAATTTATAGACAGAAATTATATATTACATATAATACATAATTTATAAATTATAAAGTTCCGTAAGTACCTGACACCTTGTTTGAAAGTGACCGAATTAATTACCTTGCAGCTCCACAAACTGGTCTACAAAATCTTCAAGCTGAGGCTCGTAATCTCTGAGCAATTTATAAAACACCTCCAAAACAACTTCAGCCACTTCCCACTACAGAAAGACACGAGTATTTCAGTAACAGCAACACAGTCCAAGGGGAGAGCCAGGCGAGGCTCTTCCTCCCCCCACCCCACTTTTCTCCAGAAACGAGTGAAGTCCATCTGCTTTATTAATTTATTCTAGGCAACACACAAATACCAATTCATTTTGCTTTATGTTGCTAAATGTTAATGAACTGGCAAATTTTTCAAGGTAGAACACTTGGAAAAGCCTTACTCTTAAAGCAGTGTTTCTGCAGCAGATATCTGAGCTTCATTAGCAAATCTCAAGCACTTAAGTGTCTATTCATAGTCCATTTATAATTAAGCATCAGATTTGGACAATTTTCCAAAGTGTTAAATAGTTCCAATTGCCTCTCAGAATCTCAGCTGAACAGGATCGGAGAAAACACCTCCTCCACCCACCCTTAGTTCCCGGGTGAGTCAGTGATGCTCATGGCATGAATGGTTTCCCCAGGACCATAGCGCTTGGCAGCAAACCTGCAGGAGGTCAAGCCCTGAACTTGAACTCCAGACCAGTGTTCTACCCTGTGCCTTGAGCCAAAGACATTAAAAAGACATAACCACTGGTAAGCTTGCCCCAAAAGAACCCATTATCATCTCTTTCTTAAAAATGTTTAAGAAACATTTATGTTAAGAAACATTTATGTTATGTTATGTTTATCTTAACATTTGTTAAGAAACAAATGTTAAGAAACATAGTTTAAAAACTATGTAACAAAAAGTATTTATGCCAAAAGAAAATCAAGTATCTACAACCGTACAGACGGTAAAATTAAAACTTGATTTTAAAAATTCATGGCATAGCCCTGGCTGGTGTAGCTCAGTGGATTGAGTGCGGGCTGCGAACCAAAGTGTCGCAGGTTCGATTCACAGTCAGGGCACATGCCCGGGTTGCAGGCCACAGCCCCCAGGAACCACATTGATGTTTCTCTCTCTCTATCTCCCTCCCTTCATTCTCTAAAAATAAATAAATAAATAAAATCTTAAAAAAAAATTCATGGCATAGAATTTTTAAAAGGCCGAGTCTGGTAATTGTATGCAGATTTTTTTAAGTTATTATTTTAAAATCACTATTTTCACTGCACATAATTTTATTAAGGCTGAGTTTGGGAACTGGGACTATTGTGTGATTTTTTTGTTTTTAAAGATTTTATTTATTTTTAGGAAGGGAGGAAGAAAGAGAGGGAGAGACATCCATGTGTGTGAGAAACATTGATTGGTTGCCTCCCTCATGCCCCCAACGAGGGATCTGGCCAGCAACCCAGGCACGTGCCCTGACCAGGGATCAAACCGGCAACGCTTTCAGTTTGCAGGTCAGTGTTCAGCCACTGAGCCACACCAGCCAGGGCTGATTTTTTTAATTATTATGTTTAAATTATTCACTTTTCCCTTTTTCAAAATTTCAAGATCAGTTATTTAAATAAAAAAGGCACATCACCATATAATAATAGGTTTTGGGACTGACAGGTACACACGCTGCCACTGACACTGCACACTGGCTACTCATCTCAATCCAGAGCAGTGTTCCCGGCTCTAAGTTACGTCTGAGGAAGACACTCAAGTGCAACAGTCACAGAACGGAGGGCAGATTCTTGGGGTAAATGTGTTGGGCGGGAACTGAAACGAAGGGCAGGGACAGCAGCAGCACAGAAACGGGGACCGGCTGGGCGAGAAGCGGGGACGCTGGGGAGGGCGTGGCTGGCTGACACTCTGACACGTAGGTCGCTAAGGACCCTTTTAAGAAAAGGCAAATCAGATATCCCAAACACACACAAAAAATGTCAGGACAGTTTATCTCTCATGCAATAACTTCCATGAGTGAGGCATGGCTGCTGTTCCTGTTTCACCCAACAAGGAAACACGTTACCCAGGGTAATTCGAGGGACTAAACAAAATGTGTGCCCCTCTCGGTGTTCACTTTTACTACACGAGAAGCAAAAATTATAAAGCAACTGACACAAAAATGAATGTCAGCTACTTGGGACTAATTTATAAACAAATATATTCAACGATAAGGCAATGAATAACTAAACTATGCTAGATACAAGTACTGAGTATGCAGTCATTAAAAAGACTGTTTTCAAATACTCCTCATTATGTTTAGTGGCCAAAAATGATACAAACTAATGTAAATAATTATTCCAATTTAAGTACATATGCACAGGATAAAGACTAGAAGTTATCTTTCCTTCAGCAACAAGATTATGAATGATATAATTCCTTGTATTTTTCTGTTTTTTCCAAATTGCCCAAATGAGCATAAACATATTCTTATAATCATTAATACAACAAATAAACCTAAAAGGTTCAGAACAGCAAACTATAAATATAAGGCAGAAATGTCCCTACAAGATACACCCTAGGGTACTCTGTGTGGCAATAAACAGTATTGTCAACTAAAGTGAGTTACACCAGACCTGGAAGGGTCTCTTACACAGTGGTTATGCCTGAGTCTGAAATCAGAGTCCTAGATTCAAATACTGGTCCTGGACTTTAGGCAAGTTCCTTACCCTTGCTAAATCTCCATCTGTAAAATGGGAATATTAATAGTACCTGCCTCACAGTGATACTGCAATTACGTAAGTATCGTAAGTGCAATTGTGAGTGTGTTGCAAGCAGAACAATCGTGCATCAATGTCAATGCTCCCTCAGCTTTTATCCATGGCAGACATACCGAAATGGATCACGATATGCTTTCCCACTAAACCAGACCCCACTACCCAGAAGCACCACTAATTGACAGAAATTGGTACAAATTTAAACTTATTTACATCCCTAACCTAAATTATCCCAACAAAGGACAGTGTGTTTCCAACTGAAAATATTCTTGATTCCATTTTGGGCAAAGTTTGTTCATTAAGGATCTGAATGACTATGAATTCATATCAATTAAGTTACTGATCACTAAAAGTCAGTGCTTTGGTTTTAATGCCCAAAATTATTTTTTAATGCAGATAAAATAATCAGACCATAGACATTTCAGTATTAAGACTGTGAAGCGTACTAACTTGTAAAAGCTAAAATGAATTTGCAGCATCTTATACCTTTAATAGAAAAAGCAACAATAAATGAGTAAGAAAAAAGGTTTTCTCTGAACATAACCTTTTCAGCTGGTCTCCGGTAAGCTCTTGTGCGGAATCGGAGAAACACAGAATCTCTAAGGAACTGCAAATACGGGTCAAAGCCAGGGGGCCGCAGTCCAGCACCCAAATTAGAAGGAAATGAGCTCTCCACCAGGGTACTAATAAGCTGGCAGAAGGCCCGTGTCAATGGGTATTCTTCACACCGGGATTCTATTTCATTTAGCTCAACCTTCCAAAGGAAAATAAAGAAAATTTGATCATATAAAAATATCAGCTATAAGGTTCAAAGCACTTTGCAGATAACTCATTAATATTTCTACAGTATCAAACCAAAAGACATGTAACAGGTTATTACCATAATTCATTTAGAGAAAAAAAATCACAAAAGTATTATATACTAGATCTTAGCCAAAAGGCCAAGCAGCGATACAAAGTATTACATGAATCTAGATCAATGAGGAATTTCAAATTTACACATACTGTTCCCAACTTTGAATTAAAAATAGAAATCCCAAATGTTCCTTTAAAAAAGAGAGAGGGAGTACAGGGAGAGAAGGAAAGAAACAGAGTCCCGCTTCAGCCTGACCCAAGTAAGGTCATTAAACAGAGTTCAGACGAAACCTCCAGCCTGGATGGCTGCCACGGGACATCCTTCTCCAGCTCTGAAACCCAGAGTACTTTGGTTCCTTTCATAAACAGTTTCAACACTAACCAGCAAGCCCTTCAAATGAAAATACATTAAATTTGAAAATTACAGGAACTTAATAGAGTAAGAATAATTCTTGGTCCTTCCATCTTGTGGGTGTATGAATACAGCATTCAAACTAAAAGGAAAACTTTACCTCTATACCGATAGCGTGCCTCTGGCTTGGAACCCTTACGGTCTGCAGTATCTTAAAAAAATAAAAATGAGATGTTAGGAGCAGTTCTCACTCATCAACGAAAAGTACTGACTTTGCGATGTAACAGTCACAGTCTTCCCCACCACACCCACAAATCTTACAACGGCAATCCGAACGGACAACTCAGGGGTCTCTGAGGACTTTCATTAGCAACTGTGTCAGGGCTGGGAGAACTGCCAATTACCTGGGCTTCAGAAAACCGGTCATTGTTAAGTGCACACAAGATGTGTTTTCAGCAAATTTCCTCTCATATGTTCTAGGACTGAATCTTAAAAGAATTTATGGGTTGAAATCTCATCGGTGTTCTAAACACTGGTCTGTTTTATAACCAGCCCCACTGTTGGTACCAGGAAACCCAGAAGTACATTCGTTAAGTACAGGTTTCTTATGTGGGCAGAAGTTCTGAGTTAAGATGTTCTGTCCCGACCTTGCTAGGACCATACAGTCAATTTACTGTTGTGTAACCTAACTGTCTTTGCAAGTTGAGAATATACTATTAAATGGGATTGTTTTTTTGTTGTTGTTTTTTTAAAAACAGTCTCGCTCTGAGGACAGAACTGTCTAAATCCAATCACAATGCATCTCAGGACTAAAGAGGCACCAAGCACTTAGGACGCTGGTACGTCCCGAGACACTCGTGAGTGAAAAAATGAAGCATCAATACTAAACCAAAGTGACCGGGCCTCTCAGCACATAACAGCTCCCTTAGTTCTTGTTTGCATGAAGTATCATTGACACTCTCAGGACACATATGCTAGAATGTAATTAGAATATTTTGCTGCTTCAAAACAGTTGCTTCTAGGAATAATGTCTTAGAATCACAGGCTCCCTTATGTTGTATTATTGCTAAGACAAAGGGTCCCCCAACCATTTTCCTATAAATACCTCTACATAGTACATTCTTATTTTCCTTTTCCTCTTACCACATAGAGAACAACTGTGCCTTGAAAGAAAAAGTCCAATAGGGCTTACCTCTAAAGAAAGAAAAGGTGGCAGATACTCTTGCGGCACAGGACAGGACGTGCACGGAAGGAAGCAGCGGAAAAGAAAAACGGGCACTCCCCACACTCAATGAGTGCAGGCGGCTTCTGAAGGGTTACACAGATCACCCTGGCCTCAAAGACCGAGCTGAGGAATTCTGTCCCTTCACCGATGTCTTCCACTGAAAAACTAGCTCTTCCGGGAAGAACCAGTCTCCGCTAACCCAGTGACACTGTCACTGCCCCCAGAGGAAAACCCAAACCTACTAGTTCCTAATGCTCAGGACCAAAAGGGTAACTTGTATTTGGGAAGTTCACGGTATATAAGTTTTAAATTAGGTGCTCTTTCTTGTATATTATCAAGACTCACTTTCCAAACTGTAGTAAGGTAAATAAAGGCGCCTGTAACACTACCTGAGTGTATTCCAACGACTGCCAGAGGAGAGCAGCGATTTCGGGCGATTTGCCAAAGGCAGCCAGTGTCCGCAGCAGTTCGGCCTTCAGCACCGGGGGAATGCTGCACTGCAGGAGCCCCAGGATCACCACCACGGGGGTCCACTGCGGGTGCTCGCAGAGGGCCAGGCGGGCGTTTTCACTCTGGGCATTGAGCACAAAGAGAACAAGAGACTTTCCATTTTCAAAGCTAAGAGAAATGGCCAGCAATCATCTACATTTCTAGCACTTACACTGAGTATTCATAGGCTTAATACATGCCACAATAAAGATAAGCGTGTGGCTTATGCTTGAAGTCTACCTTTGAAACAAATCAGACCACTAGCTCGGTTAATGTAAAGAACTGAGGAAAAACAGCCTTTGTAAAACTAGTTTCACAGCCCTAGCGTGGAAATGGTAAGTGCAGAAATAAATGGTCTGCCAGGGTCATATAAATCTTACGTAGACACTTTATATCCTTTCTGGGACAATGTATTGCATTGGCCGAAAAGTTCATTTATAATTTTTTTCCCATAAGATGGCTACAGTAGTGCTTAGTTGTCTTTTAACTTCGCTTGAAACAATTTTGTTAGATTGTATTGTGACAACTGTCATATCAGTGTGCATTAAAAAAATCAAATCAGTGAATTTTTGTGCAGCCAATTAATTTTAATATTGAAGATGGAAAAAGATATGCAACATTTTCAGCATATTACTCTTTATTATTTCAAGAAAGGTAAAAAACGCAACCGAAATGCAAAGATGCGGGCAGTGTGTGGAGAACATGCTGTGACTGAGCGAACGTGTCAGAAGCGGTTTGTGAAGTGTCTTGGTCCTGTTGACATTGTGGCCAAACAATTCTTTGCCGTGGGGCTGTCTTATGCATCGGAGGATGTTTAGCAGCACCCAGGCCTCTATCTACTAGAAGCAATAGCAGGAGATAACCGACATACTCAAATATCCAAATCAGTAAAGCTATTGGTAAAAATGAAAATGTGTCTTTCAGAGAAAAAAATGTTAACAGATTTTTTGGCCAACCCAATACCATAGTCTACTGTAATGTAACACATAAATAAATATGTACTTGTTCTTTACAGAGAAAAACTGGAGACATATATGGCAGCAAATATTCCATTTTAATCCAATAGGAAATAATTACTAATTTTGCTTTGATGTTTAATAATGTTAAGCATTATTGGAAAAAAGGACGGAAAGGACAGAACAGAAGACACTATTCCCATCCTCCAGTCAGAATGTCAGACGAAGCAACTTCTCTTTGCTCTGTTGGACAACAGAGGCAAGTAGCAGGGACTTCTGAGTGGAAAAATTATGTAATGAAAATAATGTCTTCTACAAAGACTAATTTGGTAGTCGCAGGTAAGATGGTTTGGTGTAAGTAGAGAAAAGAAGAGTAATTCAATAAATAACTTTTCAATTATAAACAGTCTTTATGTACACATACACACATCCACACTGACACAGGGAAACTTTATAGAAGGATGAGCACCCAACAACCGATTCTTACTTGCCCTCATAAATATTTTCTTGCAGGTTTATGTTGTCATTTTCTTATAAGTTTATGGCAATACACAGGACTACTAGAGACTTCCGGCCAAGATGGAAGCGAAGGTAGACACACTGTGCCTCCTTGCACAACCAAAAGGAGGACAATGACAATTTAAAAACAAAAACAACCAGAACTGGCAGAAAATTGAACTGCAGGAAAGTCAGACAACCAAGGAGCGAAAGAAGACACATTCATCCAAACCGGTAGGAGGGGCGGAGTCGGGCAGCTGAGCGGAGAGGACTCACAGCAAAGCGGAGGCTGGTGGGCACATGGCGGACCCAGCGAGGTGGAAATTGTGGAGGGGCGAGCAGCACAAGGTGGCTGTGGACCGGGCGGTCCCACAGTCTCACGCAGATAAACCAGGCAAAATAAAAGGGGAGCAGGACTGAGTGCACAACCCAGGGCCCCAGCTCGGGGAAATAAAGACTCAAAACACCGACTGAAAACACCTGTGGAGGTTGAGGAGCCAGCGAGAGAAACTCCCAGCCTCATAGGAGAGTTCACTGGAGAGACTCACAGGGTCCTAGAACGTACACAAGCCCAGCCACCGGGAATCAGCACCAGAAGGGTCCGGTTTGCTTAAGGGAAGTGACCGAAATCCAACAGTGAAGCAAGCGCCATTGTTCCCTCTCGGACCCCGCCCCCCCCATAGCGTCACAACCCAGTGACTGGGTTGCCCCGTTCTGGTGAACACCTAAGGCTCCACCCCTCAGTACGTAACAGGCACGACAAGACAAAAACAAAAACAAACACAACCAAACAAAAAAAGGGGCCCAAACGGAAGAACAGATCAAAGCTCCAGAAAAAACACAACTAAGTGACAAAGAGATAGTGAACCTATCAAAAGCAGAGTTCAAAACACTGGTAATCAGGATGCTTACAGAATTGGTTGAATTTGGTTGCAAACTAGATGAAAAACTGAAGGCTACGCTAAGTGAAATAAAGGAAAATGCACTGGGAACCAATAGTGATGGGAAGGAAACTGGGACTCAAATCAATGATGTGGACCAAAAGGAAGAAAGAACCAAACAGAAAAGAATGAAGACAGAAGAATTCAAAAAAATGAGGAGAGACTTAGGAACCTCCAGGACATCTTTAAACATTCCAACATCCGAATTATAGGGGTATTAGAAGGAGAAGAGGAAGAGCAACAAGTGGAAAAGTCATCTGAATAAATAATAAAGGAGAGCTTCCCCAATCTGGCAAAGGAAATAGACTTCCAGGAAGTCTAGGAAGCTCTCAGAGAGTCCCAAAGAAGTTGGAACCAAGGAGGAACACACCAAGGCACATCATCATTACATTAGCCAACGTAAAAATGAAGGAGAGAATCCTAGAAGCAACAAGAGATAAGGAGACAGTAACCTACAAAGGAATTCCCCATAAGACTGTCAGCTGATTTCTCAAAAGAGACCTTGCAGGCAAGAAAGAGCTGGAAAGCAGTATTCCAAGTCATGAAAGGCAAGGACCTACATCCAAGATTGCTCTATCCAGCAAAGCTATCATTTAGAATGGAAGGGCAGATAAAGTGCTTCTCAGATAAGGGCAAGTTAAAGGAGTTCATCATCACCAAGCCCTTATTTTATGAAATGTTAAAGGGATCTTTCTAAGAAGATAAAAAACATGTATAGTAAAATGACAGCAAACTCACAATTATTAACCACACCAAAAACGCAAACAACTAGAACAGGAACAGAACCACAGAAATGGAGATCACATGGAGGGTTAGCAACAGGGGAGTGGGAGAGGGAGAGTGGGGGAAAAGGTACAGAGAATAAGTAGCACAGATGGTAGGTAGAAAATAGACAGGGGGAGGGTAAGAATAGTATGGGAAATGTAGAAGCTAAAGAACTTATATGTATGACAACATGGACATGAACTAAAGGGGGGAACTGTGGGTGGGAGGGGGTGTGCAGGGTGGAGGGGAGTGAAGAGGGGAAAATGGGACAACTGTAATAGCATAATCAATAAAATATATTTAAAAAAGAAAAAAAACAGGACTGACTACTAGAACCGCACCTTCCAAAGGTGAAGAAACAAAGACCTTAAGGATAGAATCCTATAGGAAGCTTCCCATACAGACGGCAGGGTAGGTAAACACCGTGCTCACCTCCTCTGATGCCCATAATCAAAATTACATCCAAATACACCTGAAACCTATGGAATTTTATTAACCAATGTCACTCCAATAATGTCAATAAAAAGGAAAAACAAGAACAATGAAAAAAATTACAACTAAATTATAGAACAACCATCCTTGACAATGACCAGAAAACTAGCTAAACAGGACTCTTATAACTAAGGATATAAAGAAGCCACATCAAGACTGGGTTATGCAATGAAATAAAAAACAAAGCCAAACAAAACAACAATACATAATTCTCCATATGTGCCAAATATATCCCTAACAAACAATAATACGCAAAAATTTGGGGGCTCCGTACCGTGCCACTGTGCTAGAAAACAAAGTTACACTCTTACGTGCTGTGGATGGATCACCTACCCAAGTAATGATGGTGGACGTGAGCTGCAGAAAAGCGATCAGTCCGTCCTGCTCCTTCTGGGTGATGCCACGCAAAGGAAGGTGACGGTACTGGACGCTGTCTGCACTTGGGAGATCCTTCCGGAGGTGCTCATGGTAAAGCATTAAGGAGTGAAAAAAATGCTCCCAGGAAACAGGACTGCCCCCTGCTCCCTGAATATTTTCAACTGTAAGGAAAGATAGCACAACATTTTCTTTCAAAAATGTCTAAGTATTTGCTTGGAAACGGAGGAAGAATACAAATTTAAAACAGTAAGTTTTGCTTTGCCCTGGCCAAGTAGCTCAGTTGGTTAGAGCGTTGCCTCAGTACGCCAAGATTGCAGGTTCGATCTCCGGTCAGGGCACATACATGAAGCAATCAATGTTTCTCTCTCTCCCTCTAAAATCAATAAAGAAAATTTAAAAATTAAAGAAAAAAAAACACCTACAACCTTTGCCTTTGTCTGAGATAAGTAATGTGCTGAAAAGGGGCCAGAATCCACGTGTGAGCTAGAAGTCTGGATTAGTTTTCCTCAGGACTAAGAAGGGGCGCTGCCCATGTAAACGCCAAGGTGAGCCGCCTAGAGGTCAGTTCTCCACTCCACAACCGGAGCCCCTCCATGTTGTCATGTGTAACTGTATGGGGCCACTTCTCCCACCAAAGAATTCCCAAGGGTGGGGCTTAAGTTCCCGCAGAGAGACCTGACTACACTCTCAATTTGTAAACAAGGCTACTGGTTCCACACCAAGCAGCATGAGCAGAAGCACAGCACATAAGACCAGTGGCTTTGACAGAGCAGTCAGATGCTGTCTCCGCAGCCAGGCCGGTCTCCGTTCCAATCTCGGCTCCCCAGTTACTTGTGACTCTGGGTAAATGACTTCTCTCAACTTCAGTTTCCTCAATGTGAAAACAAAAGAAATAACATCTACCTAGGAAAGCAGATGTTTAATAAATATTTCCTTCTCTTCCCTTTTGCAATGTTTTTAGTTTAACCAGACTCAAGTCTGAAAGTTAAATGAGGACTTTGGGAGAGGGATGAAAGAAAAACCTTTAAGTACAGACATTCAGAAAAGAAGCACTTATGAAAATAAAGACATCGAAATTATGCCGCAGGGTGTGTATATGGCTCTGAGCACCAGATGCGCTCTTAAAAAATTTTAAGTATTAATTTTGATTTCACAAACTAAACTGTATTTTATAAAGCAAATGATAAAATCCCCTAATCTGTGAGACCATAATCAAGGCATCACTGCGCATACAGCCACCCTGTTCTTCTCTCCCCGTCACTATAAACATAACTTACACATCTGTAGAACTATCACAAATAACCAATAGTCTTCCAAAGACCAAGGGATACCGAACCCCAGGACGTCACAAGGAACCTACAGGACACCCGGGCTTTGCTCACCGTGACCGCTGCCATTGACCTTGAGCAGGCTGAAGCAGTAGTGGGCGCACTGGGGCCCGCTGGCCAGGCCCCGGAGCATCTTCAGGTAGGGAATATAGATGGTTGGAGGCAACAGGTCACCCATTTGCCTAACAAACTTTGACAAAACAACCTGAAATAGGTGGAAAGCATTGATTTACATAAAGCGTATCTTAAATTTAAGGCAACATGGACTAGCTAATAAACACTACATACTAACTAAAACTAATGAAGTACTCTGATTTAACCCCCAAAAGCCAAAATAATCTGGTATTCTACTTGGGAAAATTTGCTTTTTCAACCTTGTTATTAACAATTTAATGCAATTACAGAATATTTTTGTGAATATAAGATACACTTTTTTCCCAAACATCTCAACATCAGAGAACATAAGACTGGCCACATTTAAATATGCAAAACAATTGAAAAAACTTACCAGTGTAAAAGTAACCTGTAAATTCAAAGATAAACCTAGAAATCAAAGTTCCTAAATTCCAGTCAAATTCAGTATAAAGACCTTGTAACCTAAAAGAATTTTCAGTAGTGACCTGAACATATTTTGTCTGTGTTCCTACCAATACCATGTTCCTATACTCCTGGTTCTGTAAATCCACCTGTTAGTGTTTCCTTTTTTCTTGTTTATTCCTTAAATCTATGATCAACAGCTAAAAATATTATTCAGACATATTAGTTGCAACTCTAAGCTGAAATTACACAGGTCTCTGGAAATTATTATTAAATCTGTTAGGTATAATAACGATTTTGTAATTACGAAGAAAAATACTCTTTTTTTATGTAATTTTTAAAAAATATTATTTATTTATTTATTTTTAGAGAGGGAAGGGAGGGAGGGAGGGGGAGAGAGAGAGAGAGAGAGAAACATCAATGTGGGGTTGCTGGGGGTTATGGCCTGCAACCCAGGCATGTACCCTGACTGGGAATCAAACCTGCGACACTTTGGTTCGCAGCCCACGCTCAATCCACTGAGCTACACCAGCCAGGGCCGAAAAATACTCTTATTTTTAAGAGATAGATATTAACTTCACCAACAAGAAGGCACCACTATCTCATGCTGCCTATAATTTACTGTAAAATACTCCGACAAGATAAAAGTAGTAAAAATAACTGCAGTAGATGAAGCAAACATGGCAAGATTTAATAGCTATAAACTGAGATGTTGGATGTCGTTAAGAATTAATTTCTCTTCCATGGTTGAATATTTTCATAATGGAAAGTTCTTTTTTAAATCTTTAAAAACATTAATAAATCCGCCCTGGCCAGGTGGCTCGGTAGACTGGAGCATCATCTCATACACCAAAAGGCTGCAGGTTCGATCCTGGTCAGAGCACATACCTAGGTTGCAGGTTCAATCCCTGCTTGGGGGACGTACGGGAGGGCACCCATCGATGTTTCTCTCTTATATTGCTGTTTCTTTCTCTCCACCCCGCCCCTACCCCTTCCTCGCCCTCTCAAATCAATAAGCATATCTTTGGGTGAGGATAAAAAAAATTGAATAAATCATTTTATAAAACATTTTTTAAATGGGGCCAATAATGAAACAATAAATGTAACGTATACAGTAAAATAAATGGCATCTGATGGTAGGCTCCAGCACAAATGAAAATTAAACACATGGAAACTTCTAGAACAGGAAATCCCAAAGACAGATATGGCAAGCCATCTTATTTGCTACTTCATACTTTAGTTAATACAGGACAGAAAATGAGCTTTTTCCGCATTATCTACTGACTCATAGGCATTCTGTCATCATTATAACTTCTCAGCTTTCTCCTTCAGTACTTGCGCCTCTCCTATGTTCTCCAGCCTGTTAAGAATGAGGCACACTGGTTGTTGTCGTGCCTGCGGAAGACAAGCTCGCACTAATGAAACTCCAACAAGTTACACATGAAGAGACCAGACACCCTTCTGTCTCTCACGATCTGACACATACCTAGTACTTTATAAAGCCTGGCTACATGAACTCCAAAATAATCAGAACTCAACTGTAAGAGTTTCAAATCTCCTTAAATAAAAGGAAAAAGTGTAAGCTTCTAAAAGTTACACTACTGGCCATTTGTGTTAACAAGCAATAAATCAGGAAAAAAACATTGCCCACGTTTCCAAACTCCCAATTACCACCTCAGAGTGGAAAAGTTAACAATGAGAGCGCACCTGGCGCTGAGGAGGTCGCTGGTGAGCCACACCGAGGTAGGAGCCCAGGAGAGTGGTCGTCTGCAGAGGCTCCGAGGGACACCAGTATTCTAGGGCGAGCTCCAGGTTGAAAGGGTTCTTCTTATACAGCTCCCCAATCTGCAGAGAGTGAGCAGAGACTGTGGGAAGATGCATGCAACTCAAAAATTACTTTTAAATGAAAATTTACATTCTTAATGAATTCACCTAAGATAGTGGAGCTAAAACTTCCAAAGTTAGGAGAAAAATCACGGAAGAAGATGACAGTCCACCCAATATAATGGCTTACCAAGAGCATTAGGTGTTCCAGATCCCTCCTAAGCGAAATGGGAGGTTCATTACCCATCTGCATACTCATGTGAATCATTCGAGCATCTTCATCGGCCCGGTTCCTCAACTGCTTCACCTAATAAATATATTACATGTGGTTTGAGCTGTAAACTTATTATGAGTGAATAACACTGAAGTCAGGAAATCAGGCAACAATGTAAAAGTGATTACATAAAAGACAAACTGTTTAAATACCAATTTTACTTTAATGACATGAAGAAATATGCTAGCAATTTTATTATATTACGATCCATAATTTATAGTATCTTTTTAAAAGATTTTATTTATTTATTTTTAGTGAGGGGGGAAGGGAGGGAGAGAAACTTTGATGTGAAAGAGAAACATCGACTGGTTGTCTCTCATACATGCCATAATTTATAATATCAATATCTTCAAATTTCAAAGCACTTCCCCACTATAGAGAAGTTGAGTTGTACTACAGTGTTTCCCAATGGGGACATCACTGGCGTTTTGGGCAGCACATTTCTTCACTGGGTTGGACTACCCTGAACACTGCAGGACGGTTTAGCATCCCTGCGCTACCTACTAACCACCACCAACACTGCTACAGGTTTCATAACAAGCAAAACCGGCCCCGCTCTTCCCAAACACGCTTTGAAGGGCATTACAGCCCTGGCCAAGACTCATTACCTTATAACCTTTGTGTGAACTAAACGCCAACTGAAATAAGAAACTACTTCTCCCTTACAAAAAATTATCGCTAGATAAATCCAAAATTATAGTTGGAGATTTCAACACTCCTCTCTCAATATTCAGTAGGGCAAATATGCAAAAAATCAGCATGAATATGAAAGACTTGAACAATACCATCAACCCACTAATCGAAGAAGTCTCAAGGAAAATTAGAAAATATATTAAATTGAACAAAAAAGAAAATACAACATATCAAAGTTTGTGACCTAAGCCCTGGCCGGGTAGCTCAGTTGGTCAGAGCGTCATTCAGATTTGCCAAGGTTGTGGGTTCGATCCCCGGTCAGGGTACATACAAGAATCAACCAATGAATGCATGAATAGATGGAACAACAAGTCAATGTTTCTCTCTCTCTAATTTCTCCTCTCTCCAAAATCAATTAAAATTTTTTGACACAGCTAACACTATAATTAGAGGTAAATATATAACATTAAATGCTTCCATTAGAAATAAAGGCTTCAAATCAATAATCTGAGCTCCCACCTTAAGAAACTGAAATGAGAAGGGCCAATTAAACAGGAAGCAAAAGGAAGATTGTAGTAAAGAGCAGAAATAAAAAATACTTAAACAAAGTATAAGAAAATCAACGAAGCCAAAGCTGGTTCATTGGGAAAAAATCAATAAAATGTATAAACCTCTAGCTAGGTTAATTTAAGAAGAGAGAAGACACAAATTACCAATATTAAGAATGAAAGAAAAAACATCACTACGGATCCCACAGGCATGAAAAATGTAATACAGGAATATTAGAGAAAACTTTATACTAACCAGTTTGAATGAAATTGACAAAGTCGCAAACCACCAAAGCTCATTCAAGAATAATCCTGTAGCTATTTTAAAAAATTTTAGTAACCTGGATTTGTGTGAATAAATTGTGTGCCCTATCCAAGCCATTTATGATTTTATATATTCAAATTACTCTCCTTCATTACTCTTCCAGATACCATTATCATTCCATAACCAAAGTCCCATCGGTACTACTAATTAGGAAAAACATTAAGCCCTAACCTTTCTAAGGCTTCATTTCTGCAAATGTAAAACGAGAGGATTAGTGGGTTTCTTCCTATTCCAACATACTGTGGGGTTAATGTATCAAGTCCTTCACGGTTGGGAGGGGTCCAGTTGTCTGCTGTGTTCCTTGACTATTCTAGCTTAAGTAAGTCCATAGTAACTTACTGTCTGTACCTCACATTGACTTACTACCTATGCTTTTCTGTGTGTACATCTTACCTCTCCGGCTAGGTTATAAATTCTTTGCTGGCAGGGAAATGAGTCTCCTACTTGTCTTCTTCACAACTCCTACCACAGTACCTGGAAACACGAGAAACTCGATAGACACGATTCATTAAATAATGCACTAGCACTTCATTCCTTGATTGTTTATTGTTATATTGGTGTTTTTGTCCATTTGCTTTATGTTTTTCAAGGGGTATGGTATCAGAACCACGCAAGGGCATTACACATGTAGATCCGTGAAGAGTGCTTTTTAACATATGCACACAAAAAGTGATTTTATAGGACTTCACTCCCTCTTTTATTTCCTGCTACCATTTTGATGGCTTTCTTGGAACAAAACGGCACAGACAGCGTCTATTATGAAGGAACCATCTGAAATGGCTCTAAGAATCCTTTTTTGGATTAAACCCTTTATTCAAAAGTAGCCTGTGCATTAATTTCTATAATCTGTATGTTGCCAGTATCAACGCAGAAGCCCATTTATATACTATAATTAAGAATCTAAACAATTACCTGTGCAATGAGAGTTTCCACTATGGCTTCCAAAATTATGTATAGAAATACACACAAAGCAACTCAGCATCAATCCCTAGGGTAGCATGGCATTAATAATTTCCTACCCATTCAACATTTTCACTGAACTATTACTTTCTCATTATAAACCACTCTCAATGTGAAATATTTCTTTTAGCTTACTCTCAGTTAACAGGTTTTATTATTTCATTTTCATGGATCACAAACTAATTCACAAGCTATAACAACCTGTCAAATTTTAGTTTATACTAAAAGATTTTATTACTTTCTAAAACATAATGTTAGTTTCACTGATAAGTTTTAAATTACTTTATAAAATTCTTCTACTACTTTTTTTTACTCATCGTAAATTATTTCACCGACCTTCATTGGCATAAGTGCAAGGAAATCTGTGATGAGGTTGTGGATTCTACGAATATAGAACTCCTCCTGATAGAAGTTTTCCGACACCACGACGGATTCGGTGAGGAAGAGGAAGACGTTGTCAGCAATCGCGAGCTCTGCCATGGCTTCATCTGCTTCCGTGAATTCAGCGAGAGCTAGAAATGTATTTAGAGAAACAGCACGTGGAAGAACAGTTATTAAACTAGATGACAAGCAAAGTCTATAAAAAGTAAACTAGATTACAATATCTCGTAATATTCTGATGTTTCAAAACTGCTCAACCTCCTAGCATGTGCTATGCACCAAATGAAACTGGATTTAACTCTAATTGACTCACAAACCCCAAAGAAGTGCTAAAAAAGTGCATTAGAAAGCCACATGCTCTTCACAGTAACATCGTGAATGATGAAAAATTACTACAGAAATCTGCGATGTAACACTGATGCAAGTCAGGGAGCTACTATCAAAACATTAGCATCTGAAAATGATGCTAAGGCTTTCATCTCAGTCAGTGAAATGATCTGGTCATTCAGAAAAAGTCTTCACAGCCAATAAGTGAGGCCAAAACTTGAACACAACCACCTAAGTAACTCTACTACTTTGGTGATCAAGTAGCAAAAATTGAAAAGCAAATCTTAACCTAAAGATAAACTGGTCTACTTGTAATTTTTTTCGGTTTTTGTTTGGAGATTTCAAATTATCTTAAAAAAAAAGAAAAAGACAAACAAACCTCCACACACCCATGGGCTAGCTTCAATATTACCCATAATGGGCAATCTCCTTTCATTTGGATCTCCATGCACCCTCCCTCTCCACCAAAATTAGATTCAAGCAAATTCCAGACATTCAACATTTCACTTGTATTTCAGCATGCAACTCAAAGGTACTTTAAAAAGAAAATAAACCAGGAACAAGTATAAAGGACACATGGACAAAAACTAGGGGCAGGTGGAAATGGGAGGGAGGTGGGGAGGGCTGGCTGGGTGGGCTGGGGTGGGAGTAAAAGATAGAAAATTGTACTTGAACAACAATTAAAATTAAATAAATAAATAAATAAATAAATAGAACTAGAAAGAAAAAAATAAAAGAAACCATATATACATACAATACCATTATCATATCTTAAAAAGTAATTCCTCGATGTCAAATATCCAGACAATACTCAAATTTACAACTGTCTCATAAATGCTATGAAAGATTTTGGTTTTGTCTTTTACTTTTTATCTTTTGTGCAGTTTGTTTGCTTGAATCAGAATCCAAATACGAGCCACATATTGCAACTAACTGATACGACTGTAGGCTCCTCCTAAATCTTTAAAATATTTCCCTTGCCCTTTATTTGCTGAAGAAACTGGGACTTTTATCCTGCAGACTTTCCACAGTGTGGTGTGGCAAGCATCCCAATGGTGCAGTTAACACATTTTCTGTCCTCCAGGCATACAAAAAATTGGCAGTTTTCTCTAGAGAGGCTTGATCTTACATTCAATTTTCTTGATAACAGTTTGTCTTAGGTGAAGTTGTGTCCTTCCAGCGAGAAACACACTGCTGATGACTTCTTCTAAATTTCACACATGAAACTGCGAGGTGAGACTGCGGCGCTTTGGCTTTGGAAGGGGACTGCTACAGAGCTGACTCTGCCTGACGGTCAGACCAAGTGTAGCACAGTGCGCTACCGAAAGCGTCTTCGCTGCTTGGAAAGGGTCGGGAGGGAGCTACACCAGGATAATCTCAACCAGAGGAATAGTGCTGGGCTTTTTTGTGGTTTATGTTTTGTTCTGCATTTTGAAATAAAACTTACATATCTATCCATTCCATACAAACTCCTTGAGAACAAAATAGTTTCTTAATTCTTATTATGAGTAGTAATGATTACTGAAATTACCAATTAAGTAAATATTAATAATAACAATAATTCCAAATCTTTACTTGAATTCATAAATGTTGGAATTAAAATTGTATGATGATCAATTCAAGAACTATTTATGGAAGACTAGGTAATAAGTGGCATTAATAGCTTAATGTAAATTGAGTCTTAATGTTAAAATCAGTATATTCAAATTTTGTGAAAGTGTACCACAATTCCAAACACATCCTTTATAAATTAATACAATAAACGTTTGATAAAATTTTAAGAAGTCTATGAAGAGAGTGGGATCTAATATTTTTTAAATTGAGATGTTTTTTAAAACTTCTCTGTTATTTCAAGAAATGCCCATTTCTGAAATATAAGATAAACAATTCATCCTTTGTAGCTATTTTTAAAATTCAATTTTACAAAAAAATTAGTTTAAAAATATTAATTATAATATCCCTAATTATCAAAGCTTATGAAAGGGTATGAGCATGTAAAGCTAAAGAGATTAAGTCGCCAAAGACCTAGGAGTGCAAATGGAGTCTGGATGCCCAGCCTGCGCCTACCTACTCCTCCACGGCCAACTGTCCCACATTCTGTCGTGCCTCTCAAGGTCAGGGCAGCAATACAGTAACTTGCACGTGAACTTAATGAAGCATCGTATAGCCACTTAAAAGTTCAAAGGGTCAGACTCCAGAAACAGAATTTGTACATGATTATAAATGTCTAATTAGCCACCTATCAGCTTTAATAAAAAACCACTTGGCCGAAGAAAATCTGCTAATGCGGAAAATGCTTTCTGCAGCCCGCTTGGGGACAGAGCACCACCAGTGCACAGAACCTTCCGGAATCCCACAACTGGGAAGACAGTGGAATCAGCTGACACACCAGGACTAGAAAACACGGACAGGGATGGTAAACTTTAATACAATCTTTCCAGATTGACTGCAAAAACCAGCGACCACTCTGGGACTTGGAATGACAACGAAAGCCCAGCTCTCAGCCCGTGAGTGTGCACCACTGCTTGAGCGTGACAATTACACTAATGTGAACAGCAGAGTAGGGTGTGCCGCAGTGGGCAATGAGTGGTTAAGTCAGAATCCCACATCCATTCTTGATTCGAAGATCTCCTTTCTAATGTACTGTATTTAAGGGAAAAAATATTTCATATAAAATCTCTTTGGGAAACAAGGGGGAAAAAAGCTGTATTTCTCCACCTTACAAAGTTTCACTTAATGCAGTTCTGGATATCTTCCTATGTTCATGCTTAAATGTGGCAAAAATAACACCCCTCCCAAAATACCATTAAAACTGATACGTTCCTTCTCATACCAAAATCTCCTACAGTCAACTCACCTGTCACGTCAGGTAACTGAGACACTCCCCGCAGCGCCAGGGCCCAGGCCAGTCTGACGGTGGCCTGCAGCCCCGGCAGCTTCCAAGGCTGTGAGTCCTGGAGGCGAGAGTGAATGGTGGCGATGTACTGCCGCTCTGTCAGCAGTGGGAGCTGCTGCATCATGTCTGCAAACACAGAAACAGACCGCTATGCCACGGAAGCAGGAAAACGTGCGTTTGGACACGGAGAACTAATGTCTAAAAGTCAGAAACATCACAGAACTATCATTAAAGCATTATGACTAGTTAATATTAAGGCTTGAAAAACCGAAAATTACACTACTGTAAAAACTGCACACAAAACAAAAGCAAAAGATATTAATAATCCTAAATTTTAATCCATTATTTTCTGTGGGTTTTAAGTGTACTGTAAATAGATTAGAAAAATAAAGAGCTGCTCCTGTTTTCAGTATATAAATTCTAAAATATAAATCAATGCTACTTAAAAGTCAAAATATTAGAACCTTACTATATAAGTAAGCCAACCTGAATTTAAAATATCAGGTAAAAACTGACCAAAAACAGGAATGCAAACTGCAAACAAGTACCTACTTTGATTGTAACATAAATGAAATAGCCAAATGATAATTAAAGAATTTTCAGATCACAGTTCAGTTGTACTGTGGTACTTCAAACAAGCACAGAATTCTGAATACTAATAATAAATAAAGAAGTAAATGAGAAACACCACTGATCACCCAAGATTTCACTTATTTTCTTATACTTCCTTTTGATGTCATCTTGTGAATAATTAGTTCACAACTTTCAACAATACATTCTTTTTTGTTGGTGCTGTTGTTGTTAAATCCTAACCGGATGATATACATTTATTGATTTTTTTGAGAGAAGCAGGGAGAGAGGGAAACATCAATGGGCTGCCTCCCGCACATGCCCCGACCTGAAACCAAACCCTCAACCAGGTGTGTGACCTGACCAGGAACCAAATCCATGACGTTCCGGTGCACAGAAGGATGCTCCAACCAACCACGCCACACGGGCGAGGGCTAAGAACACACTCTTTATGTAATTTCCTATACTTGGAAAGTTTCTGTCTACTGCTGTACATGCACTAATAATTCACTTCTCCCATTTATTAGTCATTGATAGACAGAATAACAGAAATTACAAATGAGTTAATCAATCTAAGCACCTAAAATCGATACAATCACAACCTAGTGCCAAAACCTTTATATCTTTGTCAGCCTATGAAATTTTCCAGGCATTTCACTGTATTTGGAAAGTCCCAGTTTACAAACTTTCACTCATACAGCCTGCCCCTAATTAGCTCTGTGATTCACTGCAGGAAATGTGACCGATGTGCGAACGAGCTGCACTCCTGTGCGAGCACGGGAGCTGCTTCCTGTGCGACGGCCTGACCGGAGGAGGGGGCTGTGTTTTACATCAGCCTGTCCTAGGGGCTCAAGACAGTCACCCAAGATGACAGGCACATGTCCCGTCTCCTCATATACCTAATGACAGAGGTAGATGATGCAATCTAGTGAACAGTGGATAATTATTGGAATAATTACAAATATCTATTATACGAAATGGTAATAATCTTTCTCTGGGGGAAGCATTTCTGAGATCCTCAGTTCTGAGCAGTAATTGGTTATGTGGTTACCAAGTAAATATCATCTGCTTCAGAGAAAATAAAAGTCAAAGATAATATGCTACTAAAAAATAGCAGCTCTCCCTTAGAATGTTTTCATGAAAGGTTTGAAATGTAAATAAATAGTAAAGAAACAAGCAATTAAGTAAATTAGGCATGCATAACTCAGGAACCTGTGTTACATAACCTTTAACACTTTCCCATTCCAAAACCCAAAAAACAATAAAAATATCAAACAGGATTATAATTATTGTTTAAATGTAATCTCATATCTAAATATTCAAATGCAGGACATAGGCTGGGTGGAAGAGAGTAAAGGGGGGAAAATTGGGGCAACTGTAATACAGCAATAAAATATTCAATTAAACCATACACAGGGTCCAGCAGAAGTAACGCCTGCTTGCGTGTGGTTGGTGGGTTAATAATATGGGTGTCATAATTTATAGTTTCAATTTGAACATTTCACCTAAAATGCCATACGGTGTGTTTGAGTGTGATACTGTTAGGTTACAGAATTTACATCTTATGATTCTGTAGTAAGAGTTTGTAATAAAAACGGGGCGTTATTTGTGCCGAACCCTGTATATATATTCAAATATAAGTGAATTGTACATAAAGGAATAAAAAGTACAATTTTTAACTGTAGCAGGTAAAACAGCACCCTTCTTAAATGCTATGCCCACAACCTTACATCTGATTTCTAGAAATAAGTGCATTGCGTTAGCAGGGATGGAACCCAGTACCGTCGCGTTCCTCTATGTTCTGCTCTACGAAGCTGGTGTCGAAGCAGTACAGCAGCGCCATCAGAAGAGCCAGATTCACTGAATCCAAGGAGCCATTCGCCTCCACTGTCACTCTTTCCAAGTGTCCGATAAGGAGCAGGGTGTCATCTTTGCCTAAAGGTGACTGGCAAGCCCAGGCGAAAAGGCTTTCTGCCAGAGACTGCCTGCACTCCTTGATGAGATCAGAAACCTAGAAATAAAAATGTATGATTAAGTATGTGTAAAATAAAAATGGATAGATAAAGCACACTGAAGCCTGGCCTTACTCCAAAATCTGAACTATCTTTTATAAAAGCTAGCTAAATAAATGTATCTAAATCTCACAATCTCACCTCTGAAATTCTGAACAAACCCTATTGTTAATTCCTCGTTCTTAAGTTCCAAGCTCCTGTGTGGGAAAACCAATTTCTTGAAGAGTTCATTCCAAAAGAAGAGCTAGAATGGCACAAAGGGACTAGAAGGAAGCTAAAACAACCGCTGGTCTATTTCACAGACACAGTGGCCTAAATACTGTAACATGCATTATTAATTTTCCTATGCCTGTCCCAGAAGAATGTTCTAACTGTCAGGACTTTTCTGCCTCCGAGATTTGACAACTCATGAATCAATCGTGCGAAGCCTTGCCTCTTTGCGGTGTTTTTCACTGCCCAAACCTCTCTCGCGCTGCAGTTTCTCAAACTCATTGTTCACATCAATCTGTGACACCAGAGTAAGGATTTTGTAGGTCAACCCTTGCTCCATCAGCTCATCTGTAAAGCGCGTTGTCATGGAAACCAGTTCTGGACTGTAATAAAAAGAAATCAATAAACAAAGTTATGACGACTAGTAATGCTTATACTTTCTCATTAGATGGATACCGCAAATGCTCTTTTGACAATATGTTGTGTTACTGCAAACAACCGATGAATTGCAACTTAGATCTTTTCATCCTTCTTGGATCACTGAGTTTCAACAAGCTTCTAACCACAAGCAACTGAATTATCTTTCATTTGTAAACAAAGTAAAGTACATTTAAACACGTTGTGTCAGTCTCGGCAGAGAAAGGGAGCATTTATGACTTACGTTACATTACTTAAATCATACATATTAATGAGAGATTTTTGTTGTTTCTAACATTACAATTCTTCAGGTAATTTCTAATGAACCCCTGAAACCCTAGGAAGCACACAGACCTGAGTTCGAGGGTCCACGTCTTCCCTCGTCTAGACTGTATCAAGGCTTTCAGGGAATTTGCAATGCATCGCTTTCCATCCCAGTATAAAAGGACAGCTACTAGTCCTCTGGTGAGGCCAGGAAAGTGTGGCTGCTGGTGCTCTCCTAGAAAATGGAGTGGAGAAATAATTTAGTAAATGAGTGCTTATGTGATGTGCTTAGGATGAGACAAAAATCACTGTACCAAGGTTCAAAGAAATCAGACTCTCAGGGCTTAAGGGCCCCTGGGGTCCTCTACCTCAAACACCCACCCACGGTTTCATTCTCTTTCTCAGGAAGTCTTTCCAATATTTAGAAGTTTCTTTCCCTAGAGTCTTTTGTTTCATCTTCGTCACTCACCCTTTTAACTGTCCTCCTTTGAGTAAGTTCCACGTTTGCCTTTTTTTTTAAAGCACCCTGCCTATAGTTTCAGTCTCACTTCCTATGGCTTTTTCTCCCCTTAGTTCAATTACCCCCAGTCCCCTCCCTTCTGTTCCCCAAATCCATCTCACTGCTCCACACCTCTGTGCAGCCGACTGCTTCGTGTGGATGGCCTTGGTCCCCTAAGCGCACGCCTATTCCATCTGACATATGCCGACTCACTTTTCAACACCTACCTTAAGCCTCACATCTTTGCGAAGACTTCCCCGTACAACCCAAGGTCAGTTTAACTCTCTGCCCTCCAGACCATCACTAAGTCTTGCACAAACCTGCATCAACGCACTTAATGGTGTTGTGATTATTTGCTTCCATGTCTTTCTCCATTACTAGACTAGGAGCTCCTTTACACTAGTTGAGGTTTGGTTCATCTTTATATCCCTGGAATCTTAACACAGTGCCCAGCCCATGGTATGCAAAAAACAAATTTTGTTAAATAAAAATTCTGAGTTAAACTCAAAACTCAAGCATGTCCAGTTAACATCTCCATCACGGAATGGGAAAACCACCTTATTTATTCTCAATGTCCCACTTCTTCTAACGCAGCCTCATGTGTGGCAGCCACATTAGACTTCCTTTCAATTACAGTGTGTACATGGCTTCTTCATGCAGCTCCTCTGCTATAATTACAATGAATTTCTTATTTTATGGAAATCTCCATTTTTTTCTATATAGCAGCCAAAGAAACAATCTCAAAGTTATTCTAGATTAAATCTTCTGCTTAAAACTGCAATTAGAATAAAATCCAAATAATTTTCATGGCCTGTATGACCAAACAAGGTCTGGTCCTGTGTGCGTAGCACCTCTAGGTAGATCATCATCCCAATACACCACGGTTGTGGGTTCAATCCCCAGTCAGGGCACATACAAGACTCAACCAAAGAATGCATCAATAAGTGGAACAACAAATTGATGCTTCTCGCTCTCTTTCCTCCCACCTTCCTTTCTAAAATCAATTTTAAAAGATTTTTGTAAAAAGACTGAGTAGGGTCAGATTCGTGCTGTCCTCGTCTCCCTTCACTCTGCCCCTCACTCCCAATGTTCCCAGGGGTCTTTTAACCCTTTCTCATGCCTCTGTCCTCGCCTCAAGCACCTGCTGTTTGCTCTGCCTGGGAACTCCCTCCCCGACAACCCTGGCATGTGTCATCCTGAAGGCCAGGTCAAGTGCCCCAATGTCACCGAGCCCTTCTCTAAGTACCCTATTCAACTTGCCTCCATCTATCTCCCACTGCCTGGTTTTATTTTCTTCCTAGAACTCAGTATTATTGAAGTGATCTTATTCTGTCCTAGTCATTATCTGAATCACCCCTTCAAAGAGCAAACTCCAAAAAAAGCAATGACCTTACCTTCTTCCTCATTATATGACAATAAGTGCTTTGTGCCATAGAATTTCTCAGATGCAGCCAATGATTCTTTGCTAGTGAACGACCATGTAAAAGCTTATATTAAAAGTTAAGCTACTTTCAATGCCTCCAGTCACTAAAGCCTTCCATTAGCCAAAGGGAAACAAAAGGAAATATTTTGAATATAGCTTTTCAAATCAATGGCATCCTTAGAAACTATTTTGGAATCTAAATTGACCCACTACCTTGAACTCCGAGTGAATAATTTTGTGATTCTTACTACCTTCCCGTAGGTTCAGTTAAATGCCAACCTACCAGCGAGGAGAAGCTCAACAGCTGCTAGTTCTCCAATGTCAAAGAGGTCGCTGAGGATGAAGGCCTCTTTAATGAGCTGCTCGGGAAGCAGCCGGGTTCCCTGCTGACCCTGGATGGCCACTCCCTCCGTGCTGGCTTTCTGAACCTTCTCGTGTTGTTGGACATTCTTTGGCTATGATGGCAAAAATAAGTAAGGTCATGTAATGAAAAGAGTCCATTGGAAACAAGGTCTTACACAGCTACCTACAGAAGTTGATTCTAAAGCAGACTGGCAACGTGACGAAAGAGGTATTCCTTGCCAGATCATCTACAATTCGACCTTTAGGAGGTGGCATTTTACATTACCTTCACCTTTTTATCCCACTACTGCCTTCTCAGTAAGGGCTTCTGCCGAGCTCTGAACTACAACATTTTAAGAAAGCACACAAAATAGCTACTGCTTTTCAAGTTTCTAAGGAACTTTTCCATTTATATGTTTAATAAATAAAAAAAAATAAACTCTTCAAGTGGAAAACAACACATGGATATATGAAGTGTTGCATTAATTAGTGGGGCTAATGATAGTTTATTGGTATATTATTTAAAAAATAGTCTTCTCCCCCAGAAAGCCTTACAACTTGTTTCAGATATTTAATGAATAACATACAGTACAGAATTACTTCATGGATCACACTATCTTAGACATTTACACCTTAAAAAAGGCTATGAAGGTCATTTACTCCAACCCCTCTATTAACAGGTGGAAAAACTGAGGCCCAGATAAGTCAGATGGCCAGCCCACGGGAATAAAACTCCAGTGGATGAGCCCACACTGGAACTCGGCTCAACTGGCTCCCAAGCTGGGACTCTTTCTAAGAAAAATAGCTCAAAGTCCTAAAAAGCAAAAGGCCATTTCTGGTTAAGACAAACTCAGAAATAGTTCTTATATGATCTTGTTAGTCTATTAAAGAAAATTGACAAACGGCAAGAACAGGCATTTCCAAACACAAATCCCCTCCACTTAGTACTCTATCCCTGGATGAAAAGGATTTCCAGATGTAGTAATTAATGATACGCAAGATTTGATTTGTTCAGCTAATGCAACTCACATAACATTATGAAGAGTTAAAATTTTGAAGTGTACCTGGAAACAAATAAAATCATCAGTCTTACTGAGCTTAGAATGAACTGCAAGTCACAAATTCCAAGGAGGCTCATTTTTCTAGAATATACTGAACTCCCTAAATTGTATTCAAATAGTAATATATCTCCTAGCTAGAAATAAATCAATATTAACTTCTCCAGGAAACAAAAAGAAACAAATAACTGGTTCTAGGAAACAATGACATTTTGAGAGAAAGCTCGAAATCAATGGACAAGTACAAGTAACATATTTCATTTACATGCATTAAGAGTTTATGTGCTCCTTCAATCTTTAAAAAAAAAACAAAAAAGCAAATCCAAACAACAAGAAAGAAGATTTCCTACTGGGTTTCTGAACAAGGAGATGAAGTCAGGTTTGTGTTTCTTCAAAATCATGTCGAGAAGGTGGACGGCTTCAGGCTGTCTTCTCCAGAGAGCATTCCCCACTGTCTGCCAAATGTCTTTGTAAGGGCCCCACAGACTAGCAGCTTAAAGAAAAAAATAAACAAAACCAACATCAAATAAAACGATACATTTGGAAAATAACTTAAGGTGTTGTCTACTCATTTTAGTCATGCTCACGGATACTTTTAAATACACCGAGTTATACATATAAACCAAACATTAACAAAAAAAGCATACTTATTAAAATTCTCAAGTAAAAATATAAACATCATTTTATCTAACTTAATATACTGTAAATTCTGACTTTAAGTTGGAATATCAGCTGAACCGGGTTTTGCCACTTTATTAGCTGTGTGACAAAGAGTGAGAAAGTAACCTCTTTACACTTCAATTTCCTTTTGCCTAAAATAAGGACACCACTTGCTCCCTAGGGTTGAATGACTAAATGAGGCGCACTAGATAAGACACACAATACAGTGCCCGGCATACCGCAGGCATGCAATACATGTAAGCGACTTTCCGTCCGAGTGAAAAGCAGGAGTGGGGAGGAGGAGAATCAGAGTTTGTAAAACTTAGCATCTAAGAAAAAAGAGCATTTTGGCCAGGATACCAGCTAATAAAAAAACAGCACAGAGTTATGAAGTACTTTTGTAAATTCATGTAAAAAGGGTTACCTTTGGATTTGTGAAAGTAGTAAGAAGTAATACTGAAGTTTCGCTATGTGCCACTGAACACAGTTCTAAGCTCTTTCCATGTATTATTTGTCTCAGAACACTATGAGGTCAGCGCCATGTCTTCCTCCATCTTTACAGACAGGGAAACCAAGGCACAGAGGTCAAGAAACTCACCCAAGGTCACCCTGGGCAAGTAGGTAGAGTGTGAACCCAGGCAGTCTGGCAGCAGAATGTGTGCTAACCACTAAGCAGCACTGCCTCCACACAGAAACAAGAAGGTGGATTTAGGTATTTCAGACATGTCCGGTAAATAGCCTGGGATGTAAAGAAATTAGGATCACATCTAGACATACCCAGGCAAATCTGAACCTAAACTCAGTCAAATTCACTTATCTAAAAATATTTAAGCTCCATGAACAAACAGTATGATATAACAGGGGACAAGAAGAGAGACAATCCTGGTTTTCAAAAACTTGCAGTCAAGTTCGGGAGACAAAGTGTAGGTAAGTGAAATATTCCACTAACAATACAAACAAAGAGTATAATTGTTGCTGCAAACAATATAAGAATTTTAAAAGATCAAATGATGGTAAAGGACTTCTAAGGGATGGCTATACACTTGTGCAGCATTTTGAAGGATGAGAAAAATGTGGGTGACAAAGGACAGCCAAGGGAAGGTGTGAAAGAGAATTCAAAGAGCATGTGTGAGAGAATGGTGTCAGACTGGTGGCTTTCAAAATTCGTTTCACTATAGCCCATGGTAAGGAATATCCCATATCTCAACCCAGTACACACATACATGCAAAAGTCAAACAAGTTTCATGTGAAATACTAACATCTGTTCATTTATTACACCAGTGCACTCATATTTTGTATACTCTTTCCTTTTTCAGTGGAAGACCCATTACATTTATTTAAAACCCATTATTTGAAAGACACTACCCTGAAATTCAAGGTTTCTGTCTTCAAACAATCAGATATGGTTCCCATAAGTGTTTATACAGACCCTGAAAGGGAAACTAGTCAAATCCAATCAGTCACTCAACAGACAACACTTAGAAATAAATAACTATACTAACTGTAAAATTAGCCTAAACTGTAAAGGATGCTCTGTAAACACATATAACTGGTATCTGAGAAAACACAGAACCAAATAAAGTTACCAGGACAATACGACTGCCATGAAAGTTAACCTAATTAAATGCACTACATTTCTAGGAACAATGGCAGAAGAAGGCAATCTACTGGGGAATTTTTCTAAAAGGGGGATGTGTAGAGAGAGGACAAGACTAAATCAGTTAAGCTCGATTATTCATTCACTCAACAAACACTTATGGAGGGCCTGGGACTACAGACTAAGCAAAACAGACAGGATGCCTCGTGGAACTTACAAATTGACAAGTGGGACATTAAACACAGACTTTAAAAAACAGTTACCAGTACAATAAAAAATGTGATGAAGTGCAGTGCTGAGAATATATAAAAGGGAACACCTACCCTAACCTGAAGGGCAGGGCGGGAAATGGCATGTCAGGTCTTTGGCGTGGGGGAATGGAATCAGAATGTCTCAACCACACTCAGAGAGCAATCCTCCAACCCCCTGCTTTGCTCCCATACTTGCCAAACCTCTGATTAAAAATACAGAGCATCATATAAATTTCTAGAGCCAAGAATGAGCTGACGCACCAGCAGGAGTACCAGTGCAGATATACCTCCCATTCAAGATCAATAAATTGGCATACTGGAATGGCATATATCTGTCTGTTACTGAGTTTCATTAGAGAAAGTCAATTACTAGGATCTGATCAACTGTGGACACACTAATGAAAGAGTTCTGGACCTGTCAAAATGAGGGCCTGCCCCTGGGTCCTGGTGACACCCCATCAGATGCTAGTTGCATGGTGCATAGCTGACTTCTCTAGAAATCGCTTTCTTGGCCCTAACTGCAAAGGATGTGTAGTTTTGAGCCTTGGTTTTCAGAACAAGATGGCTTTTTTCCTATTGGTAAATGGGAAAGTTTCAAGAACTAGTAGGCAGCAGGATGAAATTGGTATTGTAAGACAAAGGCATGACTGATGGACTCTCTAGAATAGGAAGTGTCAGGAACCATGGATGAGAGGTAAGCCACCCCTGAGGTGGAAACCTAAACTACCACAGTGAAATAGACAAGGCCTGTTTGTAGAGTCAGAATTGGCAATTGACCACCACTGGGTGCAAAGACAAGATACCAAAAATGACTCCTAGGCAAATTTGAATCTTGCCTTACAACAAGTACTTAAGAACTCTGACAAACTAAGGGGAGGGGAAATGCTGGAGGGAATGGGGGTACCCGGCCAGGTGTGGGAGGACAAAGGTGGAAAAAATAGGACAACTGTAGTAGCATAATCAATAAAATATACTTAATTTAAAAGTAAGTAAATAAAAAGAAAAAAAGACCTCTAGCAAAGAGTTGACAATAGAAAGTAAACTCTGTAAAAATAACACAATATACAATAGAACTGTAAGTAATTAATAAATTTCTTTGTATTACACACACTAGCTTCAGTAAGTTCCGTTTCTGAAATGGTTTGATTTGAAACACTCAGCTTTGGATAACTTTTCAAGAATATCAGTCCTGTGCAAAGCAGAACAAAACGGGGGGTGGCGGGGGGCGAGGGGAGACTGCATAGAGCCAGAAGAACAAGGTGCCCAAGAAAGAGTGTTCTTGAGTGAGATTCTCGACAAGCAATTACCATACAGATACGCTCTCAATCGTGCCCACGAAGCTAAGTACATTTCAATCTAGCCACTGCCATTCTAAGCAGAAAATTCACTTTCAGAATCCTTGCCCCGCCCACTAGGCGCCAACAGTGCTTCCCAGGAATCGTGACAGTCAAAGTGCACCCACTCTTTCAAACGCCCCTGGGACGTTTGAAATTCCCCGGCTGAGAACTGCCAAAAGAGAACCCACCCCAAGTCTTTCCGAGTTCCTTCACTGCCTTCTAGATTCTACCTCGTCCCGAAGATCAAACACTCCAAAGGTACAGGAGCATCCAGAAATGACCACACCCGCAAAACTGGAAGTCATCTGATGAGCCCAGGGCACCCCCTCTCCTTCTCCGTCACCTTCTGGTTTGCAGGGTTCATAATCGGGGTCCTCGCTTCCTGCAAAAACCCCCCAGCCTCCACGAACGATCCCGGTGAGAGTTGTCAGCCCGCGCTCGTGGCTGAAAAATATCTCAGGTCCTCTGGCCTCATTGCCCGAGACGTGAGTATTCTGGCGAAATCCCGGCCGCAAACACATGGGGTGGGGAGTGGGAACGATCAGGCTCGGCCCTGGGCTGCGAGAGATTGTACCCACGATTGTAGTGAACCCGGTCCCCTTGCCTCGACCCTCAAAGCTCAGCTCCAGGAGTAGAGCCGCAGCGCCATTCAAACTGGGGAAGGGCCGGCACGCTAGGCCCAGAGCTAGGGAGAAGCGAGCACTATGCACAATAGGAGGCGTGGGCTCCAAAGAACCCCACAGCCCAGGTGTCCCCCTGGAAAACGGATCGTAGCCCTGCCCCAGTTCCCCTTCTGTCCCACCGCACTCACCCGAATTTACCGCCAACAGCGTCGCCATCTTGGAGGCGCACTAACAGAGGCCGGTGCGCACGGAAGCCCCAGAAAAGTGGGAGGCTGCCCGGGGCGATACCTGAACAGAAAGGTACCACGCTGGCCCCTCCGAACTGCACGCCAGACAGATTCAGGGGTACAACGACTCGGAAATCTGCTCTGCGTCGCAGAAGTCAATTTTTGCCGCGGTTATTAGCATTCAAATAAGGCGAGGGCAACCCGATCGGAAAAGGGAGGTCCTTGATTTAACGTTAATTGTGCAGTGCATCCTGGGACTTGTAGTTTCTTGTTAATTGTGAATAAAATTGGTGAGGTGGGACAGAAAAATATATTCTGAAATGACTCTCATTTATGATATGTAAGAGCCGTAAATCCAAATCGTCGTCTTCATTTCAAATTAAATATTCCCTGCATTACTCCCTTACTTCTGGGAATGAAGAAGTGCGTAAGGTGCCTAAATCCCAAACAACCAGTTTGAGTTGTTACAAACTAAGTTCTTATTACATTTCAATATATCAAGTGCATTGCGTCAACACAGTTGCACAGAGTGAAACAAATAATAACATTTTATTGTGAAGTTTTCAGATGATACAAAATTAGAATAATGAACGCCCAGCTTCAATAACATAGCCAATTCCTGGACCCCACCCCCAACACGGAGATTATTTTATTTATTTTTTTAATCCTTACCCAAGGATATTTTTTATTGCTTTGAGAGAGAGAGTGAGAGAGAAGCAGTGGCTTTCTCTTAAGTACCCCAACTTAGGCATGTGCCTTGACTGGCAATCGAAACCACACCTTTTGGGTATACTGAAGAATGCTCCAACCAACTGAGCCACATCAGCCAAGGCCAACATGAATATTAGTTTGAAGCAATTTCCAGACATATCATTTCATACTAACAAATACTTTTCTACCTAAGTACCCGCAAATAACTGGACCTTCTTTCTTTACTTGATAGATTTTAGTTTGTTAATTTTCAAACTCAAATGTACCCATTCCCATTTGCTATCACATGCCAGGTATTTATTGAGAATTTCACAGTATCATGTAATAATAATGCATAGCATGATATATGTATATATTGTTTTATATACTTTATATGTTATTTATATATTATTATTTCATTATCTCATTTAATCCTTGAAACAATGCTATCAGGCAGATAATATAACTATAGCTATTTATCGTAGATGCCCCTGTGCCTTACTGCCTCACTTTATCAACTCCCCCAACATTCCACCGAGGCTGGGAGCAAAGAGTTTGTATTCCCATTTCCCTGGTGGAAATCATGATTAGATAATTTATACAAAATCACAGAGTATGTTGTTAAGAATATCAAGCATATTCATTCCCCTGCACAAATAACACTGAGAGAATGTATATTAGGTGGAACACAAAAGTCATCAGTGATTTTTTTTAAAGTCATTGTTATACAGAGAGAAATACCCGTCAATTAAAGTGGTTTTAAGGAGTGAAGGGGAAGGGAGAATGAAAAGGCGAAGTTTAGTGTGAAAGTGAGAAGAATATTGAGCAGAAACTTGGCAGGAAGAAGCATTCAGAGAAGATTTTCTTTCTTAGCACAGTTATGACAAGCCCTCCCCTCCACAGAGTTTTATCCCACACACTTCCTTCTGGGTAGGTCCCTTTGCTTTCTATGAGGGAACTCTTCAACTTCCTGCAACTCCCCCTCACCCGCTGTCACACAAGCATTCTCTCCCCTGACCTGTGGGACATCACTTTCCTGGTGTTCCTTCTCCCTTTCCAGTCCTCTTTTTAAGTTTCTTATGAGAACTTCTCTTCCTCTTCACACCATTAAATGTAGCTCTTCTCTTTCCATCATCTCCAGCCTCTATTCTCTTTCTTCTATGCACTTCTGGGAAACCGATGGCTTCTTACTGCCACCTCTGAACTGATGAATTCTGTATTTCTATCTCTAGTCCAGTCCTCTCTGCTAGACTTCAGATTTGTGTGTCTAACTGGTCTACCCCACTTCTCTACTGATTGCCACCCAGACATCTCAAAATCAACGGATTAATCCATAACTTAAATGAGCACTCTTCTCTTAAAACCTCGCCACCTGCCCTGGCTGGTAGGGCTCAGGGGATTGAGCACGGGCCTGCAAACCTGAGAGGTGCTGGTTCAATTCCTAGTCAGGGCACATGCCTGGGTACAGTCAGGCTCCTGGTAGGGGGCACGTGAGAGGCAACCACACATTGATGTTTCTCTCCCTCTCTTTCTTCCTCCTTCCCTGCTATCTAAACCAAATAAATAATTACAAAACAAACAAACAACAATAAAAAAAAACCTTGCTACCTGTACCCACATGGTTGCCAAAGCCAGAAACCTGGGAGTCTTTTTAACATTCTTCTTCCTTCAGTTGCCAAATCCTCTCCATTCTACCTCATAAAGATTTCTGGATCCCTTTACCTCTTCTCTGCCCCTGAGGCCATTGTTCTCTTCAGGTCTCATCTTCTTACACTCGGTATTTTGCAATTGTGTTCTCAACTGTCCTTGTTGATTTCCACCTCATCCCCCTCTCTCAGATTCCCAAAGGGACTTTCAAATACGCAAATCAGAGCACGTGCTTGCCCTGATCAAAGTGTCTTAGTGACCTATTCTAAGGGTAGTATTTGAAAACTCCTTGGCAAGGCCCTCATGCCACTTCCCAATCAGGTTCAGCCTCTTCACCTTCACTCCTCCTCAACTGCCCTTTACTCCGCCCATTCTGAATAGCACTGTTATTCCGCCCAGTACAACATGCTCTCTTGTACCATGTACGGACGCCTTTGTACCTGCTGTTCTGATTACCTGGAATGCCCTTCCTTCCCTTGCCCATCCTTCTGTTGACCACCCACCAAGTTAACCAAAACGGGACCAGTCCAAAACGGGACTGGTCTTCCAAGTCTCAGGGCCTGTGTTAATGATGGCTCCCTGATGCTATTCTTGATTCCCCCTTCCAGTGCAGGGGTTTCTTTCCGTACATCCCTGCTGCACTGTGACCTACCTCTGTATTACAGCCCTAGGTGCCAACGATTGTCTCCCTGTTAAAACGGTTAGCTTCTTGTAGAAGACTGTTATTAAAAGGCCCCCAATAAATCACACTCCCTGAATTCAAGCCATTATGTAATCATCTGCCACATTGAATCTGGATGAGCCTTATGACCGGCTTGGACAAAAAAAAATGCAGTGGAAGTGACATTGGGCAATTTCCAAGCCTAGGATTTAAGAGGCCTTGCTGTTTCCACTTTTGCTCTTTCCCTCTTTTGCTGCCCTGAGAAACCATGCAAGCAAACAAGATGCATAGCACTCTAAGCATGTTTGTTACATAAAAGTAAACTATTTCTAAGGCAAAATAAATGCTAAATGGGCTAGTCCCATTATGCGTGGGAAATATGTTCCAAACCCCCCAGTGGATGCCTGAAACTGAAGATAGTACTGAGCCCTGTGTATACTGTAATGCTTTTCCCTGTAGGTACATAACTATGGTAAAGTTCGATTTATAAATTAGGCACGGTAAGGATTAACTTACTTGTAACTAATAACAAACTAGAACAATAACAACAGTATACTGTAATAGAAGTTATGTGAATGTTTCTCTCTCTAGTAACCAATCTGATAACCAGCCTGGCTTCTAAGTGACTAATTGGTGTGGATATGCTAACAAAGGTTGTGATTCAAGTCCTGGGCGGGACTGATGGAGATTTCATCACGCTCCTCAGAACAGCTGTTGAAAACTTATGAATTATTTATTTCTGGAATGTTCCATTTAATATCTTCAGACTGAGGTTGGCCGCGGGTAACAGAAACCGTGGAAAGCAAAACCAAAGGTAAGTGGGCACTACTGTGTACTTAGATACACATTCAGCCCCTCCACCTCCCCACCCTTCAGCACGGCAGCCCCCTTCTTCGTGGGGCGCTCCCTCTGACCACCGTGACCACATCGTCCTTCCCTCGGAATCTGTGTCTGCACTATATTCTCGCTCTACAATACATCAGCCCCTTAGTCTGGTCACTGTTCTCAGGCACCACCTTTCCCCACCCTGCTCCTATGCATCAGGCTGCATGAAAGGCTATGTTCTCCCATAACGTGTTTTAATTTTCCACAACTTTGTCCGTCCCTCTGTACGTAGAAGAGTAGAGGAACCCAACAGGTAGCCAACAAACATTTGTTAAATGAATACAGCTGGGGAAAGGTCAAGCTACTACTATCTCCTGACCCACGGCCAAACTATATTGTCAACTCCTTCAAATCAATTTCATAACCTACCATCTCTCTGGCAAGTGCCTAAAAACTCTAGAATGAGAAAACTAGGTCCCTCTTTTCCTAATGCTCAGACTACCAATACAGACCTAAAGAAGACAGGGTACTCCTTACTTCCTTTTATGAAAAGCCAGGCTCCAGCTGCGGAATCAGCAGGTTGAACCTCCTTGAGAGGTTTTCCTATAGATACCTGTGGGAATTTGGGTGCTGGCAGAAGGCGTGTGCCACCACAGAGCATGGCATGAAACAGGGAAACAGGTTGGAGATGAGTAGTGTAAAAGGACCGGTGGCAAAGTCCATTGATCCGATCAAAAAGAGTCTGGATTATGCTCTGGGCACTAGCAGGAACACCTGGCTCCAGCCTAGGGCAGAGAGTGTGTGCAGGCGAGTGGGGAGTTGTGCGGGAAGCCGAATTCTGTCTGGGAGTGATAAAAAGCAGGGCATTCATCGCATCCGAAGAACTCTCAAAGCGAAACCATGTACCAGGAACAAGAAAGCATTAATTGAAATAAGCTACAGCACTGTTCAGGATATGATGTAAACTCAGAAACAAAGGACAATAGGAAATATTCCCCTGTGCAAACAAATGCAAAAATTAATTAGACAATCTTAAGAAAGATTCCAGATCGACAGGAAGCTGTCGTGGGTGTCATTTCTCTGCCACAATTGGGCTTATGGTCATCAGCAGTGATGTGTATTTTATCATTTCTCATGTCATGGAAGAGTTGAGATTTTAGGAAGATACTGACAATAAAGTACAACATGCTGATGGAGCTGAGGAGAGACTTTTATTAAGACAGGTTGCCCTGAATCTACTTTGCCAGTGACTTACTGTGTGATAGTGAGCGAGTTATTCGACCTCTCTGAGCCTGAGTTTCCTCATCTGATAACATAGAAATAAGAATATTTTCCTTGGTTTGCTGA